GGGAGAGCATGGGGCTGGGAGGTTCGGTGATGCGCTGGGGGAGTGCGAGGGCAGAGGGGCCAGCGGAAAAAAGAATCGGGAGGAGTGCTGTGATGCGCTGCGGCTCGCGAATGGATTGGGAGGCGGTGCTGGAGCTGGTATACGGAGACTGGGCTAACGGTGCTTGGTATATAGAGGCAAACGGTCATCAGTCAATTCTTCCAGCTCGACCGGTTAGTAGTGGAAGGAGGCAAAGAGGGCAGGCAGACGGGCCGTCGGAACGATATCATACGGCAGAAGGACACTGGGTAAGCAACGGGCCTGGCTGTAGAAATTCACTGGACCCTTGGATGTGTTGCTGACACGCTTTAGGTGGGACTGATGGCGGATCGCGGGAGGACATTTCTGTAACCGCATGATTGGGATCAAAGCTTTTCTATGTACATTCTACATTCACGGGTGTTGGTGGTATCGGGGGCTGTGTTTATAGAGGTGCCGTGGTAGGCTTCTGAATCTACGCAGAGCCTTCAGAAAGAGCCGCATCGTCTTCGTATTCTATGGTATTGTGGGTCGATAAGGTGGACCGTGATGATTACGTTTCTTTGCGTAGCAGGATGGTAGCAAGCTTCAAGCAGACGTTGCAATCAGTGGGTATAAGGGACCACCGACCATGAACAGAAGTCTTATAAATGTGGTCTTTATTCGCTTGCACTGGCTTTGCGGTCTATAACCTACGATGTCTACTCACGACAAGCTCGGTTTCCACCTTAATCGACCTTGGTACTGGTGCGCACGTTTTCCCACACTCTCAAGATGGAAATCCGGTGCGGCCTGAGGCAGAAACAGCCATTTGGGTTTAGCGTAAATCATCCATAGTGGTTTCCCAGGTTCGCGTCGCTCTCACGTCCGCGTTCGATGCGTTACCAGCATAGCACAGCTGTAAATATCTTACAGAAGTCAGAGCACCTTCTAGAGGTAAACTGTGATGGCCGAAGAATGCCCTATGCTCTTAGACTAACTTAATCCCAGATTGCTCTGCTCAGCCCTTCCGTGATCGCGCATCCAGTGACCATCAACATCAAAGATGACCTCGTGAAGAGCGTATAGCCGTGCTCTTTGTGCGAAAAGGACTCGGCTAGAGGGCGGAAGTTTGCTTCATCATTACTGTAACCATGGGTCCGGTGGGTACAATATTTTCATCCGCTCAGACATCCATTTCTTGGTTATCATCGTATAAAGTATCAACACTACCATGGAAAACAACTCTTCTGGTATATATTGGGCCAGCCGACTCCCATTCTGGATTCCTCCGCTCGAGCAGTCTTCGTCGAAGTGATCTACACAGAACCATCGTGGTAAAATCTCTCCAACGCCTCGAGTGCAAACTCCAGCATCAATAATATAGCCTCCACCGGCACTTTACTCGAAGACCTCCCAGGAAAACTCCAAAATCCCTCATAACCCTCACGCTGGAGACTTCGCAGCAGGATGTCAGCAATGCCTGCGCTCCAAAGAATTGGAAACGACCAAATCTTCGAGGCGCTTCAGGGCAAGCCTCTCTCCTTCAAGAACAATCTTCTCCACCTATGGTACGAGGACTTGGAGGCGGCACGGGGGCTGCTGGAGCTAGATGCGGACTTGGACTCCAGAGCAAGCTTATCCGAGCTCAGAGGAATGGCCGAAGCCGCGCGAGTGATCCAACAATTGAGCCTAGCTGGTCCACTGAGTTTCAAACCATCATCATCCCTTCAGGTTTTGAGCTCGGCCGCGGCTGCCATGGTGCCTCTAGAGGCTTATCCCGCGCCCCATTCCGAGAGCCCTGTCTACGCCTGTCCCGAAGTCCAGTCCAAGGCCGATCAGGCGGCTCAGACTGTCGAACCGAAACCGAACGCCCGAACCGCGCGACCGTTCCACCCGATGAGCATCTCTGGAGTACTGAATCCGAGCACGTCCGCCGCACCTTATGGCTCGACTCCTAGAGATACCGTCAAAGCGCAATCAGAAATCCAGCCGGCGGCCGAACCGGGAGCCTTACCGACGCCTCAGGCAGTCAAACCAAAACGGAAGGCCAGCTCTCCAATCCCGGCAATTCGGCGTTCCAAACGCCTCCAGTCGTTGTCTGCCATGGCGACGGAGGAACCACACAGCAACAAAGTCACCATTCGGTTTCCCGGTCTATCGTGCATGGTGAACAGCACCACAACCTCGAGCTAACTAGTCACTCACAGTTTCGACCTCCTGGACGGACTAACCGCTCCGGCCGCAATCAAACAGCAGATCACGACGTCTTCGAAGGGTTGCCAATACGCCAATGGCGACAAGTCGAGACAGTAGTGGGCTCCACTCCGGAGGCCGAGCCTGTCAAGGGCAAAGACGCGTGGCCTGAGCCTCCGATGCCGCGAGATTCGCATCTGTTGCCTGAGGTCAGCCAGCAGCTTCTGCGCGCTGCACGTGCGGGTCGACTATACAAACCTGCCGAATCAGCTAACGATGAAGACAAAGAGAACGCAGACGAAGAGAAAGAAACCAAGGAGACGCAGAAAGGCTTTGCAGCCAGGAAGTGGACGCAGGTGCCGCGCCACCTTGAAGAACCAGAACGCGAATACCTCGCCAAGAGAAGAAAGGGGCTCCCTTCAGCCTATGCAAGCTTGAGCGGACTGATCGGTCCGCTTGCCCCGACCAGTGAGATGCGCAAGACCAAAGTCAAGAAAACAGACGCCGCAGGCAACGTTCACATTTACGAAGTCCTCGTCGAACCGGGCAAGACGCTCGAGAACGAGGTCGTCGAAACCGAGCCCGCAGCTGCCCAGCCGGCCGAAATGGCTGTACCAGGCACAGTCGTTGAAGGTGTCGGTATAGTTAATGCTGATGGATTGGTTGTCGCGAGTGATATCATCCAGCCCACGCCGCCAAGACGTAGACCACCGCCGCCGAGAAGAAAGCCCAAGAAGGGTCCAGGCCGGGGGAGAAAGAGGGTCGTGTTTGAGCCAGGTACTGAAGGTGCAAGAGGCAGTCTGGGAAGCAATCAAGTCACATCGGCGGGTCCCCAAGCCGCAACTACCGCTAGAGAGAGCACTTCCGGTGTCCCGTCAACAGGCAGCGATACACCCATGGCAGATGCAGGCAACGAAGAAGTCTCCGGAGAAGACGGTGACTCAAGCGACGAGAGTGAAGATGACAACGACCGCGAAGAGGGAGAGCTCTCAGACGACGCGCCACCGTCTCCCGCAAGGCAGCCGACAAAGGCTCCCACGCCGCCGCCCGCACAGCAACCTGCCCCAGCTGGGGTATCCAGCCCGTTGACCCCTGTGCAACTCACTACGCGATCGTCTGACTCCGCCACACCGGCGATAATCGTAGACCACCATGTCGACAGGGAACCGTCCAGTTCTCCGGACTTGCCGCTCGCTGCAGTGAGTCACAGTCGCCAGGGGTCGCTGACTCGTCCCCCAGGAACTGGTGCAAGTCCACCGAAGGAAAAGGATGACGATGCGACGTTCTCGGATGGAGAAGTGGACTTGTTTGGGAGCCTGGAGAGGCATTTGGAGAAGGAGAGTCAGAGCGCGAAGGATGCTTAATGTATGGCTTACTGAGCCTGTTGACGCGTTGTCTGGCAGTGAACATCACTTTCGTTGGGCAAAGTTGGCGCTGGTAATGAGGCCTGCCAGATCATTCTTTTGTGTATCTTCAGTCTCCGCTCTTTTCTTGGGGTTGGGCATCGTGGCATGCGCTGAGAAGCGCCCTCTTGTACTGCAGCATGACATCAACGAACCTCATCAATTGACTCTTAGACGTATGCCTTAGTGATATATTGCATCCGTTTTGCACGCCCGTCCCTCGTGGTCCGAATTTGCTTGAGGCACAAATCACCAGGATATGTGGGGGGCTCTGTCATTATTTGCGTTCAGCATGCCGCACGGTGACCCACTCAACTTGAATCGATTGCGCCATATCAATGGTCTACAGATGGTTTTTCTTTTAACGGCATGGGGGTAGTACCGTGACAGAACAACCAAGAAGTCCACTGTCATATGATGGCCAGCTTGGAGTAGTGCAACATGAAGGTCTTAGGCGATGGTTCAAACGATGTTAATACGCGACTACTACGTTACCTCAGTCCGTGAAATCGGCGTTACGATACCGTCTACAGGATCTGGTTTCGATTCCCTAACCAGCTGTCCCTGGCCCGTCCTCAAACCCTCCAAACCCAATCCTCTACAACACCTAGCTACTCATTCCCCCCACCCGCACCCCTCTCAAAAACCTTAACGCCCCCGTCCCCACCTACAGAATACAGCACCTCCTTCTCCACTAGCCCCTGCCCCTCCTCCCCATCATCCTGCGCATCTCCCAAAGTGATCCGCAGCACCCCGCTCACATCCGCCGCGAACCCCGTGTCCAGCAGCCGCAGACTCATGACCACGTCCGCGAGATGCGCTTGGCTGATCAAGAAGGAGGCGTGTGCGGTTTCGAGGGGCGTAGACGACAACGAACTTGTGGTTGACGCGGACGCGGATGCGGATGTAGCGGCGGAAACCAGCGGGCTATCGGCCGCCACAGCGAGGACAGTCGCGTGGACCCGCTGCCGCGATTTCAAGAGGCTAATGGCCATGGACGAGGCGGTGATGCCGGAGGAAGGGTCCGCGGCTGCGAGGTGGAGGTCTGGAGCGTCGAGGATGAGGAGGATTTTTCTGGGCGAGGCTTTCCCGGGGGGAAGTTGGGCGACTCCAGCAATGGCGCGGGAGAGGACTTGCTCGAGGTGTTCGAGGGCTGGGGAGGTGAGGCGGTAGAGGCCCTTCGGCTGGGCTGGGAGGTTGGCGGGGTGTGCGGCCAAGGGGGATACATGCTGTGCTTGATCGCTAGGCGCTGCTGGCGCTGGATGGCGAGATGAGACGGCAGGCGAGCGTGGTGGGATGCTCCGGCCGGATCGGACTGGTAGCGGAGAAGGCCGGGATAGCTGGGTGCTGGATACTGGAGCTGTGGGGGTGGAGGTAGGGGCTTGTTGGGATATCTGATCGGCGGCTGGGGGCATGAAGAGGCTGACCAGGCCATCAACAAAGGCGAAGCGGTCTTGCTGGGCTAAACGAGCTAGGTCAAGGCCCTGGTAGTGTTGTATATCAGCAAAGTACTTCATGTGTAGCGAAATAACCCCGTTGTAGATGTGAAAATGAGCCAACTTACTCCTGCTCTCCTGCTTTCCGACTTCCAGAACTCCCAGTCCCGCATCCAGCTCACGAGCACCACTGCTACCTCACCCTCCTCATCTTGCCCTGTCGTTCCGCTGCCATGATTGCTCAGCCCGCCGGTGCCACCGTCTTCAGCTCCTCCAGCGCTTCTCCAGCTGCTGCCCGCATTGTTTTCCGCGAGCGCTCCGCACAGGAATCTGACGACAAGCCAATTGGTACTCGCTCCCAGCACGCTCGTAAGCAGGTGCAACGAGCTTTCCGCAGGGAGACTAGTGTAGGGCTGGAGTAATGGTGGTGTGCGCGATGGTGGCATATCGGGATGCGGATTTTTGCGATTTGAGGTTTTGAGCCGAGACCTGTCACGCTGCTAAACCACCAAGTCCGACGCTGTCGTTTGAGTACGTTTGAACAAGACCGATGACCAGCTTAATGCATATTCAGAAGAGCTCGGGGCAAGTTTTTACATATTTTGAGGGCCTCTTGGTCCAGAAAGCGCTATGAAGCCCAGATACTTTTCGAGAGTATCCATCTCCTAGAGCAAAGTCATTGCCAGCCCTATAAAGTGCAGATCTTGTAGTCCTACGCCGCGAGGCCGTCCTGAGTACCCTGAAGCAGCGCCAAAGCCTAATCAATTTGCAAAATCCGCCGAACCAAAGCCGTTCCCATATCGCCGTCCTGATGTAGAGCATACTAGAAAGCACTTCGTCCATCCTCTTCGGGATACGCTGCGCCAATACGGTCATCCGCAAAGCCTTCAAAGCATCTCGAGCTTGTCCCAGGCAGAAGGCTTGGAATCCAGATCGATCACAACTTGTTCCTCGTCATCATAAGCCAAGGAGTCCGACTTGGCCTGGTTGACAACACCATCAATCTCCAGTAAATCAACTCTATCTTCGCCCTCAGGTCCAAAAGCCCTCAGGCGATTGAAGGATGGGTTCGCCTTCTCTATAGAGTACTTAACCACAACTTCAGGCGCCGCAGGCTTGTCCTCCTTGACAGCGTCATCGAAGATCATCAAATCCTCCTCGTCCTCAGTCATGACTCCTAATGGATTCAAGACTGCGGAGCGTTGGCCAGTCGCGTGGCTAGGGTACTCGGCCATTTCCGAAGGCTCCGTAAGTCCGTATAGAGGAAGTTTTTCCTGACCCTCAGTCTCATTGGAGCGAGCTTCATGGACGTTGCAAGCCTGCTGCCTCTGGAGGACCATTGCATCCTGTGCCCGGACTATGGTATCGAAAGTGTCAACCGTATGCACAAATTTCCGACGACGGGGCTCCTTCCGAGCGCGGCCTTCGACACAACGGTCGGCCATCTTAATGCGGTCCACGCCGAGAAGTTGCTGCGTGATAGGACGCAGTTCCACTGAATGAGTTGTGTCTTCATCAGAATCGATAAGAGTGTCAATTGGAGCAGCTTGGAGTGGGCTTGAACTGGGTGCGTCTCCTCCAAGAGGGTAGTTGGTTGCTACAGGCTGTGGTGCGCTCCAATTGGAATCGTCATCATCTGTATCCTCGGGAGTCACAGCGTGCCCTCCGATAGAACCGGGAGCGTCTTCGTCCAGCAAGTGTTTCTCTGCTACGACTTGCGGGTTGCTCGAGTTAGGTGCGTCTTTATTGGGAAGGCGTTTGGCAGGTACAGCGTGGTGTCCGCTTAAACCAGGAGCGTCGTCAAACAGTGCCAGCAACTCTTCCTCGCCTTGTTCCTGGATACCTGGACCGTCTTTCTTAGTTGGATTCATCCTTTGCACAGCCTGCAAAGTGACAAGGTTTTGTCCTTGACTAGCAGCTCCTCCATGCGCGATGCGGCCGAGTTCGCTGACGAAGAGCCAAGGGAAGCTCATGAAGGGCATAGACTCAACGTCCATCTTCCGCACTGGGATCTCGCGGCCAGCGACTTCTTTAACCGCACGGCATTCGTCAAGAGCGGCATTCATCTCGCGCGCAGTGACAGTGTACATGGCGGCAACGAAAGGACCGAGCTGTTCAAAGTCCCTGCTTCCGGCTTTCTCAATGCACAGATCTTTGAAGCGATCTTTGAGCGATTTCGTGATATACCCCATGTCCTCGGAGAACTTGTAGTCGCCGGCCTCGCGGTTGTGATCCAGGACTAGGGTCGACCAAACTTCAAACTCGGTACGAATTGTGTGCTTTGCCATAATCCGTCGAACAGCGGCATCATAGAGAACTTTGATATCCGCAGCTTGCTGGAGCATGTTGACGCTGAGCTGATATGCGCGGAGGATGCGCTCGTCAAACGGCAGGTCGTACTTGGGAATGAAGTCAACACGTTCGACCTGGTCATATAGCTGCCCAAGAATCTTCTTTGAGTGATATATCTTGTCCTTCGGCTTATGCTTCTTCTCCATGAAGTGTGGCCAATTCTTGGGCGCCAGCTCCCTCGACATCTTTGCGGGCACGCCAGTTTTTGGAAAGTCGACAGCCGTTGAGTGCAATTCAGCAAGTTCGAGACCTAGACCAGAGTCAGCGTGCAGTCTATCACGCGTTATTAAGTCTGAACATACATATAGGATCCTTCACGCCCGCTTCGCAGAAGTCCGCCTGGGCAAGATGACCATGAGCAATCCTTCCGAGGTTGTCGTTCTTGATGTACGTGATAAAAAAATCGATACGGTCATCAACAGTAACCTCGCGATCCACACGAATGGGATCAGCTCCAGTGAAATCCATGGCAGGATGGTTGATCTCCTCGGGTATGAGCTCGGGATCCCACATCACAAGGTAATCATCACCGTCGAGATCGCCGCCCGAGCACATGTTTGACAGAGGGCGATCGCCTGTGCATGGGAGGACAACTACGTTTTTCAGGTGATACAGGCCTGGCACGTCGACAGCGAGCACTACACGGACGTCCCCTGGGTGGAGCGAAGGATTACGAGCAAGAATGCAGACACCTTCGACAACGCGGTAGACACCCTTGTTGCTTGGGTCGGAGATCCGCAGAAAGACCTCGGGCAGCGCTGCCAGCCTTTGTGCTCTCGACAAAACCTCGTCCGGGTCTTTCGGCTCAACATGGCCCTTCAGCGTGAGGGTCTCATCTATGCAGCCAAAGAGGAAAGCTCCATTCTCGACGAAGATTCTGGCTTTCTCCTTCAGAAACTTGATGGTCCAGGCTCGCCATAGCTGCAGGACTGACATCATGAATGGCTCGGTCGAACTCATGAAGCCATCCAAGACCATCGAAGCTATAACGAGGGTCATCTGGTTCGCATCTATATTCTTCTGTAGGAGACGGAGTGCAACCGTGCTATTCCGCATCGCAACTTCGAAGTCTGCTAGGATGTTCTGCTGCATCTTGAGGAAGACTCCGTCTGGAACACCGAGAGCAGTAAGGACGAGGATGATCTGTCGGTTCAGCGTCGCTGTCGCAAAGAAGGAGGCCCTGATAACCTCCAGACCCTCATGCATTGCAGGAAATTTGTACTGCGATTTGCGAATGTAAACTTCCGTAGCCACTGCGTCAGGAGCTACTGCAAGGATGCCCTTGCAGCCACCCAACCGGAACTGGAATACTGATGGCGGATCATCGAACGCGTTGGGGTAGCCAAATTCGGACGAGATCATTTGAGCAAGGAACAGAGAAATCTTGCCAACTCCGTCGGTAAAAATCAGAGGCTCGCCGTTGTACTGAACCGAGACATCGTCCACTTTCTTAATCTTTACCTTCATGCCCCTCACAGCACGCGTAGTTGAGAAGCACTGGCCCACGCGGGCAGCGTTCTTTGCCACCTCTTGGATATGGCGGAACGTGCCCATATTTATGCGAATATTGTCTGCGTCCCACTCAGGTTTTGGGGCGAAGAAATAGGCGGAGTGCTCGCGGAACTGAGAGTTACCGAACGCAAGAAACTCATAGCGGCGCTTTCCAATGATGATGCCCTCTTTCATGGTGCGCTTGACGCGTCGTAGGATCTCGTCGTGCTCATGATCACTCCTGCCATTAAGCCTACCCTCGTCCTTCTCGTCAGTGAACTTGACTCGTAGGAAGCGATCTTCCATGTTACTGTAGTCTCGAATGACCCGGTTTGATGTCTCGACGGTCGGAGAAGCGTAGTAGATCATGGTGGGCGTCACAGTCGCAGCGCGTGCATAGCAACAATAGGGCGGTATCTTCTTACGGGCCGAACCTCCCGAAACATGGATCTTGAAGACGTCCATGGGGTCATAAAACCGATGCTTTAGATCTGCAACCTTCTCAAGCGTAGCTTGCGCGACAGAAGGTCCTAGACCGGCGAGGCGGTGGATAAATTCTCGGCTGAGGTTATGCTCGTTGAGGTAGCCGTGAGACAGACACACTTCGAGCTGGTATCTCACTTCGAAGTTCAAGTGGCCAAAGCCGGCCAACGCCGAACTGGCACTGTTATCAGAATCAGGCTGGTCTTCGAACAGGTTCCAGATGGTCGGTTCCGCTCGACGCACGTAGGAAATATCTGCATCGGAAACCGTTGGGATATTGTAGTCGGCTAAGGCGTCTATGATCAGGCTGTAATTCGCCTTGTTGCACTTCGCCGCATCAAAGATGAAGCGGTACGTTGTCCAGCGACCTAAAGCTTCGGTCAGTTACCATTGGCAGGTTCTAAGTACATCATCCACTTACCTAGGTCGATGACAGCGCATTCGTTCTTCAGAGTAACTGGCTGCTTGTTAACGACCGCACGATCCTCGACAATATCAGTCTCGCGTATCCATGCACTGCGTTCGTTCCAGTGACTTCCATTGTCGAAGGTGGATTCGATATCACGAGTTTTGTAGAAGAAGGCTGGAGGGGATGGTAGGGAGAGGACCAGCTCTCGCTGATCGGGGCTGCGTGTGTTTTCCTGCAGTCGTCCCATCTTCGAGAATGGGATGCGGAAGCGGTACCGGTCACCTTCCTCTGCCGGTGCGACTTTTAGGGAGAATTCGACGCATAGCTCTTTGCGCTGAAGATCAAGCACGAGCTTGATCCGTGATGATTCCGTATTTAGGACAGTTTTCATGATCATCACCGAACTCTGGGCGACCATGAAGCCGAAGTCAATCTGCTCTGCGAACAGGGCCAGACGCTCGGGATACTCGCGGTCGGGATCGATTGGGCTACGGTGCATGAACACGCGTCTCTTGCTCAGAAGATCGATCCTCAGCTCTTTGAAGTCGTTGGATTGTTCGGAATAGTATCCGATGCGCTCCTGCCAGAATGCCCTTGCTGGTGGAGGGTCGAAGGTCACGTACGCTGCACCATCTGATGATGATTGTCTAGCAATCTCGATCCTTGTGACTGTGCTCGCCAGGCCATTCTGAACTAGAACCTTGTACACGTCAAGCGGCTGGACGTTCCGCGGAAAGCGCATCACCTTCACGGTGATCTCTGGCCATGACGCCCAGTCTGGATCGCTGGCTCTGATGACTGGTCCACTGCGAGGCTGGGACGGCAGCGGTTTTGGAGGGGAGGAGATGTTAAAAGCGCGGCGGTAAGGCCCTGCTGGGAGCGCCATGGCAGTCAAACTGGCTGTGGAAGATTAGCGGATGTTGGATGTTGAAGTGGAGTTGCGAAGAGTTGAGTAGAAGGTTGGTGTTGTTGCGGTGAAACAATGCGCTAGCAGTGAACAGGTTCAATGAATCACACGTGTTGCGTTTGTTGCCGCGCTCAATTTGGTTTTCACTCGCTGCGCGTGATGCTTGTACAGTGAAGAAGACTGAGGTATCTGAAGTTTGTTTGCGAGGACAGAAGCAGACAACAAGCAACGTATGTGAGCAAGCCCTTCAAGCATGAACTGCATCATATATACAGGCCGCACTACGTTGAGAAATTGCGCTCATACCATCATGCTAGGATACAGGAGATTCTTCGTGCAGTTGGCAAACAGGGCTCGGCACAGAGAACCGGACCGGTAAAGCATTGCTGCTACTTGACGTACCTACAGCCCCGATGGGCGGTCGGTCTGCGTGGCTCTTCGGAGAGCTTGGGTTGGGTGGCGAGGTCGGTGTTGGGAGAGAGGCAGTAGTCGAGAAAATTGAAAGTGGAAGTCGTTGCCTGCCAAATACGGCGACTGAGGGCTTGGCATCTATTGTGCTTTCCCATCCGGCATGCGCGCAGGCTCGGTATTGCCCTTGCAACCGGTGACAATGCTTCTGCGATAAGCCGGTGTCTGCGGCTGGCTGTGAGTATGATATCTGAGAAGGGTTGTGATGAGCTGGGTATCGTGACTATGAGCTCCCTCAGTAACATCGCGACTTCGCCTCTGCGGGCCATATCCTCTCGACTTTGAAAGGTAGACTTACCATGTAGATCAAACAAGCTCATCATCAACTCCAGGAAGCACGGTAGAACTTGGAAGCGAGACTTGAAGATGAGCTGCAGCGGAGCCATGTCAGAGATTTTAAATAAGATTCGTAGAACCAGACAGCTTAATAAACACCCGATTCATCTGCCCAAGCAACGGTCGAGGTGCGCCTCTCCCTGCACAATGTCGATGGCTGGCTCTCAAGCTCATATTCCTGTAGCCTTTCGCGCAGCTCTAGTCGACTGTAGCCATCAAGCGGCTCGATTACGGGTCGTTGCAGCTCTGAGCCATGTTTACACAGGCTTACCACATCAGAAAGTGAGGTCTGAGTTTTATCAGCCTGAAGCCAGCCGAGACAGTTCCAGTTCCCCGGTTGCGGCGGCAGGTTAGCGATGTCACAGCTACGAGGTAAACTCAGACAAAAGTGCAACGGAAAGGATTCGTCTTGTGGACAACATGTCCTACTCCTAAGCTCGGGTATCTTCCAGTTTTCAGCCTTCAAGCGCGGACTGTGTGGCTACCCAAAGTCCAGAAGCCGCGTCCCAGTATACAACAGGCCTTTCCGCGCTCACGGTCAACGCCAAACATTAAACGCCAAACGCTCATCATGTTTGCTAAGTGACTAGAATTCCGCCGTCGTCCCATCAAAAGTACTGCGCAGCTTGCGCGGCACGATAGACAGAGGTGTTGCCGGAGTACCACTTAGCACTTCACCGGTATCGAACGGCAGATCCTCCATCTCTTCGCACTGGTCCGTCTGGTCGTCCTCTCGATCGGTCACTGTCGGATCTTTACGTTTGAAGGGATCCTTGCCATCGCCTCCAACACGCACAGGAGACATGTTGCCGCGGCCAGCAGACACGTCCATCAAAGGTTGCCGGCCCGGGACCGGCTTACTTCTCACGGATTTGACCGAGTGCGGGAAAACACTGAGACGCGGCTGCTGTAGAGTTGGTACTTTGAAGGACTTGCGCGGCTTTGCGCGCTTGGGAGTGGGCCCGCTCTTCGACGATGCAGACTCGAACGAGCGGTTCGCATCCATCGCCGGCTCCGCTGTATCCAGCGGGTCCTCGTCAAAAGCATGGCGAGCCTGCGATATGGCGCCTGGATGGCTCTTCCGTTGAAGGGCACGAGTTCTCGGAGGCTGGCCACGGTCCATCTTCGTACCGGGAGCCTGAACTAGAGCGGCGGCGACCTCTTCCTGGATACCTAGAGCGCCAAGCATGTTCTTCCGGATGTTCTGCGCTTCGGTAAGTTCGGCCTCTTTCTCGACGAATGCTTTGGTGAGCTTGTCAATCTGGTGAGCGTTAGAGCCGTGCTTCGAACGGATCTCTCCTTTAAGACAACGTCCGAACCTTTCGCATCAGCTTCGCCACCTCCGTCTCTTTCCCTTGCAGTTCGAGGCCAAGGGAGTCGTGCGCGTGTCGGAGCTGAGCGCTTTCCTCGTGAATCCGCCGCAACTCTTCCTCATGTTGAGCTGTTGCAACGGTCGCCTGTTGTCCATTAGCTGGATAAAATGAACTACACAGTTACTGTTACTTGCCTGCTCATTGAGAGTATGGAGTATTTCTTGATGTTTGTAAGCCAACGTCTCCATCTCTTCTCTCGATGAGACTATGAGTCCCTCGTATTTCTCGTTCAGTGCGGACAGCTGGGCGTTCATTGCATCAAGCCTCGCTTGTGTTTGCTTCCTCAGAGCGCTCATCTCCACCTTCTCAGCCTTCAGCATTTGCAGCTGAGCTTCCATATCGACGAGACGAGTGTTATCTACGGAGAGGCTATGCTCGACTTCCGAGAGCTTCTTGCGCACCAGGTCATGGTTGCCACGTACCTCGTCCAGCTCTTGACGCACTGACTGGAGCTCGGCCTGAGTGGCCGCTTTGTCCTTGGCCATTTCACGGACGATCCTTTCGTGCTCCTCGATGCTACTGTTCTTGGCTGCAACAACGGTTCGGAACTCCATCTCCTTCTCCATGTGTTGCGCACTGAGTGCTGCTACCTGCCGCTCAGCTTGTTGATGCGCCTCCTTCAAGTGCCGGCGAAGCTCTGTTGCCTCTTCAGAAAGGTCGTCATTGTCGGATTGGACGGCGCCAAGATCCGCCTGTATCTGAAGCTTTTCTTTTTCGAGCGTCTCCAAGTACAGATGCTGATCGATCGCTTGCGCTTCAAGGTCTGCCGCATGTTTACTGATCTTATCGCATTGGTCTTGCACTTCTTTGCGTCTCCTTTGCTCTTCTCTAAACGGCGCTTCTGCATCTTTGCACCTTTCTTCCAGGTCTCGACAGATCTGATCAACTGTACGAACCGTAGCCTCGTGGTGCAGCTTGGCCTCGGTCTGAAACTCTGCGGCAAGCCGTGCTCGCCAGTCGTGGCTGTCAACCTGTACGTTGGGCGTCCCTTCCAGCTGAGCGAGAGAGATCTTCGGCGCTTGTCGTACAACTTCAGTTGAATGTCCACACGGCGACAGCTGCCTTGCAAACTCTTGCTGCTTGTCAAGCAGAAGCCAGATAGTGGACAATGCGATGACATGCCCCTCTGCCTGTGCAGCGACGGCAGACTTGAGCAATAGCGAGCATGTAACAAGACCCAGTTGCATCCGCATATCCAGAGAAGCTTGCGCGCATGCGGCGGCTCGAAGGACTTCCGCTGGCGAGGTAGAGATCGATGTGGTGAGAAAGCATTGAAGTATATCCTGCAGCTCGTCGGACACGAGTGCTGACAGGAGAGCTTTTCTGGTCTGCGGGCTGACTTGAGCCACACTTGTCAGGCTTCGCATCAAGACGCTATACAGTCTTGACTCCTGGAATCGCTGCTGATTTGGCTGTACCACATCTCTAAACGCACGACGCAGCAGCTCCAAGAAGAATGGCACACTAAGATGAGGCTTCATTCATTCAGTAAGTTGATTGTGTTACCTAGAGTAAGGGATTCACTTACAGCGAAGGAGCGCAAAGCCACATCCAAGGCACTCCGCAATTGTCGATGAGTGACCGACAGTTGACCAAGGTTAAGTAAGAGTTTCTCAAAAGGTGCCAAGGTCCGGACATGCTCGAGTGATGATTCCGCCAAGGGCGCAACAAAAGCCCACGCCTGTGTACGTCAGGGACAGGAAATCGTAAGATTGCTGCGATTACCAACCTCAAGTTGTAGTTCCGGGCTGATATGCGCAGCTTTCAAGCTCTCCGCCAATTTCTCGATCCAATGCCCGCTCTTACGACGCCAAGCATCGACGGCCTGCGTGGGAAACGCACTAAGAGTCCGGCGAGCGGCCCTAGCGGTTTTTACGGCCTCGCTTTGAGAGATGGTATTGTCCTTCTTACAAGCGAGGTAGGTCCGCAAAGCCAACAGGTCAAGAGTTTTATAAGACTTCTCACCGGTGAATAACTCTTGAAACTTTGGACGCTCGCTGGCGCGCCCGATTCGATCTTGGCGTGCTGGGGGTGTGCTTTCTAGGAGTGTGGACGGTACTAGGCAGTCCGAGAATGGCATCTGTTCCAAAAGTATCGTGCCGATGGCCAGGCAGAGAAGCGTGAGCGCCTGATCGCCATGGCTTGGTAGGCTTTTGATTGTCTGGCGGAGGTGCTCCAAAAATCCATCAAGCTTGTGTGGAGGCAGGAGGCTAATGGACTGCCTACATGGACCGTCGAGCAGTGAGAAAACGGCACCGAGGTTTTCGATCGACGGAGACCGCACTGCCTTGTCAAACACTGCTAGGAAGAACTTCTGTGCTGATGCCGGTACTGGAAGCGTTTCTGGCAAGGGCTCCTGGAGGAGGCTTGTGCAGACACTGGAGTACTGAGTCTGAGGTCAGCTCTCGCCGCTGCTATGCGTACCAGAAAGACAATTGTAGCCTACCGCATCGACATTGTGAGAGGAAGTTGTCGCTTTCGTGAGGAACGCGTCGAGTAGCTTCGGGTCCTGCTGCAATACCGTGTTGCGAAAAGATATGGAACAAGCTAAGCACACCACCAATCATTAGCCCTCGTAGTAGAACACTCTCAACTCTGCCAATCGGCACCAATTGACACCTACCAAGGCTATCCAGAATTCTCAAGGCGTAGGGCCACAGCTGAAGTGCCTCTCGCACCGCCGACGCCAGTGCTCCGACCTGGCAAGGATGGCCATCGGCCCATTCGCGGATGATAATATCATCGGCCTGTAGTAATATGTCGTCGAGTGTCTTACACAGAGATTAGCTACAATGCGCTCATGAATATCGTCAAGATGGTTGAGATTGTCGTGGAGATCGAGTGCTGCGGAAGGCATGGGGGAAGGTCGAGTCCGAACTTCCATGCCAGCAACCGAACTCACCTGTAAGCTGACCAGGTATGGCGAATAGACTATTCTTTCGACCTCTGATGACAGAGCCTGCAGCGATCCAGCCATCACAAAAGCCTCGGCTAGACAGCTCTACAAGCAGAAGATACGGCACTGAGTTGCTATCTCAACGCGGTGTTCGGGTTTCCAGCTACGCGCCCAGTCGCGCTTTCCCATGACCTCCACCAGGCGCTACCGAGCATCACTCCAGCAACCGCTGTCAGAGTAAACATCACGCAAAACTGGTCCCCAGCGCCGTATCGATTACTCCCATTGCTCTTGGACTCGCCAGTACATTGACAGCAACATGTCTTACCATCCAGGGGCAGAGTCAGAGCCGAATGCGGGGAGAAGTGGGATGAAGACCCACGCACATCAACCCTCGTGCACGGCCGAGTTGCCAAGATACAGTAGCATGGCATCTAAACAAACTCTTACTCTTGTCTACGTCTGGAGTTGGATCACGGTACCTAGGTATACTGAGGGTCAGGACGCAGAATTCTGATTGCAGCAGCAGCAGACCAATTATGCAGATTCCATTATCCTCTTGCTGCCTCTCCGACTGTCTCGTTCTTCGTTGCCGCATCAGCAGCAAGATCTTCCCATCCCGCACAGGCTTGCAATCCCTGTGGCAGATCCCATGCAGACTGCTTCGAAGGAGAAAACCATTGCAGGTTGAATTTGCAACGCGCCCACGCAGTTCGGATCTCGTGTATATCTGGTTCTCATCGAAGTAGAAATACAACTGACAAAGGCTTTCGAACAATAGCCCTAGGATTTCGCCAGAACAATATGCCGAACTGCTTTGAGGGCGGCAAATCCGAGGATGATTCGCCGAAGACGTCTGCGCAACAGCCCCCCCCCCTTCCCCACTTGCACTGCGCCGATATCCGACACCTGTTTGTATTGCCTATTACGAGTATTTATCCAACGAGCAGCCCAGATGCTGTAGGGTTCGGCGACAACGTGGAAATAACTCTCCTGACCTGCTGGCAATGTACTAAAAAGGTTGCATTGCCGCTACTCTTCACAAGTACTCAAGTTTGGCGTAATAATACTTCAGATAGCCGCGAGGTCACTCACTATGACCTGACGATATGAGGCCCTTCCGGACAGCAAGAGCCTTGACCAGGCCTGTAGGAAAGTGGGTTAACGCGGGATCAAGGTCCGCCTCATCGCAGCACTTTAATAAAGCAACCGCTGGTCAGAAGCCCTTCTGGACCGCAGGTCGCGTCGCGCTATTCAGTGCATTTACCGGCTCACTTGCATACCTCTACGGTGTCAGCGATTCTCGTGCGGGCATTGCGACACCATGGACGACAAAGCAGACGAAGCAGACAACACCGAAGTATGCCGCCAAACAGGAGTTGGAAAAGGTTATTGTACTGGCATCGTGAACTATGAAGCTGAGTATTGACCATTCGCCAGGCAATCAGTGAACTGCGAGCTTCATTAGGCGACGATGCTATCAGTACCGACGACGAAGATCTCCGCGTTCATGGCTATTCAGAGTGGTCGTCGATCAACATCGATCAGTTACCGGTAGCTGTAGCATATCCGAAATCCACCGAGGAAGTCTCGAAAATAGCCACAGTATGTTACAGGTACAAGATACCGATGAGTGAGTTGAGACAGGCTCTGACTCTCTGACACTTGTTAATCAGCGGAATCAGTCCCGTACTCTGGCGGATCAAGCCTTGAGGCCAATTTCTCCGCCCCGTACGGAGGTATGAGTATCGATTTCGCATTTATGGACAATATTCTTGCGTTGCACGAGGAAGAGTGAGTCATCTGGTACTTAGAGGTTGGCCCTGCGCGGTCTGCTGCTGACGGTGGTGATTCAGCATGGATATCGTAGTGCAGCCTTCAGTGCCGTGGATGGGCCTCAATGAAGAAATCAAAGGTTCTGGGTTGTTCTTCCCGGTGGATCCCGGCCCATCAGTAAGTTGTCTTGACACTGTACTTCTACCTGTACTAATTCTGCAAAGGCAAAGATTGGAGGGATGGTAGGAACGAGCTGCAGGTACAATATAAGATCATGTCCGGACAGCATCTAGACATTGTGAGCTGACTGCGCATCAGCGGTACGAACGCCGTCCGATACGGCACAATGAAGGACTGGGTCATCAATCTGACAGTCGTGCTGGCCGATGGCACTGTGGTGAAAACACGTCGCAGGCCGAGGTGAGCTTTCCCTGGATCACACAGCTGCCTTGTACTATGCTGAGTCGTCATACAGGAAGACAGCAGCTGGTTACAACCTGACCGGCCTCTTCATCGGCTCTGAAGGCACTCTCGGCATAGTTACCGAGATCACATTGAAACTCGCCGTGATCCCACAAGAGACAAGCGTTGCTGTGGTCACTTTCCCCACCATCCGTGACGCCGCAGCTGCCGCTTCGAAGGTTCTACGGAAGGGTGTCCCTGTGGCCGCTATGGAAATCATGGACGATGTTCAGATGAGGGTGATCAACAAGACTGGCAATACAGACAGGGAGTGGAAGGAGATGCCCACTATGTTCTTCAAGTGAGTCTGAGTGCAATGGAAGGCTAGATCGCAGCTAATCCTCCACATAGGTTTTCTGGTACAAAGGCTGGAGTGAGTGGTTCAGAGATTCACAACGTGCATGCAGTCTGGTTTTACGGTGGCTCACATCATTGCAGGTTCAGGAGAACATCAAGCTTGTCAAATCAATTGCAAAAGCACATAAAGGCGGCGACTTCATCTTCGCCTCCGACGCCGATGAGCAGAAGAAACTATGGTCTGCCCGCAAGGAGGCGCTGTGGAGCATGCTAGCTCTCCGCGAAGAAGGCCACGACGTCTGGTCAACGGACGTGGCAGTGCCGATATCAAGGCTTCCTGATATCATTGGTAAGCAGATTATCAAGCGACAGCATCCGCCCGTCCTGATCCAGAGCAACAGAGATCTCCAAGAAAGAGATGGACGACCTAGGCCTCTTTGCTAGCATTCTCGGTCACGTAGGCGACGGCAATTTTCACGAAAGTATCCTTTACAACGCCAAGGATCCCAAGGAGCGCGCCGCCGTTGAGAAGTGCATTCATGACATGGTCGACAGGGCTATAGAGATGGAAGGCACCTGTACCGGCGAACACGGGATCGGGCTTGGGAAGAAAGGATCCCTTGTAAAGGAACTCGGGCTCGATACCATCGGCGTCATGAAGAGCATCAAGAGTGCACTGGACCCGCACTGGCTGCTGAACCCAGGGAAGATCATGGACTTTCCTGGTTGATCACAGTGTCATTTGGTTGTTAGCGGTGTGATGTTACTTCTTCTGTCTTCTGTGGCATCGCATTGTGGCCCGGATTGGCCGGGCATCGGCGTCGGGGAGTTTGGCTCAATCCTAGCTGTATAATTACAGATTGGAGCAGACGACACAATCCCTTGATCATGGTTGCGCCGGATGAGCCTCATGAACCTTGGAACTCAGACTTGGTTAATGCTGTGATAATTCGCAAACCCCTGTTCGTCAGACCCTGCGTCATCTGAAATGCGATGTCGGCGAAAACACCCCACGTCGACTTTGAAAAAAGTGCCTGACTCAGCCCAATTGCAACTACCACAACACAACATGGACGTAGAACATTTTACTTCGAAGAAGCCAGACTTTCCCAAGAAGAAGTGCGGTCCGTGATTTCCACAAGCAGATTGAAACCTGTGTTGACAGTGTTGCAGGAGTCCTAGGCGCAACGGGCTCTGTGGGGCAGCGCTTTATCCTCCTTCTCGCGCTCCACCCGCACTTCACGCTTCAAGCTGTCGGCGCCTCTGAGCGATCTGCGGGCAAGAAATATAAAGATGCTGTGCGATGGAAACAGGCCATGCCCATGTCCAAGCAATTGGGGGAGTTAGTCGTTCGAAAATGCACGCCAGATGAGTTCAAAGACTGTGATCTGGTATTCTCAGGGCTGGACAGTGATGTTGCCGGCGATGTTGGTATAGCACCTTTAAGACCGCATGATATGCTATAAGGAGGAGCTAACCGAATCTTAACGCAGAAATGGCCTTCCTCAAGGCCAACCTCGCCGTCTTCTCAAACGCCAAAAACTACCGCCGTGATCCTATCGTCCCCCTCGTCGTCCCAACCGTCAACCTCTCCCACCTCGACGTCCTCAAACATCAGCGGAAGCACCACAACCTCGACAAAGGCTTCCTAGTCTGCAACTCCAACTGCGCCGTCATCGGCCTCGTCATCCCCTTCGCCGCTCTCCAGGCGAAGTTCGGCCCTGTAGACAAGGTTTCAGTAGTCACAATGCAGGCTGTGTCGGGCGCCGGCTACCCCGGCGTCAGCAGCATGGACATCATCGACAACGTCGTGCCCTTCATCAGCGGCGAGGAAGACAAGCTGGAGAGCGAGGCACAGAAGATTCTCGGGAGCGTTAACGACGATGTCACTGGCTTTGTCGACCAGCACCTGCGCGTCAGTGCGGCGTGTAACAGAGTGCCTGTCCTGGACGGCCACACGGCATGCGTGAGTCTGGCTTTCGCGAAGAGGCCGCCGCCGAGTGCAGAGGAGGTCAAGCAGGCTATGAGGGACTACGTGAGCGAGGCACAGAAGCTTGGGTGCCCAAGTGCACCGGAACAGGCGATTGTGGTTATGGAGGAGCCGGACCGGCCGCAGCCGAGGCTGGATAGGGAGACGGATCGGGGGTATGCTGTCAGCGTGGGCAGAGTTAGGGAGGACGAGAGCGGGATCTTTGATATCAAGTTTGTTGCTTTGAGTCATAATAGTAAGTTGATCTGTGCTAATCGATTGCTATGTGAGCACGCGCTAACCTGGCATAGCTATCATCGGAGCAGCTGGGTCTTCAATATTGAACGCAGAGGCGGCGGTGCTCAAGGGTTACGCGTAGAATGTATAGATAACATCCGCGTAATGGCGTTCTCTATCGTGCTCAAAGACTGCGCGGAATTGAAGATACAGTGCTATGCTACAAATGATAAAGCCTCGCAAGCTATGGGAGATGTTTCTATAAGGGGCATCGTGTTGTGATCGCAGTTTCGCTATGCGTATATACCACTCGTAGTAGATGCTTGACGTGTTTCAAGCATAGATCCGTCTTTGTCAATACTCACAATACATGAAGAAACGCATTGCGTCTAGAAATCTGCCAAGAATTTTTGAGGACGCACCCAAAGTGGCTTAGCCTCGCTTAGTCATCACGTGTGCGAACTTTTGGCGAAGTGCGAAATTGAAGCTGTGGACGTCGGAACATCAAGATCTCGACGACGAGCGACAACCCACTCAACACCTTCTAACCCTCCGTGATCCAACACCGCAATCATGGGTCGTGGACCGTAAGTCCCTTTCGAAGGCATCACAGAAGAAATCAGGCCGATTGCTGCGCATCTGAGGTGGACAACTTAACAGACACTAACAACTCTCCTCCCACAGAAAGAAGCACCAAAAGCGCCTTTCAGCGCCATCGCACTGGCTGCTCGACAAACTCTCGGGCGCCTACGCACCCAAAGCCTCCCCCGGTCCTCACAAACTCCGCGACTGCATGCCCCTCATCGTCTTCATCCGCAACCGACTAAAGTACGCGCTCAATGGGCGCGAGACCAAGGCGATCATGATGCAGCGGCTGGTCAGGGTCGACGGCAAGGTCCGCACCGACGTGACCTACCCAGCCGGCTTCATGGACGTGATCTCGATCGAGAAGACGGGCGAGAACTTCCGGCTGGTGTACGACACCAAGGGCCGCTTCACCGTGCACCGCATCACGGCCGAGGAGGCGGGATACAAGCTCGGCAAGGTCAAGAGGGTGCAGTTGGGCAAGGGCGGGATCCCATTCTTGGTTACGCACGATGCGCGGACGTGAGTCAAACTCTCCTCCCGCACATCTGTCAGACGTTGGACCAAGCTTTGGCGATGGCGGACCGCGCTATGCGGCCGTCTGGCTGGGAGGAACGAAGTGCTGACAGAGCGCCTTGTGCGGCAATAACAGTATCCGCTACCCGGACCCGGCTATCAAGGTCAACGATACCGTCAAGATTAACCTCGAGGACGGCAAGATCACGGATTTCATCAAGTTCGACTCGGGCGTCATCGCGATGGTGACGGGTGGTCGCAACATGGGTCGTGTCGGTGTCATCACCCACCGTGAGCGCCACGACGGCGGCTTCAACATCGTCCATATCAAGGACGCTGTTGACAACGAGTTTGCTACCCGGGAGAGCAACGTCTTCGTTATTGGGCTCGAGAAGCCGTGGATAAGTCTGCCGAAGGGCAAGGGTGTCAAGGTAAGATCTACATCTATTGCGGACATCTCAACAACAGCTGATAGATACATAGCTTTCCATTGCCGAGGAGAGGGATCGCCGCAGGGCTTATGCTCTTGCTGGCCACTAAACACCTGGCTGGGAGAGCGGTGGACGTTGGAAAAGCGGCGGAGTACTGGAACATGCGCTGCTCGGCTTCTCCGTTTCATGTATTCAGTGCAACAAAGGGCATGCATCTACAATGAATTCAAGATATGATTGTTTGTGGTGTTGTACTTGGTCTTTGTGCGTCGCCGTAAAACCCTCATGCTGGGCGACAAGGTCCCGTATCCTCGAGGACCTTTGTGTCTCGCAGTCACCAAAGTCCCTCGTAACTGGATACTACTCAAGTTGTATTCTCAACCTACGGCAACGCTGCCCGTTTACGTTTCGAAACGCCTTATGCACCAACTTCGTTGCACTGCATAGACGCTGGCTTCACATCGCCTGTTCTGCATGAGCGGTTTGGACCTGCGTGCGAGGAGCACGGCAGTCTGTTTTTAGATGGGGAAAGGAGGCGCAAGGATGGCGCGTTCGTCGTTGCAAGCCCGGCTTGTGGGCTTCCAAACGGCAATCCGTGTGTCCACGACCGGGAAGTGTGCCGGGACGGTAATTGCGACGGGCGGAAGACCGTTTGTGCATAGCGGACTCCGCGCCAATTCCGTGTCTTTTTCGTTCTGCCACGGTGTAGCAACGCTCTTGACTACTAACGTTATACAATTGTGCTCACTGTAGACGTGCAAAGATCATCTATAAAACGCGGCCGCATTGAAAGCCACTCGTGGGCATTAAGGTGGATACCCCACGCGCAGTTTCTAGACCAAGGATATCTTGATGGACTGCTGAACATCTTGTGCTTTTCATCGCATGAGATCGGCCTAGCTGTTCTATGATTGACAAGGTCGTGAGTCCAGTTTGATGATGAACTTGGCGTTGAATAAGCTGGAGCAAAGATGCGGCAACGGACTTGTTGGATGGGTTTGGGTGGATACGATGATGATTGACAGGTATCCATGATCGCTGCTGTGCCGGTCTTGGCTCAATTTGCTTGCGCGCAAGTGCGGGTTCCTGAGGTTTTAGCAGATGCACGGTAACGAACCGGGCTTTGACATTGGCTTTCGTCCGGGTCATATCATTGGCCGTTAACAGTGCATCTAGCCGCAGTCGCGGTAGTTTTGCATGTGGCTTGCTTGGGTCAAATGCGCCGTTTGGTTCGACTGAGGCAAGCGGGGGACAACCTGGAAAGACGGGCGAGCGAACCTCACCACCACCACCACCGCCAGAGTGCGTTCTGTGCCCCCCGCAAGGCAGGCTGGACACTTCTCTGCCAACTTTTGCTAGTTACTCCTACGTTCGCTACGCCCACTTCCCATCACTGCCTCGTTTTTTTCGTGACAAGACTCTGTATTTTCTTGACGGCCGTCCCGGGGACCAATGCTCCTACAACAGTCTGCCGCTCGTTTCGCTCCCCCCTACTGCGCCTGCACCGCCGCACCATCACGCTTGACGCGCCGCTGATATTCGCCTCCCAATCCCACGTTGGACGTGCAATACTGGGGGCTGTTCTCTTCATACTGGCGACGGAGCTGGACATCTCATAATACTTCCCTTAATTCACGCCCGCAGCCATGTTGCGGCCGGCGACCCCCCTATCCGTCCTCTTCTTCGCCGCTTTCGTTCTATTACTCCTTTCGACCTTGACCACGCCCATCATCCAAGCGATACCGCTCGCGACTTACCAGGGCGTCAATTTCGGAGTGTTTGGCTACTGCCAGGGGGACAGCTGTAGTGGCATCCGGATAGGATACAGCACTGGTACGCCTATACCGAGTTACCACATTCGGCCCCCTTCCTACCTCCCCGATGTGCTCCATGGCCGTTCATCGGCCCTGGTCCGAAAACACTCCATGCATTGTTAGGTAACTAACTTTCCTTCCCACTTAGATGGCCTCTTCCCACAAAATTCCAATGGCGACTTCTCTCTCCCCTCCTCAACCCGGCACTCGCTCTCCGCAATCCTCATCGTCCACCCAGTCGCCTGCCTCCTCACCCTAATATGCTTCGCCCTCGCCGTCGCCGCACACTTCCACTCTCCTGCCCACTCTCCACGATTCCTGCTCGCCCTGCTCATCCTCACTTTCCCGACCTTACTGGTCTCACTCTTGGCTTTCCTGGTCGACCTGCTACTGTTTGTGCCCCATGTAGCTTGGGGCGGCTGGGTCGTACTAGCAGCCACAGTCTTGATTGTTGCAAGCGGCGTCGTGACCTGTGCCATGCGCCGCACCCTCGTATCCCGTAAAGCGCGCAAGAAGCGCATTGCCCAGAACGCCGAGATGAACGGCGAAAACTTCTACGCGGCGCGCGCGGAGCAGCAGGGGAACTTCCTGCCAAGAGCGGAGAGCCCGCCGCCGATGGGAGCTGATGGCACACCGGTGGGAGAAGGGAAGGGGGCGCAGTTTGCAACATTTGAGATGCGCAAGAAAAACAGTGATGACCGGGAGCCGTTGAACCCGAAGAATCCGAGCGTGAGGAGTGCAGGAACGGACGGCGGTCCAACGGTGACAAGCATGTCTGATGATGGTGCTGGCCGGTACGGGGAGCAGGGAAGAATGGGTCAAGGGCTTGGTAATGTGCCGATGGGAAGAGGGAGGGGAGCTCCGAGGGATCAGTACGGCAACCCGCTTCCGCAGCTGACGGAAAGGGGATATGGCCCGGGTGCACCGGGATTCATTCCGCCGCTGAGACATCACGGGAGCAATGGAACTATGGGATCAAACAGATCTGGCGGCCCGCCACCAACTTACGGGAGAGGAAGAGGCGGGTATCCTCCGAGAGGAGGCTATCCGCCACGCGGAAGGGGTGGACCGCAGGGTATGCGAGGGCCGCCGCCACCGGGGTGGAACGGGCACGGAAGAGGCGGACCGATGATGGGACGAGGAGGACGAGGGCCGTCGCCCGCTGGCTATGACAGCAGATACTATGGCGGGCCCCCACCAGGTGTAAACGGTGGTCCGGGCCCGATGTATGGAGGACGGATACCGATGCCAAGAGATGGCTCACCCGCGCCTGGGCCGTACCCTATAGGTCAGGAGCGGATAGGGGAGGCGGTCGAGATGGATACCATGAACGGCGTGCCACCTCAGATGGGCAACAACTACGGCTTGAGAGACAGCGACGGAGATGTGCAAGGCATGGTTGGGCTACAGCAAGGACTGGCGCCGTCGGGACGGAGAGGCTCGGGCACGCTTGCCAGCCCGACTAGCGCATACTCGCATGAGTGAGTTACTCTCTCCGCTATCTCACTCCCTCATTTACCAGACGCATACCAGACGCTGACAAGGACTCCCAGGAACTACGTCCCGCCCCGCACCAATTGGCAAAATAACCTCTCTCCAACCAGTCCTGATTTCTCCCATCCAAATAATCAACGAGGCGGTCTTTCGCCCATCGAAGCTTCCCCTGTCGAACTAGCAGGCGATACTCTAGTCCAGCCGATGGCAACCAATTTCTCCAAACCGACCTCACCCCGCCCACGGACGCCCAAAACAGCCGATTTCGACCCGCTAGTCCACCAACCGCACGACCAACCCCAGAACCCTATCCCCGACCTCGGCCAAGTACCGCCCCAACACCCCGCCGCGCCTTTTCCCAGCCAAAGCAGCAACCACACGCGCATGAACTCAAGCGACAACTACTACGAAGACGTAGACCCACGCTTCGCAGAGCCCTCACCCCAATCCAGCGCCGCAACCCCACCCGTGGGCGCCACGCTTCCCTCCGCGCTATTACCAGGCAGCACTGGTACTCGCCCCCTCCACTCCGCTAACGATAACGCGACGACATACCTCCCGCCTGCCAGCGCCAGCCACGGCTTCCTCCACCCAACCAACACGCCCCCCGGGCTGGAGCGCAACTCCTCGTACGCAGAGCTCCCCGTCGGCGCCCGCAGTCCCGCCGAAAGCGACAACTCCCAGTTCACGAGCGTGAGCCAGCGGCCCGTGAACCCGAACTGGCGGCCGCCGCAAGGAGGCGCTCCGGGTCCGGGACCGCATCATGGGCCCCACAGCCATAGCCCGCTGAACCACGGCCCAGGACCGTATGCCGCGCAGCCGCAGCAGCATCTGCAGCAGGGGTATTCCGCCGGGCCCGGCCCACAAGGCCCAAGGAGGCGGCCGAACGAGCAGGATGTGGTTCTGAACGCGAATCCGGATTTCTCGGTTCCGGGCATGGGGCCACCGGGACGGCTGAGGCAGAATAGCGGCGGTAGGGGTGGGGGCGCGATGGGTGGGATGACGATGCCGATGGCGAGGGGGATGGTAAGTGGGACGAGTGGCGGGGCGGGGAGTGCGGGGGGGAGGTATCCGGCGAGGGACTCGGTGGGGCCGGATGAGTATAAGCTGTAGGCTGTTATGTGGGGTTTTGTATTTATGAAGGGGCTAGAGATGGAGGATGGTGTGACGCCCGCTCCAGTTTCTTCAAGGAGGCTGTAGGGCGGGTTTGTGGACTTTCTTTCTCTAGCATGGCACGGTAGGGTTTTTGGTGCCTGGCCGGTCGCCAATGTCGATAGGGCGGCCTGAGAGGGTCGTGGGGCTTTCGCTTTTTGGTGCATATGTTGTTTTCATTAACCTGTATAGTGCTGGGGTATATATTTCTTAACTCGTAAACTCTATTCGCTGGGAAGCCGTATCTCTGTTCGTTCGCTCCGTGCATGACAGCTCCATATTTCCATCCAGAAACACGGAAGTACCGTGCCTGCCGAAAGATGCTCTTGAGAGGGGTTTCTATCCTCGATAGTCTAGCTATGGAGGCGGAGTAAGGGTGCGCTTGTTCATCTGAGCAGCTTTCCCAGCAACTTTTTTCTCCACCTTCGCACTCCTCCCCAGTCATCGCCTCAGCCAAAAACGGAAACTAAAAGTACACCACGCTACAAAAGCCCGACATCTTCGCCTCAAATTTCTATTCCAGCTCGTCAGGATACTGTATAACGGAAGCTCCGGCGCTTGCGCCGAAGCGGGGTCGGCAACATTCTGGAGTCTCACTATGGACGATTGAGGGAACAGCTCATCTTTTGTTCCCCATAAACGGAGAAGGCTGAACGTAAGGTTCAACAGGTAGGTTGGGTGGGGAGCCTCAAGCAGACAGAGATTCGTCTAGGCCGGTGACTGAAGAGAGCCAGAGGCAGCGAATTGGACCGCCGTCACAAGCACACTATCGATTTTCGGAACCGCGGAACTGCCGCATGTGTTCAGAGGCCACGGGACTTCCGTGCGCAGCGTGCACAGCACCAGCCGCATAACCAACACCACGCCCTGAACCAATACCATTTCTCCTTGCTATCCCCACGCTCAAAAAACACGGTCCGCGGCTGCCCCCTCCCCCCCCAATCACCCAAATATCCAACCCGAAGGAAACCCCATCAACCTCCCCGTCCCCCGCTTTGACCACCACCCCCCACAACCCTGCCAAAAACACTAATCCGACTCCCCATCCCCTTCTGCATGCCACTAAGCAGCGCCTCCTCCAACGCACTCTGCGTGACGCTCTCAGCATCCAGATCACTAAAACTACTCCCCATGCTCGGCGTCCCCTCGCTGCCGTCCCGTCCCGTCCCCCTCATGCCAGGCGAAAGCGGCGAGAGCGCACCGCGCGCGAGGTGCGAGGCGCGGTGGCGGGGGGAGAGCGCCGTCGGCGGCCGGGATGCGGGGTTGGACTGCGGCTGCGTGAGCGCTGTGTCGTGATACGGGCTTTGGCCGGCGGCGGTGGGGAGAGGCGGGGCGGAGGACGTTGAGGATGCGGAGGTCGCGGAGGAGGAGGGGTGGGTGATGGGGACGAGAGCAGCGGCAGCAGCGGGTTGTTTGGCTCTCGCTCTCCCGACCGCTGAGAGGGGCCGCTGGGGAGGCTCGGTGGTGGCGCGCGCGGTGCCGGGCCGCTCCCTCGTGCTGTTGTGTCGAATCGGGAGGGGATGGCGCAGCGTTGCGCTGGGGTCGTGGACTGGTTGCTGCGCCGGCTGGTGCTGCTGGCGTGCCACTGGGTTCGCGAAGGGCAGGAACTCGGCTGAGTCTTCGTCGTCGTAGTCTTCGCCGGGCTGGGACTCGTCGTCTACGGCGCTCAGGGCTGGTTTGACGCCCCGAGCGCCGAAGCGGGGTGGTCGCTTGAAGAGCTGGCTGCGGCGGAGTCCGGCGTTTGCGGCGTCGTTGTCTGCCTCTGAGTCGGAGGAGGAAGAGCCGGAGCTGGCTGGTGGCGGCGAGGGGGATGCAGGTGGTCTGGTGCTGCTGTTCTCTGTTTCGGCTGTTGTCTCGAGCGTGGGCGACGTGCGGCGAGGCGGAGGAAACGAGGAGCGAAAGGACGTCCTCAGAGGCTGGCGGGGCGACGGCGGTAGAAAGTGGCGAGACTGGGTGATTGTCGTCGTGGACGGCGTGCGTGATAGCGGTGCTGCGTCCGTATCCCATATTAGCAGCTTCCTCCCGTGTATAGCAGTGTACGAGGCAAGCTTACCTCCTGGCCGCGGCGTCCCAGGCACACTGCTCTCGCCCCTTGGGACCGGACTAGCAGTAGGCCTCTGGCTCAACACTGACGGCGCTCTCGAAGCCCCGCTCCCTGTTCTCTTCATCGCTACTCCTCCCACCGTTCCCGCACCTCCACTCCCACTGCTCATTCCTGGCGTAGGAGTCGGCGTAGGCGTAGGCGATAAGGCTGCAGGTACTGCCCCTACTCCCGCTCCGGCTCCCGCTCCGGCTCCCGCACCGCCGACCCGCCTCATCTGCGCCCTCACATGGCTCAGATGCCTCTCATACAGCCACGCCGCCTGCTGCAGCAGAAACGTCTGGCTGACTCCGAACCGCTGGCTCAGCTCGCCCCAGTCCAGATCGCTGGTGCGCGGGCTCTTCGAGATGGTCTTCCAGAGCGCGCGGTCCTTGGCTGCGTCCCAGTCGGTCTGGGGAGGGTCGACGAAGGAGCCGCGGGGGAAGGGGAGGCGGATGAGCAGCGTGAAATGCGTGCTTGGTGCGGATGGGGCGGGCACGCGTTTGGAGGACGTACGCTGCGGTTTTGGGGGGTTGGCCAGGGAGGGGTTTCGAGAGTGGGAGGTTACTGGCGGTGCGGAAGGGTTTGAGGGTGGTGGGGACATGGTTGAGGCGGAGGATCTTGTGGGATTTGAGAAGAGATGGAGTAGAAGGCTGCTCGAGGCTGTGGTGTAAAGTACTTTGCTAGCTCGTGATAGACCTACGATAATGCGATAAGAGCTCCGATAAGAGCTCCGAAATCGTGATGCCAAGATGTCCGATCCATCTATCTACAGCGCACTGAGCATGGTCTTAGAGAGATCTACACCTAAGTAGCCTGCAAGCAACTAAGCAAGCTAGAATATTTAGGAAAGCTAGAGCGCTCTTGTAACAGGGGGCAGTTATTCCGGCTACTACGACTAGGCTACTTACACTCACGAAGCAAGAGGACTAGGGTTCCCCGCAATCCTAGATGCTATCTAAGACCGTCTGCTTACCATGCATACGAGTACCATTACTAAACACCTGCCGCTAACAACCATATAAACATACCGATAGAAGAAAGCTCTAGATTTCTCCTCAGTTAACCGCCTTACAGCTTCAGCAGTCATCCGCCTCAAACATGGCCGAGCATCTGTACATCGACGAGACTCCGGACGAGGTCAAGAATGCCCAAGGCCTACACTTGATCACGCAGAGCACGCCAAATGGCCAGAAAGTGCAGATCATGCTCGAAGAGCTCAAAGATGCCTACGGTACCTCCTGGTCAACAACGATCATCAACATCATGACGAACGAGCAAAAGAAGGAGTGGTTCCTGCGCCTCAACCCCAACGGCCGCATCCCCGTCCTCGTAGACAACAACCAAGACCCGCCGTTTCCGGTGATGGAAACGTCTGCCGAATTGCTGTACCTGCTAAAGGTCGCAGACAAGGAGGACCGCTTCGGGTTCAAGGATGACCTAGAGAGGAGCCAGTGTCTGCAGTGGCTCTTCTTCTGGCACGGCAGTGGTGCGCCCTACCAGGGGCAGGTGAACCACTTCTCGCGGGCAGCACCGGAGAAAATCGAGTGTATGATGTCTCTCAACAGCCTTTTCATTTGAGGAATCCGCGTTATCGAAAGCTGACATCACATCTCTCCGCAATGCAGACGCGATCAAGCGGTTCAAGAACGAGACCCTCCGCGTATACGGCGTCTTGGAGATACGCCTTTCCGGCAAATACACCGGCGAGCCACGCGACTATCTCGCCGGCAATGGGAAGGGGAAATACTCGGTCGCTGATATCGGGACTTGGACGTGGGTAAAGGGCTGGGAGAAGACCGGCTTCACGAAGGACGAGATGGAGCCATTTCCTCACTTGCTCAAGTGGATCGACAGAATTGCTGCCAGGCCAGCAGTCCAGAGGGGTATTGGTGAAGCCTACAACATGCAGAAATAAGTTGTGTCCTTGAGCCCTAGGCGATGAATTGCCAAAGGATAGGGAACCCCATGTAATCTGTGACATGGTTGACATGGCTGTGGCGGGTAGAAAAGCTGCGGGTATGAGTGACAAGATGGGTGTAGACGACGAGACATGTTATTAGAATGTATTGCTCGCTCGTGACATGGCGTTCCGACACATGAGAGCTGCCTACGATAAGAGCTGTGATAAGAGCTCCGATAGAGCTCCGAATTGTGCCAAGATATCTCCATTCGTTCATCTACTACCAAGGGTGACACGGAAAAGTCGCGGCCACGCGAAAGTTGTCTTAAATCATTACCACTCAACAACACTATTGCATAGACATATCTATATCGGAATCGACGCTACTCTACCCCTTCTACTACTAACCATAAGTGTAGGCTATTTCATCTAGATTTGGCCGCGAATAGTAAGCTTTGATGCACTGCGAATATAGGTGAATTACTATGAGGCGGGGTGTCTTCGGCGATTTGGCGTGGCCATCATTTTTCCGTGTCACCCTTGTACGCATGGGTGTGGTGCTAGAGGTCTCTACGTCTGTGAAGCTGACACGGGTGTGCAGTAGATAGCTCATTGTATTGTTACAATGTCACCATACAAGATATGAGAGGTAGCTGTATCGGTTTCACTGACTTGGTTCCATCGATTTGATGTCTCCATGTCTACCTTTCCTCGATGATCCTCTCTGCAGTCCTTGTCTCCTGTTCGAGGCCCGCTGTCTATCTCCATCAATCTTGACCCAGTGTCGTGGTCTACTGGACGCAAGCTGCTCGCACATGCATACGACAGGTTTCAGCCGCAAGCCACCGCCAAGCTGGAACACGCTGTCGCCGAAACCCCTTTTCAGGTCGCCGGGCACTCTGATAGCTTCGTCTCCTTCAGTTTCATGCCGTCTTGTACCACTTCCTAGAGGTGGAAGAGTCGAAGCACTCTCCCTGCTGCTTCTACAAGACTAAGAAACCCCGTCGCAAGCCTCGGGTCGGAGACAGAGCCATGGACCACCTACCTCTCCCCGGCAAACCTACCCTAGCGGATTCGCTCAGAATCCCCTACCTCAGCACCTCCCTTTACGACGGCGGCCCCTTCGCCGACTACCCCGCCCGTCACGGCTGGCAGCTCTCCATCCGCGACGGCAAGTTCAGCATCACGCGTAACGGGGAGTCGCCGACGAGAGACGCCACGGCTGCGTTCCTACAGACGTGGCTGTATTTCGGACTCCTAAGCGAGGCACTTGGTTGTTTCTGGAAGCCTGAGATGCAGCAGTTGTTCGTGGAAGAGGGAGACAAAGGGGAGAGGTGGTTAAGCACGCAGTATTTGGAGGGCATCGTGGTAGATTGGGTGGGGTACATGGCTGAGGTATCCGCAGGCATGAGCTGGAAGGCGAGACTGCGCATGTGGCGAAAGCTTTATTGGCGCATTTCTAGTGGACAGAAGACCACCGAGTATGCTGACGAAGTGCGGGAATCATATGACAGATTTCAAAGTAGCATGAAGTTGGTTCAGACGTTAATCCTGTACGCTCCGCGCTCAGAACTCAACGCCCTGGGCACTGATCAGGTCCTAGGGCTGATGGCACTTGGGGTGTACCTCTGTACCTCATGGTGGAAGATATATCGTCATTTCCACGGCAGAAATCCCGAGCTGCTCACCGCGATCGAAGCCGGCCAGGCGATGACGAAACCCTACCTCCAGGAGCACATGCTGAAGATGAATTGGTGTCCCAGCGACATCTCCAGAATCATGGGAAAGAGCAGCTCTAATGTCATCTGGTACTACGCAAACATGCAGCCGCCCAGAGCGGAAATGGATCACTCGCAATGCAAGGAGGTCTTCTGCTCTAGGAACCAGATTAATTCAATGGGACGCTATCAGCTTGCTCACGCAACAGAAGACTGCGAGTGCCATTTGGTACAGGCCAAGCTTGAAGATCTCCGCGAAGTCTTGGCCCAAGGCGGTATACCCGTGCTGAATTTCGAAGAGCACAACGAAATACGGAAAAACGCAGTCAGCGTGCACAAAGGCTCAAAAGCTAACTTCGTTGCTATCTCGCATATCTGGGCGGAAGGCCTGGGCGATCCCGATGATAACGCATTGCACAACTGTCAAGTGAAGCGCTTGTTCAATTTGATCGGACAGCTACCGACACGACAACCTCAGTCGCGCTATTTATGGATTGATACTATGTGCGTACCTGTATACAAAAAGGATCAAGGACTACACAAGAAGGCTATGCAGAAAATGAGAGATACTTATGAGTCCGCCACCGAAGTGCTTGTCCTGGATGCTTACGTTCAGGATTTCAAGATCGAGGGCGCCACTCCTCTGGAAGCCTTTGCTCGAGTGGTCAACTCCAGCTGGATGCAGCGACTGTGGACGCTACAAGAAGGCCGGCTCGCTCAGAGAGTGTATTTCCAATTCGCAGATGGACCCGTAGAGTTACGCAAGCTTTTCAACTCCATCTCGCATCAAGTTTTTCCGTCCAGGGCAGCCCTTGCGACTAACACGGAGATCACCATGAGCTACAGAGCCAGTAAGTTTCACACCTTTGAAGAACAGAAGGAGATTCTCAAAGGCTTGTATGAGGGCATCATTGCTACCCGCGACGCTGTTATGTCTCGGGGGTTGTCCAAAGATTCGGACGAGGCGCTTTGCTTGTCAACCCTCATGGACCTCGATCCGACGCCTGTCATCAACGCTCCCGACAACGAAGACGAAAAAATGAGAGCGCTATGGGCAATGATTCCAAAAGTCCCACTGAGCCTGGTGTTCTCAAGAGCGCCCAAAAAACTGCCTATACCGGGCTTTCGCTGGGCTCCATCATCCTTTCGCGGTCCCATCCCGCATGACATACATGACTGGTGGGCCGGCCCTGATGAGCTCTGGAAACGGATTGAAGCAGAACCAACTCCATCTGGATTGCTTGTGAAACTGCCAGGGCTATTCCTCCGATCAGTGCATGCCAAGGACGGATGGAGCAACGCTTTGGACATGGGCTCGCACTATATATTTCAATTACCTGACGGCCGGTGGATAGGCCTAGGCCTCGGATTGCCGTGGAGCCAACCGATAAAAGACACACGTCCCGAAAAAAGCCCAGAAGGCGTGGCGCTGATCCTGCAGGACAACAGTCTTACCGAAAGGGTGCATGAGGACTTCAGCAAGTCCACCATTATTGCCAACGACATACCCTCGAAGGGCCTTCTTGTTGGCTTGGTCGCACGCGTCAAAAGCATGGAAAACAATGAGATCCATGTAGCCGGCCTGCAGCATGCACAGGTTATGGAGCTCCCACCCGACGTCTCGACCATGTTCAGCGCCGCGGTAAGCGCGGCGCACAAACTGTGGGATCGTCTTACGCCAGAACAACCGAACTCTGAGGTCGTCAAGGAGTGCATTGCTGTTGCCAAGGAGGCCATGCTCGACCCGACAGTGCTGGACGCCTGTCGAAATCAGCGGCGCGGTGCCGGTGCGGACGAGTCGGATGACGAGATTATGTACATGATTGCAGAGATGGCTCATAATGTGTACTTGGGTGGCTTTAACACTGTAGACCTTGTTCCTGAGAGCTGTAAGTGGTATGTTGACTGAGCATATTCCCAGAGCTGGATCTTTGACTAGAAATGGTATGATTGAGCTGCGAGCACGGGTTTACATAGAGCTGACTATCTTGTCACACGGTGTTATCTTCCCGTAAAGGTCTACTCGTGTGTATTATCACCGTCCGTAAGACCTACCACAGACATGGTCACATGGATCGGCATCTTCTTCAAGTTCCATTTGAGAGACGAATAGCTGGAACGACGGTAAATCCGAAAGCCTGTTTGACAGCCTGCAAATCAGCCGCACAGCTGACATTTCTAAATACGTTTATACGAAGAGGTGCGCCATGTGAACGCAAATATTAGGTGAAAGTGAGGAGCACTGAAACAACGTGGTCACTTCACTCTTCAACTTCGCCCCAGATATCAGATCTCTCGCTAGAATAAACCTCGATAGCCACTACCTCATCCGACCCAAACCAGCACCACTGCACCAGCCCGCCTCGCGGGCGGAGTTCCTCTGGGACATCTTCTCCTTCGTGCAGTGTCGCCTTAGCTCATCCACCCAAGCACGCGGTCTCGCAGAAGGCCCCCTCTGCATTGACCCTTGAAAGATCTACTAATATCGGCGAGTGCTGCCCACCGTACCGCTGGGCAAAGACACTAATGAGCCGTGTTAGCAGCCTCATAGGTCTACCATGGTTATGACAACTATGCCCGGCTGTCAGCTCAGCACTCTCCTCAGAGGGTGTTAACTAAAGTTCAGATTTGTACGAACTGAATTTTCTCCAACCCGCGAACCGAAAGTGTTCTTGCAAAGAGATAGCATGATCATAGAGAGCATGAGACAGTCAGAATGGCGTATGACCAGGTTTGGAAAAAGGCAAAGTTATCCCCTCGGCTGTCTCACCCTCCGTCACGCCTTGCGATCCTATCCCCAGAATGAACGCATATGGCTCGAGCGCAATGACATACAGCACGGGTAGGAAGAGGGTTGGAACTGAAAGGAAGGCGAAATATAGGAATTGCTGCATGATGCAAGGAGAGCCTTGCGAATAGAAGAGCCTTGCATGAGGAGCCTTGCGAATACGAGTGTAGATCTCAACGCAGTACCTCGTTGATGGCAGTGGACTGACGGCGGAGGTGCGCTTCGAAATGAACAGGACTACACTAAAGCAGCCACAGTGGCGCCACACCTTTCTTGGTAAGGTGGGGACAGGGATCAGGCTTCGATCAAAAGCTGCTGTTGCAGTGTGCTCAGGCTTTCCGTCAACCATTTAGCTCCCTGCGTAAAAGCGCTAAGACTATTGGACCTAATATAAAATCTGGAAGCTCGAACTGATGGCTGGAGCTTGGGAAGCTCCTAAAGCCGCAACTCTGACCCCTACAAGCCACATTTTTAGAGGGGGATAGTGCTTGATGGCTCCCGTGGTGGCTGCTTTGTTTCGAAACACGCCTCTCGTAAACTTTTGATGATGGTGCTGTCGAGACCGCATGGGATACAGGGAGCCAAGAGCTAAAATTATCACAGTGCCATGAGAAGGGGATAAGTTAAGAACTCCCGCGATCTCAACTCCAGGACTTTCTATTGGCAATCAACTCCCTGCTACTCACTTCTATTTTTCAGGACCCTTACGGCTCTACTACACAAGCTCAGGATGCATAGCCTCAACAGTCTCATATCCCTTCTCCTCCTCACTGCCACATTTCTCGCCTCCCAAATTCCCTTTACGAGCGCTACTCCTCTGCCCCGCGCGCTTTCAATTCCTCCTGCACCCGCCGACCCTCCCAAACCTGCCGATGGCGACGGCATCGGTCCCTACAACTCCCAGGACGCAGGCATCCGCGACCGACTTGCCAAAACCAAATTCTACGCCGTCGCCGTGGCCGCCGGAGAGCTTGGCCTCGTCAATGCCGAGCGCGGCATGCGGCACTACCTTGGCAACTCCGGCAATGACCTGAACGTGCCCCCGGAATCCATGATGAGCGGGCTTTCCAAGCTCCGGGACTCGGTCAAGGCGCTTGCGCAGAACGAGGCCGCGGCTGCCTACAAGAGCATCTCAGGCGCGAGTGGAGAGAAGGCGTTTCGGAGCTCCTGGAAGAACTTTTACGCCACCAAGGATCAGAGCTGGGATTGGTATTTCGCCATTGGCGGCTTTTCGTACAGCGTCACCGGCGTTGTGACCAAAGCGAGTGGTGGTGGGTCGCTGAAGTACCGTGTTCATGTCTTTGACAGGTACAACTGGGATGCGGGCAAGTCGGTGGATATTGGACCGTTCCACTTTGAAGACACGGAGCTGGGTAATCTGCATTTGAAGGGTTTAGCGAGGGAGTATACGGTTCGCGGGTCGAGCGCGGTGAATGAGGTGAAGAAATTTACGCCAACAACTGTGATTCCACCGCCTAGCACTGGAGGTAGAGGGTGAAGCTAGCTCAGGTGGTTCTACGTTGCCTCTCGCCAAGGAGGTCTTATTAGAAACATCGTTTTGGAGGTGCATACACTCTGCACTACAAGCTACCTACCTAAGGTGCAACAACAACATGGAAACGCGTTCTCTTTAATGGATCTATTGTGTATACCGCCATTTGGATGTGTCATCTCAGCGTGGATACCATGTTAGTACAAACATACGCGTGATAATTGCGTGCGGGCACTTACTCTTTGTAAGGTAATAGATTTATCCCTGTTGTGGTTGGCGGCTTTAGTAAGATCTCCACCAAGATGCCCCCCGCAAGTACACCAATAATGTCTCTTCCCGCACGAGGACCGCATCCCGCATGCAGGGTGAATAACCCGTATGCACCTTTAGCGATCTGTATCTGACCACCTGCCCTGGTAGGCCTAGCTTCCTTGTATCGGGTATAAAATAAGCTACGCCAAGCAAACCATCGCTGCTAAGAATCTGGGGTAAACAACGTCTAGGCCCGGACCTCTGACGGTCGACTGCATACATTGTATATATGCATAATGCAGAGTTCAAGCGGAAGGGAAGAGGGGAAGTCGAAGGCCCGGATGGACGTCTCATCCGGCGTCTATATAGAGCCTCGTAGTGCCCGCCCGTCGCAGACCTCCATCCTAGCCGTTCATTCAACCTTGATCTGCCATTCATCGACAAGCACACTAGACAAAACCGAGTCCTTTGCGTCATGCAGCTCGTAAACATCGCCCTCTTCCTAGCGGCAGGCGTCAATCTTGCTGTAGCACAGATCCGATGTAACTCCTACACTGTATGTCGCATCCAACAACGACACCCACTTCTCTCTCTTCAATACTGACCACTTCTGTACAGACAGGTACGCAGTGCCCGTTCCCTGCTACATCGGGGCCCGGTAACAGCTTCCACGCCGGCGCATAGGGTGTAGATACACCACACGGCTGGCAACGAAACACTGTCACCAGGCCTTGCATGCACAGCTCGCTTCTCAACCCCACTAACCACGATCCAGCATGCTCAACCCTCTGTAGAGAAGGCGCGAGCCGAGTCAGTTGTAGCGGATCCTACGTAAGCCTCGCTACGAACTGTAAGCCCGTTCGTCGTCCGCTCTGCTAACAGCATGCTACAGTGCAGGTGCACCAGCGGAGTCCCGGACCGCTGCCATGGCACCTGTGTCTGCTCATGTCGCCCGGTGCGCCTAGCGAAGGAGGACATTGAGGAGGACGCAAAAGCGGTATTGTTGGAGATTGATGTTTAGATGCGTGGGAACATTGTGAGGGAACGAAAGGAAACAAGGGGCAAGACACGCATGGAGAAGTCAACGGATTTGTAGATAAGAACTAACGAGGAAGTCAGGAATGGAAAGGAAACATTGTTGTCAACTGTTGTCAACTATTTCTTCACTTCTACGTTGTTGCCAGTTACGGTATACGGAGCTTGTGTTGCCTTTGTTTGTGAGCTGTCACTGCTTCACATCCGGTCAGGCGAGGTCGAGTTCTCGCCTTGGAGAGCCACGTGACGCCTGACATCCCGGTAGCGCCTTCGTATTGTTAAATTGAGGACTGCAGCTAACGGCCAACGGAAACACAGCCTGTATCGGAAGCACCAAATGAACTCGTATTCCGTGACTAGAAAGTACACGTTTGGTGGAGCGATAACCCAAGGGCCGAGCCGTCCTAGGCTGCATTCCTGTCCGCAGTCCAGAAATAGCAGCCCTAGCGGTCGTTGTACCAGAGTTGAAATGGATAGCGGAACTTCCAGCGTGCATTCTCTATCTCAGGCTACATGCCTCAATGGCTGATGCGTCAGTTGATACGAGTATCCGTTCATTACACCGTTGCGGCAGGCGGCCTTGCGGGTCAGTGTGCAAGATGCACAAAAAGTCGCTGCATCGCATCTCACCGAGAAAGATGTTTTTGATATCCTCTCAGCTTCCTCTTCTCAAGACGTCATTCACCAAAGTATTTCTCTTAGAGTCAGGTTAGCTTCAATACCATCATTATGTACTCCTTCCTTCTACTCGCGCTCCCACTCCTTGTCGCAGCCGAGTCCGGTTACCGCCCTGCGCTTGAGATCCGTCAATCCACAGTCCAAGAAGTCTGCGGCTCTGGCGGCGTAGATTGCGGAGACGGCTGGTGCTGCTTCGCCGGCAACACGTGCGCATCGGCAACAGGCGGCTTCGGCGAGAAGCAATGCCTCACCTCGATCGGCGAGTAAGCACACTCAGATCCATATCGTTCCCGTTGACTATCAGGCATACCGCAGCGAATGACAAGCCTCTACTGACAGCCCACAGCACCACACTGACCATCGTCGCCTTCCCCTACCGCTCCGAAGCAGCGCAGTCCTTGAGCTACCCCACTGAAGCGGCGTCGTCCCTCGGAGCGGTTCTGTCATCTGCTACACGCGTAGCGTCCCTCTCCTCCGATCTGGCAGCCTTTTCTTCGGATCTCGCATCTCTGACCTCGGGGTTCGCTAGTCTGAGCAGGACGCTCTCCCAGTTTCCAACCATCACGGGGCCGATGTCCGGTGGCGATGCAACAACTCAACCCAGGGCTGGCGGAGGCGATGCGGATGCCGCTGCGGGCTTGAGAGCGCCTGGATTGGCGGTGTTTGCGGGCACGGCTGCGGTGTGGGTTATTGCGGGTTTGGCGGGCGGAGCGTGGGTGTTGGCGCACTGAGGCACAATGTAAGATTTGTGATGTATCTTCCTCAGATATTGGAAGTCATTTCTGTCACGCTGGGCCGAAGCCGTGTATTAGAGTGATGAACATGGCGGGCGTACTGTCTTCCGTCCACGTAACGAGATATTTGAAGCCGAACAATGATGCTCGAATAGATGTTCACACTTGAGCTTGAGGTGGTTCAGTTTTCTGTACATTTCACCATTCTGAGCACCTGCCTTATTCGGAGGGGTTCCTTAACCGCCGAATCACCGACTCTGACACACGTGATCCGAGCCGGGAGCAGCAACATCCGAATTTGTGTGGACATGTGGTATTTTTGGGGGCCAACGGGGCCGACCCATATTAAGGCTCTGTATCTCGCGTTCTGCGAGAAGGGCGACGGAAGCGCACTCGCAGTGTGAGGTTGAACCACGAACACCTGGAACCCGGAGACAACTTATATTTGCCTGTTGGAATCACGTGCTTACCTTGCCGCAGTTGGAAGCCGTTCATACTGATCGGACATCTTCAGGCGACGATGGCCTGGACAGCCCGTCTACTCTTGCTTACGCTGGTTGTCTTAGGGTGGTATTCGTACAAGACGCTGAAATACTACCGTATCAAGCAAAATGAGGGTGTTCCGCAACCCCCGCCAAATCTCTTCCTGGGGCACATGAAAGTCATTGGCGAGTTCTATCGAAAAGGCGATATACGCCGGCATATCGACTATGTCTTCATGTCAGTGGCCAAGTCCGTCGGCACCAACTCTATCTGTCTGTTCGATGTGCGGCCCGCGTCGTATGTCATATGCGTGGTGCTCTCGCATGAGGTTGCGGAACAGATCTCTAAAGCAACTAAGCTGCAACCATGGAGCACGCCGAAGTCTCCTACTGTTACGGATCTCGAGCCGATTGTCGGGAGTCATTCCATAATTATGGCGCAGGTGAGCTCAGTTCCAGCACTCCTACAATGCTTAAAGCATCTGAAGTCATTTCTCCGTCTTTACAACCAATGTATCCAAAGTGGAAAGATGCCACACGGAGAGTCTGGCTATCCAAGGCAATGCATTTGTTTCTGTCTTCATCTTGTCATCGAACTGGATTTTGTCTTCTCGCTACTCAACAACGAAAATTTGTCATCTCACAATACCCCAGGGCGTGACCTGGAAAGGCCTCCGTAAGAGATACAACGCTGGCTTCGCACCTCAACACATCATGAGCCTTCTTTCCCGGATCGTGGAGAAGACGTCTCTATTCCTAGACGTGCTCGACGCGCACGCTCGTGCCGGCGATGAGTTCACCCTCGACCACCCCTGCGTGAACCTGACCTTCGACATCATCGGTAAGCCCTCTTCTTACATCCCAAAGCCTGGCCATACTGACCAACTCCGCAGGCGCCGTGGTAATGGACACGGACTTCGATGCCCAGCGCCCCAAATCAGAGCAAAGCGACATTGTCCGCCACTACAGCGACCTCCTCTCATCCTTCACCGACGATAACGGTGCCGGCTGGCTGTACGCGAACCCCTTCCTGAAGCGGCGCCAGTACCGACTCGGACGCGCCGTCGACTCCGCCATCAAATCCGCCATTAAGCAGAAGTTCACCGAGATGAAAGCCGCTACTCAAAGCACCAAAGCCCGCAGTGTCCTCGCTCTGAGCCTCCAGGACGTCGACGAAATGGACGAAGAGGTTTTGCAAATCACCGCGGATCAGGTCAAGTCCTTCCTGTTCGCCGGCCACGACACCACTTCCATCCTGCTGCAATGGACTTTCTACGAGCTCTCCCGCTCGCCCCGTGTCCTCGCCACCCTGCGCGCGGAGCTCGACGACGTCCTCGGCAAAGATGCCGACCCGCGCACAGTCCTGCTCGCCCGGGGCGAAGACGCCGACAAGAGACTCACCTACACTTCCGCCGTCATCAAGGAGATTCTGCGCCTGTACCCGCCCGCTGGCACCGCGCGCATGGCGCCGAAGGGCACTAATTTATTCGTCAAGCTGCCCGAGGGCAAGGACGTCTGTCTGGACGGCATGGTCATCTACAACTGCGCTACCGCCATCCAGCGGGACCCTGCTGTCTATGGCGACACGGCTGATGACTTTGTTCCCGAGCGCTGGCTTGGTGATACCGATACTCATGATGTCGGAGAGAACGGGGCCGACACCGCTGAGAAGGCCAAGCCGAACGGAAATGGAGATGCGAAGGTGCCAGCTAGTGCATGGCGGCCGTTTGAGCGGGGGCCGCGGAATTGCATCGGGCAGGAGCTGGCAAATCTAGAGGCGAGGGTTATCCTGGCCTGTGCGGTAAGGAGGTACGATTTTGTCAAGGTTGGGATGGGGGAGCTGGCGCTGGATGAGAAGGGGCGGCCGGTGGAGAATGCGAAGGGGCAGTATGAGGTTAAGAGTGAACTGTTCAATGTAAGATTCACCGAGGAACATGATGATCAGGTCCAAGGACTAATCGATGACAGACGCGGCAAGTTACGGCTAAACCGGTGGATCATATGCGGATGCGGGTCAAGCTTCACCAACCGCAATAGCATGAGAGGTGATGTCGTCATTGTATTGAACGGTTTGAGTAATTGGAGGGTTACGTTGAGTTTATCTGTAATTTTAGATGAGTAGCATACAGCACACGATTATCCTGGTAGTCACTGCGCCTATCCTTGCCGTGGTTGGAAAATCGAACATTTTGTTCCATGCGGAACGCGCCAGCTACGTCTGGAACGTTCAGCTGTGCAAAGATATAGTTATGTGGGGGGCTTGTCGTCTTAGGAGAAATCATGCGGCGGTGAACATTATGGTCTCCACGCTGGACGCTAAGGGCCTTGCGTAAGGTGTGAAGCTGTATGATATGACTATCGAGAACCGGACCACTTCTTCGTAATGTCAACCTGTCAAGAAGCTACCTGGAGTAACCTTACAGCCCTAGCAACCCATTCTGCCCCTTTGCACAACGTGAGAAGGCGTCTCCGATGAAAGGTTTTAGCTCTGGAAGAACGCCGTCGCTAGTGGTGATATATATGATCGTGAAACGCCTACTTGCTGTACCACCGCAAGAAGCAAGCTCAACGCCCTACCCGGGTGGCCTGCTACACCATCCGGGAGGGTGAAACCGAAGAGCGTGTCCGGCTCTCAGAACACGCTGGCGCTGGTGGGGGCTGGATTCGAGTGATGCCGTTGAAACCCGCTTTCTCGTTCTCTGCACTGCAGTCGACCAACCGCGGTGGGGGCGTGGCGGTATCCGGTGCGGGCTTCTCATCATTTGCCGTCGTCGGAGCGCATATATGTGCATGGATGCACTTCTCCAACGCTCGTCGAATCTGCAGCGCCGTTTCGGTGGTAATGGGATCGCTGCTTTCTTCGTCCGAGTTTCCGGTTTGCTCAACCCGGTCCAGGACTCCGTCCAAGACGTCAGTCTCTATGTCTTTGTAGACAGAATAGAGGTATTTCTCAGTCGCAAGCCGATTGCGGTAGCTCTCCTCGTACCAGCCGCAACCCCAATGGCATATTTCGGTAATGACGATGGTGAACGCAATGCAGATGTAGACGAACCGGCCCGCGTACGTGGTGTATCCGCCGTGCACTATGACAGTGGGGATAATGGCGACAACGCAGCCAGCAAACATCGACTTCCAGCTGGAAAACTGCTGGCGGTACAAGATGTAGTACGGGAGCCAGAAGCCGATCATGACGGGTATGAAGAGCATGAAAAAAGGAAGGAGCCAGCCGTCTTCTGGGATGTGTGGTAGATGCTTTGCGATGGGATCGAGGAAGGCGAGGTCCTGGTGTGATAGACGGATCAGCACGTTGTTCAGTGATTTCACTCAACCCAATCTAACTGGGCACCAGATACTCACTCTTTGAGCCTTGAGACAGTCTGTTGTCTGTGGAGTGAGCTCCAGCAAGCTCTTTGTCAGCTCGTTCAGCGCTGCACTCGTGACATTTGCGAAGGCCACCAGCTCGTCCTTGGCCGCAGGGTCGGATGTCTTAAACCTCTGGACGTGTAGCAAGCCGTCGAGGTACTTCGCTACATCCGGAAGCTGATCAGAAAGCTTTTGCGAGACTTTGGAGGTGTTGGGTGAGATGGTTGAATCTGTCATCAAGCCGTTGGTGGCATGTTGCACATCGTGGTAAAGCCCTTCGCGGGCGGCAATGCAATCCAGACGGCCATTGAATTTGTCGCGCTCAAAGCTACTCATTTGGAGGACGATGTACCAGCTTGAAGCGAGCAGTGAGATGCAACACACAATAGATCTGAGCTGTGAGGGTTTCATCTGGAGAACCAACGCGGGATGAATGACGTGAAAGGAAACGGGAAAAGTGCTCCGTTGTGAAGAGCAGTATTGAGTTGGTGTATGAGTTCAGAGGGAAGTGGTTTCTCCTACCATTGTTTGAGCAAGGAAGGGTTTGTGTGCAATGCTACGGCTGGACAATCCCCCGTTTCCTTGGTTGTCGCATTGGTAGGAGCGAACCATGGTGTTGCGACTTCGAGGTTTAATGGTGCCAGTCACGTGGCAGTCGTGAGGCAGAAATCTGCAACCACATCTACGTCCTAGAGTCGCCTTGTTCAACGAGACCCGTTGATACACTAACTGCTTGCCTACAGGTTCCTGCCATGTGTAGAGACCTTGAGTCCAGCCGCCAGAAAGTCATCACATCGCCGCGAGAAGGACTAAAACGCTCAACGCAATCTGACTAAAATCACACCAACCGTCTGGTATCATGGAAGCCACGCCTGAACTGTGCCATCTATGTCGCCAAGTCTACGAGTCGTGGCGGCCTTGGCTCACCCCATACGCTGAACTTAGTGGTAACTATGGTTTCTCTGCAATGGGGAGCCGAGTGTCGTTTGAATATGGCACGGCAGAGGGCATCTTGAGCAGGCAACAGTGTCCACTCTGCAAACTGATGTGCTTGCTGCTACCTCCAGACATACATTTCAGCCGGCCGGACGATTTTGAGCGGCAGGAGAAGCACAAATTTACAGTTAGGTGCAGATTAGATGTCGATTGGAAAACCCCGCGAAGCCTTCTCGGCCCGGACACCTCCCGAATCGTCTTATATATCGAAGACTCAGTCACCTTCCGAGGCGTGATACGCGGTCTTCAAGTTCGAGATGGTGCTCTCCTCCGCCACGAAACACTGCGGGAAGTTACTTACCAAACCCCGAGTGTACTTAATCCGGCTCTCATTCGGAGCTGGGTCACAGAATGCCAGGAAGATCATCCTCATAGCTCAACGAGCATCATGAAGCCACTACAACGCGCATCAATCGACATCACTCTTATCGATGTAATCGATAACAAACTGATTCGATCCTCTTCGTCAAGCAGGTTCCTGGCCTTGAGCTACGTCTGGGGTAAGGCTTCCGGACTCCAAACTACTACCAAAAATCGAGCCAACCTCGAACAAACGGGAGGCTTGCTTCGGGAGTATCAGCATATTCCTACGGTGATACAAGATGCTATACTATTCACAAGGGATTTGAATGAAAGATTCCTCTGGGTAGATTGTCTGTGTATAGAGCAAGACAATCCCTTGCAAAAGCATTCCCAGATCTCGCACATGCACATTATCTATAGCCAAGCGCTACTTACCCTGGTCGCATTGTCAGCATACGATGCGATGTCTCCCCTCCCAGGTGTTCGTCAAAGAACAAGACTTCGGACCGACGCCTCCGTTGTAATTGACAATGTACGTTTCTCCATTACGCCGCCGGGTTTTGAGCAAGCCTTTCCGAGATGCCAGTATGAAAGACGCGCTTGGACGCTTCAAGAGAGGCTTCTTTCCGAGAGGTGCCTTTTCTTTACAGATCATGCGGTCTACCACTACTGTCACTCTACACTGCGTGAAGAAACACGTGTCAATCAGTCTACCACCTCTCAATCCGTCAACTTCATCCTTCGCTCCTTGGACCTCGATTACCATAACAGCGGGGAATTGTCATGGGGATTGGTGCAGCAGAGAAATTCTCGTCCCTTGCAAATGGCAGACTTTCAAGTCTACGCCACGCTTATCACACTCTACTCTGCAAGGGAGCTTTCTTTCTCTTCAGATATTCTCAACGCGCTTTCAGCCCTGCTAGCAGTCCTTGGAGATACGCTACAACACCCTTTCGTGTCCGGTCTACCAAGTAGTTTGCTGCCTTTGACTTTGCTCTGGATTCCCGCTGAAAAGAGCTCTGTACCTAGGCGGCGGAACAACCATTGCTCTAGTTGGTCATGGGCTGGCTGGAACGGCCCATCTCAATACTTTGAAGGACCCTTGGCGCTCTGCCTAGATCGAGACGTAGTGGGGCGTTACTTCTTGAGAAGCGCCGTCGAGCAGTTCGAGATATCTACCCAAACGCCGCGCCGAATAGTGCATACGGTGCAAGACTTTGCGTCACCGCAGCCGACAAGCGAGGAACAACACAAACCTCAGATAGAACCAATTCCTATCGCCCGAGAACTCCTACACTTCTGGTCAGAAACAGCACGCGCTGCGCAGTACCGCTTCGCGAGCTCGACGCGCACGCTTGAGTCGCCATTCCGTGAATCGAGCTTCCATGGCGTTAGGCTTGTAAGCGCCAACCCGCTGATGATTCTTGACTCCGAGAGTCAGCACTGCGGCATCCTGTACGAATCTGAGCTCGCAAGCTCTCAGCTGAACCGTGACTGGAGGACTTACGATTTCGTGCTACTCTCCGCCTGTCACCCTTGTTGCGCCGAAGACGGAGAATGCATGCATACCGTGAAGGCCGGATGTGAGCTGTTCATTAATGGAGAAAGCGTCTTTGATCTGAAACGTTTCCCTGTGTATCGGTGGTGCTTACTCAACGTTATGTTGATTCGATGGGACGGTGATCTTGCTGAACGCGTTGCCATCGGGCAGGTTCACAAGGAGGCGTGGGAAAAGGCACGACGTCAAAAGAAGAATATCACTATAGGCTGAAGCCGAAGAGCAGCCAAGTCGTTGGAATAATCAGCAATCGCCAACAGGGCGGTCATTACGTCTACGAAAGGCTGTACTACAACTTCCCCGAAGCCAGGGCAATCTCCCTCGGATTACCAGCCTAGAAGATATACCTAAAGTTCGGATTCTCCCTGTCCGTCAAATCATCAAACGCATGAATCATCTTGTCATCCTTCGCCTCCTGCACTCCCGCCGCCGCCAGCGCATCCTTCTTCGCGTTCTGGCGCACCAAATGCCATCTCAGGAAGATGATCACGAGTACCAAAACCACATAACATCCCATGTGGGTAGCAAATGCGATAAAGTAGCGGGGAGAGTCGTATGACAGGAATACCTGAGGGCCTGCAAGTGCGGTTTTGTTAGCACAATCTAAACTGGACCGGATAATGGGTGCAAGCATACCAATGGCGTTTCCAGTGGCCCAGGCGATGAAGTTCATTGCCACCACGACGGTCTTCTTCGTCTGGCCGGCGGTGTTACGCGAGATCATGCTCATGGCCAGTGTTTGCGCGGCCCAGAATGAGAGCACGATGTAGTAGCTGATCAGGAGGCCCGCCTGAGTAGCCTTGTTCTTGTTTTCTACGCTCAAGAGTACGATTGTGCCGACGAAGGAACTGTTCAGCAGCTTTGGTCAGCCCAAAAATCTACTAGGATGCTCGAAACCGGGATCGGCCGGAAGAAGAGCGTAAGAGGAGGATACTCACGGGATGACATAGAGCCCCATGATGAACAAGTTCTGCCCGGTCTTCTTGACAAGCCACGCTGAGGTGAGAAGTATGATAATGATAAAGGCGCCCAGCACCATTGCCAGCAACTGCGTCTCGAGGATGCTGAACTTGAACCCGGTGATGATGATATTGGCGAAAGCGCCCAATCCCGAGGTCGGCAGTGTAGTGCAGATGGCGATCCAACAGTAGCACCATGTCTGCGGATCAGTCAACGCCTCGCGGACTTGTTCCGGCCGGAATTTCTTGTTCTGGAGACCGGTCTGGTTGGACCGTACGCGTTCAACCATAAGGTGTTTGTCCTCTTCGCTGAAGCAGTGTGCTCGCATGGGGCTGTCGGGCTGAGGACAGTTTGTTAGCGGAGACTGATCGGAGGAGACTGAAGGGGTCAAGAAAACAGGCATCGCTCACCAACCACCAGAGTACGAAGAAGCCCCAGAAAACCGAGAAGATGCCATAAGTCATGAAGATAGCCTGCCATGACTTGATGGGACCAGATTTGATCAGGGTAAAGCAGTAGGCAAGGAGGCCGCCCACAATCTGCTGGCCGCCATTCATCATGTACCAGTACGTGACGGTTTGAGCCTGCTCCTCGCGCTTGTACCACATGCTGCTCATCACGAGGAAGCTGGGCTGGCACACAGCTTCGAAGATACCAAGAAGCGTGCGGAGGACAAGTAGGCCTGCGAAGTTCTTGGCAGCAGCATGCAGGGCGAGGACGGAGCCCCAGAGGATGATGTTGATGCCGAGGTATTTGGCGATCGGGACGCGCTGGATGATCCAATTTGTCGGGTATTCCACGATTAAAACGGCAATGTAGATGCAGGTGGTGAGCCAGGAGTACTAATCCGAGTCAGCACTTTGCGCAGGAGCCACAAAGATAAGGGATATGCAGAGGAGAAGAAACCCTACCCGCTGCCCATAGAGATTGAGGTCCTCCCTGATGTGCATTATGGAGGCGAACGACATAGTCCCCTTGTCGAGTGCTTGCAAAAAGTACGTAAACACCATAATTGTGAGTACTCTTTTGTCAATCATGCGTTTGAGGCGCTTGTTTTCGGCTTCGCTAATGTCGATACGTGCAGCGTTGGCATACTTCGCAAGCTCTTTGTCGACGCGATCGTAGTTCATACTGTCCTTTCTAGGTTCGGATGGCGACATGACTTTCTCGAGTTGAGAGATGTCTGCAGCGACCTTGGTCTTGCCATCATCGGCGATGATCTGAGGGCTAGCCATGATGGAAAAATATGTGCGGTAGCGAGAGAAGAGATATGACTTGGAGGATGAGGTTGAGCTCTTGATTCAGTAAACCATGGGGAGAGATATAGACAGACATTCGGACAGAGAGAGCCCGAAGCTTCGGGCAACGAACATCCGCCTATCCCCAGCCCTATCCATTTCCACGTCATGTCTTGCCCTAATTCCCCGCCCTCGGAGTGCGGAGTTTATGATCCTGTTCCACACCCGCAGATCAAAGGCCGCCACCGCGAGGGTTGCATCGCGCTTGGCACTCTTGACAGGCTTGGCAAGGACGTTGCTCCGTCGGGTTTTCGGAGAAGAAAGCCGCGGAGCGCGTAGCATCATGCGAGCACTCTCTCATCGGGGCAGCTCGATCGCGAAACTCGGAGCAATGCCTTACTCTGCTAAAATAATACTTGAGAACTCTCCGTGTCGTTCCTACACTTTGCTTCGAGGAACTGAAGCCAGTATCACACCGGATTGACCATTTTTGCTCTTCTTACTCCATCACTTGTCACTATGCCCACGCCTCTGCAAGCTCACGGGCTGCGTGCTGCCGATGTTCACACGACCGTCAATCTGCTCATTGACAATCTAGTAAACATCAAAGATACTACCGGAGAATTCCTTCTGCGCTTACCGGACGGCCGAGTAATAGATACAAAAGGCTGGAACGACTGGGAATGGACTCACGGCGTCGGGCTGTATGGCGTCTATCAATATCACCTGTTGACTGGATCTTCGTCCGCTTTGCAGGTCGTTGAGGACTGGTTCACCGCGCGCCTGGCCGAAGGGACCACGAAGAACATCAACACGATGGCTGTGTTCCTGACGCTAGCCTACCTGTACGAGAAGACGGGCAACTCGACTTTTCTTCCGTGGCTCGAGTCCTGGGCATCCTGGGCCATGCATGACCTGGACCGGACACCCTACGGCGGCATGCAGCACGTTACCTACCTGACTCCAAACACGAACGAGCTGTGGGACGATACGCTGATGATGACGGTCCTGCCCCTGGCCAAGATTGGGAAGCTGCTAAACCGGCCCGAATACGTGGAGGAGGCGAAACGGCAGTTTCTGCTACACATCCAGTTCCTCTTCGACACGTCTACCGGGCTGTTCTTCCACGGCTGGAAGTTCGACGAGAACGTCCCGGGGGGTGTCGGCCACAACTTCGCGCGCGCACGGTGGGCAAGAGGCAACAGCTGGCTCACGATAGTCATACCAGACTTCATTGAGCTGCTAGACCTACCGGCCAACGACGCGTTCCGAATCCATCTTGTAAACGTGTTGGAAGCTCAATGCAAAGCGCTGAAGAAGCTCCAGGCGCCAAGCGGACTTTGGAGGACGCTGCTCGATGTGTCGGAGGAGGAAGGAAGCTACGTTGAAGCTTCTGCAACGGCAGGTTTCGCGTATGGTATGCTGAAGGCGGTACGGAAGAGGTATATCGGGCGAGAATACGAGGAGGTCGCGGTGAAGGCTACGAAAGCGGCGCTCGATAGGGTAAATAAGGAAGGGGAGTTGCTTGACGTGAGCTTTGGCACAGCGATGGGCGAGACGCTACAGCACTACAAGGACATTGCGCTGACGAGTATGCCGTACGGACAAGCCATGGCGATCATGGCCCTGGGAGAGTTCTTGAGGACCTTCATCTAAGGTGATGTTGGTAAAATGTAAAGGCTTAAACTGCGCGTGTGTAGCGTGTACGAGTAACACAAACCAACCGCAACACTTAGCCGATATCTCCGTGAGAATGATCAAGAGTCACGTGTGGAGCTTTCCCCTTTTAGCTCAAGGGCTACCTGCAGGACAAAAATCGCCGGACTCAAGGAGTTATAAACTGGTGCGACACTACATTGACGACCGATCGAGGGCTGTATCGTCACGTACGATGATAGAGCTAAGCCAGGATGCCAGGCATAGGGCAGCGTATATAGCCTTATAATCATGTCTAAGCTGTAACTAGAGATGAAACCGTAAGATCAAGAGATCTTTGAAAGTATAGTGAAGACAGTATATTTTGGCAATTTCCGGGTCCGGCGTTTATTGCTATTCTCGTGAGGGCTGATAAGAACCATCATCGCGCCCCGCACGTGATCATGGCCATGGGATGCGGCAACCTTCATCCTCATCCCCCGCCCTTGATCTGCGCCCTCCTTCAGCTTCGGAGCAGGGCATGTCCACCGGTGCAAAACAGCGCGAACGAGGGGAACGGCACGAACGGGCCAACTGCAGCCGCTCCCGTCCCCGCACCGGCTTCCATAGCGCCAACCTTAACGTCACTCTACAGCTTGGCTAACCTCCGCCCTTTGCTCGCAGCCACGCTCTTTCTCTCTCCGCTGAGTCACAAAGCCCGATTTAGATCGCTCTTCGACGATCTTCGCTCAGGCTCGGTGTATCGCTCAGCGAAACCATTTCTATTCATACCTACTCGCGTAGTCCTTCAGGTTGATACGTGGAAAATGCAAATCCGCATAGCTCATGAGGCTTTTGGTTTAAATCGAGGATAGCATGGAGGCATCTATGTGGTCATCGTCAACAGCCTCGAAGCTTGCTTGCTGTCTTTGCTCGGTGTTGCTATCCCGAGTGATGTCGTTCTGTAGCTGTGAGAGAAAAAGTGAGAGTTTGAATATAAAACAAGCGTAAGTGATGGAGAGCGAGCGGTAATACGGCTCTTCCGCATCTCGTATCATGCCTCAATCAATACGCAAACTTGTAGTCAATCTCGTTATATGCTGGTCGTTTTTGACCGGCGCTTTTGCCTTTCTAAATGCTACCGAAGACTCTGTGCGACTGGTCCTCGCCAATGATAGACTATACTCCTCAGTCAACAAATCCACAGGTGCCATCGACCAGCTTTTACTGGATGGACAGGACCTTCTCGGAGCTCGCAACTATGTGACGCCCACACCGGGGGGCGCCGGCGCTGGTAACAATGGCATCGGGCCATACTTGGACTGTTACTGCACGCCTTCCGGATTCTACACGCCTGGCTCCATTGCTCCAAGATACAAGCTTATCAAAGGGGTTGATTCGACTAACACGGCCTACGGAGGGATTGTGATGAGCGAGACCTATCCACCGACAGGTCAAATGCTAGAGCAGTATTGGTTTCTGCGAGAAGGAGAGACCGGTCTGCACACCTTCAGCCGACTTGCGTACTACAACGAAACAAGGCCGTTCCTTCGGAACCTGCAGGAGTTCCGCACGCTTTTCAGGCCGAACACCCCGCTATGGACCCATCTGTCCACGAACGAAGAGCTCTACGCTCCATTGCCGTCAAAGAACGCCACCGCGAGCCACGTCACTGTGCAGGATGCAACGTGGTATATGGGCAAGACCCCCGATGACCCGTACGTTGTGCAGATGTCGGACTACTTCGGCAAATACACGTTCCATGACACCTGGCGAGATCACGGCGTCCATGGCATGTTTGCCGATGGGTCCACGAGCCCTGACGGTTCGACATTCGGCGCCTGGCTTGTCATGAATACCAAAGATACATACTACGGTGGACCACTTCACTCAGATCTTGTCGTAGACGGTATCGTCTATAATTACTACGGTCAGCTTGGTGCGATGCTACGGCAAGTTTGTGCTTACCGGTCGTAGTATCCAATCATCACGGCGCTGGGACACCCAACATCACGCACGGATTCGATCGCACGTTCGGCCCGGTAAGCACTCGATGCTTCCTTCAACATAATCCATTGGGACTTCATGTGATGTGAAGAAGATCTGACGATGACTAGCAATACTTCCATTACAACAAAGGCCCCGCATCCGCTACGGTGAATGATCTGCGAAACGAGGCTCTGCAGTATGCTTCTCCGGTATGGAATGTTGATTTTTATGATTCTATAGCCCAACACGTGCCCAACTACGTCCCTTCCTCAAGAAGAACAACCTGGAAAGGACACATCGACCTGCCCGAAGGCGCCGTCCGTCCTATTGCCGTGCTGGCCCAGAACGGCGTTGATTTCCAAGACAACGCGCTTGACGCAAGTGGTTATCAGTACTGGGCCGACGTTGACCCAGCAACTGGCGACGTTGAGATTCCTCAAGTCAAGGCCGGAAAGTATCGGCTGACCGTCTACGCCGAGGGGATCTTCGGACAGTACGAGAAGGACAACATAGACGTAGTCGCAGGAAAAGTCCATACCACCCATGCGCGCTGGCGCGAGGAATCCGCCGGAACAGAACTCTGGCGTATTGGAACACCGGATAAGAGTAGCGGCGAATACAAGCACGGCTACGAACTCGACGAGACGCATCCCCTACGGCCAAGAGAGCATCGCATCTACTGGGCGGCGTACGACTTTCCCACAGACTTTCCTGAAGGCGTCGTATTCCGAGTAGGCGAGAGTCGAGAATCGGAGGACATGAACTACGTCCACTGGAGCGTTTTCGGTGGCAAGGCGAACTTCCTGCGCCCGGAGCCCTACTATGAGAACGTGAACAACTGGACAATCCTCTTCAACGCTTCAGATGAGCAGCTGAGCAAAAAGCGGGAAGCAACGCTCACGATCCAGCTGGCCGGCGTCAAGACGGCAGCGGGGAATACAGATATTTTCAACACGTCCGAGCCCTACGCTAATCTCCCATACACCGTGGCGGTGAATCAGCAGGAGTTGGAGCCTTGGGTGATTCCGTGCGTCTTTCTTCTTTTCCTCTCTTCTTTCCCCGTACGCTTGCCTGACAAGAAGAGCTGACCGTAAAGCAGCTACTACCACAGCAGCTCATGCGCGGTCAGGTCCGCCGTCATCTGCTACAACGTCGCGCATAAGTTTACCTTCCCCACCGAAGTGCTCTCTGAGGGAGTGAATGAGCTGGTGCTGAGTTTGCCGGCGAAGGCGACGAATTATGAACCTGCTTTGCTGCCGCAGTCGGTGTATGTGCAGTATGATGCATTACGCCTGGAAATCAAGTGAGAGAGCCTTCGATGGCGGTCCGTAGGGACTGGTCTGGGTAATCCACCACAGGAGCTGCCTGTCGCCGCTAGGTATTGCATGATGAGCGCGCCGCCCAAACACATCCCACAAACCTATGACATTGAAACGGGCCACGGAGGTGATGTTCGACTAACGTCCCCAGCGGGCATTATAGAATCGGTCACGTACTGCGCGCCAGGCTTGAGGGTAAGAGGGTGCTGACCGCCGCTCAGATAGCAGGATCATGCGCAGCATCAATTCTCTTTGAGCATTGTATATAGCGCATTCGCAATGCCCGTATAATCTCGCATTATGTCACTGATCTCCGCACTCTGAGCTCTGATAAGAAGTCTATACACCACTCCATAAGTGTTGTTGCTGCCACTCGCCGAACAAATATTAAAGGATGACTTGGGTTCGAGTAGGGACTCTGGATATCACTCACTAAATACACTGAAGGTTGGACATAGGCTCAGTACCGTACGAATCATCTCGACTAATGGAATGCATCAACGAAAACTGGCACTTGAACCTGTATGATATAGCCATGCCGCTCCGTTCAGGATTATCTCTCCACCTCCAACGCCGCGAACGCGCTTCAAGCAAATACTCAGCGCACGTGGCCACGACACCTGCGGCTGCCAATCCATAAAAGCGGGTTAACTCAAGTAAATTAGTTCCCGTAACCGAACCGTACCGCCGCACCGACCTTTAGTGGTGGCCGTTGATGCCATTCATTCCATTTACCTCCTTGACACCATTCATCACCGTGGAACTACAAAACACCTTCCGTCCCCGCTGGTCCGTCCTCGAGCAGCTCAACTTCTTCCCATTCAGCGTCACCTCTTCATGCGCATCTCCAACTGGCAAGATGACACTGAGGTCCTCCTCCCTCCACGCGAGCTGGACATCCGAGCCGCTGCGCGAAAGCTCCACCTCAACAAGCGCATCCAAGCACCGGTAGCTGAGCCTGAATTCGACTGGCTCAGCGGTCGGAGAAACGCCGTCATCCTCGAGCCAGGTGGTCTCGAACGTGCCCGTGGTGCCAGCGCTCAGCGGCGGCGGGAAGATCTCAACAGCTCTGTAGTCATCCTTCGGAAGACTCGCCGGATTCACCGTCTCGCCAGCAGAGAGAGTCTGCACATCCTTACCGACAGGGATGGCCGCGCCGATACGCGCAAGCACAGGGATACTGGCGTCCCACTTCGAGTCAATCTCGACCCACTGGCCCGCAGCGAAGAACTGGAATGGCGCGTTCAGGTTCAAGAAGCCCGGGTCGTATGCAGATTTCCTAGGGAGGTACATCTTAGCTTTCGTCTCGCCAGGCTCGAACACGCCGCCTACGAGCAGCGAGTCGCCCAGCCAGAACTGCGTCTCGCCGTTCTTGATCATACGGTTTTCCCAGACCATTGGGTCGGCCTCGTAGCCCCATCCGGTCCAGCGCTGGGGCGGGGAGGCGGCGGCGTGGCTTTCGAGCGCGAGGGAGTAGATGTAGGGGATCATTTCGTAGCGCCGCTTGATTGCTGCGCGGACTAGGGGGGTCGCTTCGGGATACATCCATGGCTCGATTACTTCGCCGAGGTTGTTGTTTGTGGGAGTCGTTTTGAAGCAATTGATGGCGAAGCGGGAGGAGTAGATGCCTAGCTGGACCCAGCGCACTAGGAGTTCAGGGGAGGGCTGGGGTCCCTCGAAGCCGCCGATGTCGTGGCCGTAGCACTGGAGGAATTGTTAGAAAGACCTTGTGACTAGTAAGGAGGGGGCAAGACTTACCTGCAACAAGCACATGCCGGCCGTAAGCGCGAGCGCGTTTGCTCCCTTCATCCCATCGTAGCTGGTCACATTGTCACCGCTCCACGAACTGGCGCAGTACCTCATCGATCCAGCAGTCGCACTACGGGTCAAGATAAACGGTCGGAGCTCAGGCTCCACTTCCACTGTTGCATCATGGGATGACTTCGCCATGAGCTCCGTCTGCAAGGCCCGGCCCCAATACCCGATGTGTTTCAGCTGCTTCGCTTCGTCTGAGCCTTGCACAGAGGGCTCGTCGAGCTCACACTGCCAGTGGTCATCCGGAATCGTGTACTCATTATTGTCGTTCCAAATGCAGTCTACGCCGAGCTTCTTCAGATCTCGGATTCCATTATACCACCACTGGAAGCCAGCCTTGGAAGTGAAGTCAATATGGCCGCCCTCCCCACTCTCCCCGCCTCCAGCACTCCACAGACGCGCTGTACCGCTCTTCCCAGTCCGCAGGTCCTTGATTAAAGCCCCATTCTTACTGAGCTTCTCATACTCGGGATGATTGGCCAATACGTACGGTTTCACATTGAAGATCAACCGGATTCCCTGCTTGTGGTACTCGTCGATGAACGCCTTGGGATCCGGGAATCGGTGCCGATTCCACGTGAAGACGTTTCGGGTCTTGGGTTCCGTCTCCGCGACTGTGTAGCCCGAGGACATTTGGAACCCTGAGCAGGGGATGTCTTCCTCCTTCATCTTTTTTGCGAAATCAATCAGTGCATCGCAGGCGCGCGGCTCGTCCAGCATCGAATATTTCATTCCCCCGGCAAGATAGCCGAATGCCCAGCGAGGCACGAGGAGCGGATAGCCGACGAGATCGGCGTAGGTGCGGACGAGCTCTTTTAAGGTCCGGGAGATGATCAAGTACTCTTCCAGCCCACCGTGGTCCTGTCGGTATACTTTGTAGTAGCCCCACATGCCGTCCATCTCGGAGCCGACGGAGTAAAAGCCTCTCGCGTGGGAGGTCGAGAAGACGCCCACGCAGCCTTCTGGGGTGGCGTTGATGAGCAGGGGAATGTGCTTGTACATGGGGTCGGTACGGTAGACATCATACCCAAAGCAATCTGTCGCGGAGAGAACAAATTGCCGATTCGACAAGTCCATGGGTGCTGCCTTCTCGCCCAATCCGACATGGAGAGTACCGCGTTTGTATTTGGTATAGTGGGCGACGCCTGTGCCGTCTGTGGCATACGACCGGTAGGGGAGATCGGCGTGAAGGGGAGCTTCGGAATCGGCGAATGAAAGAGAGACTTGGGGGCAGCCTGTGAAGTCTACTTCTGCTACTACATCTCCGATCTTTGTCTGATAGCTGCTTTTGCTCAGTGTTGTCGCTGGTACAACGTCTCCGTGCCGTATCTCGGGGAGGGGAGCACTTGGGTGAGGTGGTAAAGGGTGGTCTTTTGTGGTGAATCGCGTGCGGAAGACATTTGAGCGGATTGCTTCGAATGAGAAGTCCGCAGGTAATCCCTGCTTATCTTGGGAGCGGAGGTATAGCGATGCTTTTGAGGAAGGGTTTTTGGAGGAGTCAATGGCGTAAGTCTGGGGGACGAATTCGTGTTGAGGCGCCATGATGCAAGTAGAGAATTGGCGTGTTCTCTCGAGCTAACCAGCAGGTTTCGGATATGGCAGCCATCTCGGCTAGGTGCTTGGATGTTTATGTAGTCAGGTCGGGGTTGTGGTGTTGCGGAGAACACGGGAGAGAGGGAGCAACGTTGGGAGATAACCTTCCGAAGACCGACGCCATCCATTCCGAACATCTGGAGAACGTCCTTTCGCGGAACGTCGGGTCATGGCTGGGAATAAGCAGCTTTACGCATAGAAAACATGTGGAAAACGTGGGGATCTCCGCACTAGGGTCGACGGGAAGATCGCCGCTCGGTAAATCTTTACCCATTCTCAAGAGTTGAGTGGCAGCGCCTGGGCGACGCCAGACTCCTGAACCACCGAGACCAACGATATTCACCATCTTTATCGCGGTCCTTGCTATGATATTCGACTTCAAATCGTGTATATAGCATGCCTATGAGAGCTCTGGCGTCTCATTTCTCCTAAGCCTTTGATGTAGCGGTATTATAGTATCTGACAAGGCTTTCAAGCTGTACGGGATAGTTCGTGGTGAGCATCGGAACTCTCGGCCGAGCGAGCTGTCGAGTGGCGAATTTAGTGCCCAGGACTCCTCTCCACGGGGTTTGCTCCCGAGCCCCATGGGGTGGCTCCCGATCCCCTCAGGGTTGTCGAAACTTTACAGGCGTCCAGTCCGGATATGATCGTCGGCTTTACCACCGAGATGCGAAGGCAGGTAGGATATATATCGTGCTATCACGACAGGGAAGTCCATCACACTCTCCCAAGTCTTCCATCAATCTCTCCTTCCGTCTTATTTCGAGAGTCTTCCTCTCCAACTCCGGCTTTCATCTTATATACCTAGTTCCAGCCTTATATCAAGCTGCGTGCTTGATGGCAAAAATGGCACAACCAATCGGCGGCGAAGACTACAAAGCTCGAGTGGACTCTGTCGAGATGGCTGCGACAGCGACAGTCAAGGGCAGAGATAAGGCCAACGAACTCCTCAGCAGCGCAGAGGGCCGCATTGTCGTCACGCCGGAAGACAACAAGAGGGTTCTCCGTAAGATCGACTTGAGAATCCTCCCAATCCTCCTGGCCGTCTACTGCCTCCAGAGTTTGGATAAGACTACCCTCTCTTACGCTTCGGTTTTCGGCTTGATCCAGGACACCAATCTGGTTGGGACACAATACTCATGGCTCGGGTCCATCATCTACATTGCGCAGCTCGTGATGCAGCCAGCCATAAGTGTGTTTCTAGTGAAACTGCCTATCGGGAAGTTTACTGGTATTACGGTTTTCCTCTGGGGCGCGACACTCTGCGGGATGACGGCAGCCCATAACTTTCCTACTCTACTGGCCACTCGATTCCTCCTCGGCGCATTCGAAGCCGCAGTTGGTAAGCACAGACACCGAGCTTTTATCTTACACGCGCTGATCGGACCTGCAGCTCCAACTTTCATCGCCGTTGTCCAGATGTGGTACCGACGTAGCGAGCAGACGAACCGAAACGCGTCTTGGTATGCTATGTTGGGTATTGTCAACATTGTGAGTAGATCCTCAGCTCAACGCCGGAAGAGAAACTGACATTGAACTCAGCTGGGAAGTTTGTTGACCTATGGTCTTGGCCATATCAATGGCTCTCTGCATTCGTATCAGATCATCTTCCTTTTCTGCGGTCTTCTCACTGTGGTTGTGTCCGTCTTTGTGTTGTAAGTAAAGCTATTCCACGGCAACCTCTGCGTGTTGGCCATGCTTACATAGAACAGCATCTTCATGCCCGACTCGCCATGGGAGGCGAAATTCCTCACACACGAAGAAAAGCTTATCTCCATCGAGCGTCTCCGCATGAACCAGATGGGCGTCAGCTCGAAGGTCTGGAAGTGGGACCACGTGTGGGACGCAGCGCTGGATCTGAAGACCTGGCTGTGGTTCTGCTTGATCACGTCTATTGCGTAAGTATATGCATCTACGTCCCGCCGATAGGACAGCCGCTAACGAGAATTCCCTTCCAGTATTCCGAGTGGCGGCATATCCACCTTCGGCCCACTAATCATCAAGTCCTTCGGCTTCGACTCTTTCACTACGATTCTCTTCAACATCCCTTTCGGTAAGTAGAACAAGATAAGAAACATCATAGTGCTTAATTAAACCCCTTCAATCCATCCCACAAGGCGACGAAACTAACAGGAGTTTTCAGGCGCGATACAAATCGTGAGCACACTCGGCGGTGCCTTCCTCGCTACAAAGCTCAAGAAGAAGTCCCCGGTCCTCGTCCTTCTTTGCATTCCTCCAATCATTGGCATCATCATGTTGATGATAATCCCATACACAAAGGGCAACCGCGCCGCACTACTCGTCGGCTACTACCTCATCTCCGTCTACCCCGGTATCTCGCCCCTCATTTACTCCTGGTCCGCACAAAACACCGCCGGTGATACCAAGAGGAAGGTCACAACTGGTATGATCTTCGTCGGGCAGAGCGTTGGAAACATCATCGGCCCTCTTCTGTTCAAGCCGGCCGAGGCTCCGCGTTACACAAGAGGCCTGACGGCAAATCTTGTGCTCTTCGTGTTGATCATGATCCTCGTGGTCATTGGGGCCTTCTACATCAAGTTCTTGAATGTCAAGCATGCGAACATGCGCGAGGCGATGGGCAAGTCGCGGGACATTGTAGATTTATCTATGGAGACAAGCAAGGATGCGAAGGACGCGGGCGAGGCACTCAACGAAGACCAGGGCGGCGTTGGTGAGAAGGCCTTCGACGATATGACGGATCTGAAGAACGAGGATTTTATCTACCTGTATTAAGGGCTGAATTCTGGCCGCCGGGAAGAGTCGGCAGGAGAGTGGCCCAAGGAACGGATGAATTACTGCTGTTGTATATACTGTTCAGAATATCTGCCTTGCAAGATGCGTATGCCGTCTTCCGCACCTTCATGCGTTTGCGAATAGTGTCCCATCCTAGAGTCGGCGACCAACCTCAAACAGCTTCGATCTAGACGCGGGAGACTTTATCCATCTCGTGGTATGTCTGATAGCCCATGCTTCCCGGCAACAAAGAGGTACGAAGGACGGGGTTTGTTCTGAGGAAGCGGAGGCTTGGCGGCGTGCGATCACGAGGGTTTGAAACAAAGTATTTCGGGGATTACGGGAGGAGAATCGAGCCTTTAGAGGCCTGTGTGGTCATGAGAAGCTTTAAATTTCCATCAGATTACTCACTTGGTGGTGCTTTACTAATAACAGATGAAGGGCGGCAAGCGTCCGCTTCCTCAATACAAACGCCGTCCTTCGTACGAAATGTAGGTTATCATAATAAGCGCGCACTCGTAATTGTTGGCATCCTTTCCCCGTTGCCTACAGGATGTTAAAACTTGCAAGTGCGTGATTATGTGTAAGGCTTTTCAGCATGTTCGCATCTCTGGTTGAGATAATACTGGAAGCTGATGTCCGGTCCTCCAGCTTCTCCTCAAAAGGACCGGAGACAGCTTTGCAAGATCATCAAGCCTCAAGGAAGACGATCCATTGGACGAGTTGTCTACCGGGCCACTGTACCTACGTTTCTGCAGGTGCTGCCGTTGGCAACTCCGCATCGTCTTCCCCAGACCTCGGCAGCTTCGGCCGTGTCAAACCAACTCCAGCCACGCACTTCTCCGCAGAACCACAACCTCACCTCTTTTTGCATGTATGTTCGCATTTAACCTCCGATACGCGCGAACGGGGCCATAAGCCCTTACACTACGGAGATGCCGGCGGACTGGATCGTAAGGCTGAGTAAGTATGGAAGAGGCAGCACAGACCATGGCTGCTCCTCCTACTGCGAAAAGACGTAGGGCTATTGTAAGTGCGGTCATGCCGTCCCTTATGCCCGTCGACTTGTACCGAGACTAAGGCCTAAGCCCGTAGAAGTCTTGCGCCTCATGTCGGCGTTCGAAGGTCAAGTGCGACGGAGAGAGACCCTGTGGCCGGTGCGCTTCCGAAGAACAAGATAAAAATGTATAGAAGGTCTCACTGATGTGGCGCCAGCTGTGCTACCTCCAATGCGGAGTGTGTGTACCTGGAAGCGCCTGCCGATCCTACTACTGAGTATGGTCTCATTTCTTTCTCAATCAATGTTCAACAAGGTTGTCGCATTACACTATATTTCCGTTCTGCGTTGCAGCCTCCACTCTCATATCGTCTGTGCTCCTATTATCTCTTACTTTGTAGCCGCTGACCAGTAAAAGAAAGTTTGAGCGGCTCGAGGGTGAGATTGGCCTCCTCAAAACTCAGCTGGAAACTCTGCACGGCCTGCTTTCCGCACCTTCGCCTAGCCAAGACAGCGCAGCAACTGCATCTCGCTACATCCCAACGTACAATGGTACCTCAGGGATGAGCCATGTAATAGGGGGCCAGCCAACGTCGATTCCGCGGATGTTACCACCTATCAGCTCCTTGGATATCCACGAGGGGCCCTTCACCACTCCGGATACGGGAAGCGCTGCACGTACCGGATATCCCTTTGACATTTCAGTCCACAACGGCTCTGCTCTATATACACCAAGTCTTCCTCAAGCCAGTTCTCCGCGGCGATCTTCGATGGAAGGGAGCAGTAGGAAGCGGAAACGGGGAGCTTTCATAGTTCAGACTCAGGCATTGCCCGATCTCGTGACAAAAGGCATGGTATCCGAGGAAGAGGCAGCGTTCTGGTTTCGATCGTACGTTAATACCACACTTCCCAGAGGTTGAGCTGTGAATGTTGACGGTCTGGACATCCCAGATTCTTTACAGGAAGTGTATGTGCACGGGTCTCTCAGTTTTGTAATCTTCGTCTATGCTGACCTGCTCGCTAACCATTGATAGCATCGATTAGTGCCGGTGTTCTGCCCTCAGTTCGATACGATGCCATCAATACGTTCCAGGAGCAGTTTCCTCTTTGATGCAATAATCACCGTCGGCTGCAGAGCGGAGAATGGACCAGGTTCGCAGTCGTATCAGAGACTTCAAGCTCTCTTGCGGGATCACCTGTCGAATTTTCTGCTCCAACCAACCTCACCAGTCAGCAAATCCATTGAAACCGTACAAGCACTTCTCGTCATGGCGAGCTATTCAGACAACGGATGGCTCAACACAAGCATAGCTCTAGGTTTAGCCCTGGAGCTAGAGCTTCCAGAAGCCGTAGAGCAGCTCATGGCGAGGACGGTTGGGGCAAGCATCGAGAGATATGCGAAAGGAGTGGACGAGGAAGAGAAGCGACTATTCCGGCTGACAAGAACCTGGTACGGTGTGCTTAATCTGGACCACATGTAAGTTCCCGACAAGCCCCTTGGCTTCTTTGACCCTACGTGACTCATCAAATCACTAGATTCTCCCTTGACGGCGGTAAAAAGCCTGCAGTAACTCCCGCTAGCTCCCCTCGCCGGCTAAGGGCCCTTCTAAGTCATCCTCAGAGGACGCCTGTAGATCTCCGACTCTTCGCCCAGGTGGAACTCAACGCTATGCGGTCATCGATGCTAGAAAATCTCCCCCGCATCTCCGACTTCTCCATGGACACTGAGGAGGAAGCCGAGCTCGCGTCCGTCATCCGTGGTGCACGCATTGACCTCGACCTCTGGCTCGAAGAATGGAACAGCATCATTCAAAAGCACAGCCACGAGGCCGACTCGGACACAAACGTCACACTCTTGAACTTACAAATCCAGCATGAATGGGCGCTCATAACCCTGCATTTGAAGGCAATTTCAATGATGGGCGTCGAGAACCTAGCCCTGATGACTGACAAGCAGCGCAACATCATCCTCGCAGCAAAGGAAGCCGCAGAGCGGCATCTTGAGCTCTTACTCCACGCCTCCTCGGCCAACGAAGGCGACTTTTCCTCCCCGGCCTCCGAGCGCACTTACCTGGCCAGCTTCAAGTGGACGATGGACTTTGTGTGGGCGAAGTGCGCGTTCTCCGTACTTCTTGTCCTCCGGTTATCCATGCTGCTGCGAGACCCACCAGAGCGTCTCATGCAGTTGTTGCGCCAAGCTCACGAGCTGCTTGAGGAGCTGGAGCGCGGGACCGGCGGGCAGATAGCCTACTTCCAGATCCTAGCCGTCAGTGTGGAGAAGTGTGAGAAAGCGCTCAGAGAGCACATGAGGCAGAAGGAGCTGCAACAACAATGCGAGAGCGGCAACGGAGTAGGCGGAACGGCTGCTTTCGCAGCCACGCCAGGCGATCTGGGCGACAGGCACAACGATGGCAATGCTGGTACTCCGGGGAACAACGACGCTGAGCAGGACTTCCAGGCGTACGCCCCGAGGGAGCTGCTGCTGCAGTGGGATTTTCCGGGCCTGAATCTGAGATACATACCGATTGGCTGGCAGGATCTTCTTATGGACTTCGACACCATGTTCTAGTTTGGTTACAGGAAATGTTGCAGATTTTCTCTGCGCTGATCGCCGGTGTGTGAATGCAATTGAGTCGCTGCCTTCATGCACCTTTGGTGACTTGGTTTACCCAGATCGGGTCGTGTACGAGAAGTTTGTGGAGTCTACCAGGGAGCGAGGGCCATGGAAAGATATGTATCCGGCAAAGGTGTGGCTCTCCATTAGCGGCGCTGAGCTCCTCCCTGACGATATGTTATATCAAGTCCTCTGTTGATAATGCCAAATGAGACGGGATTAAGGTGACATTCGAGGTTATCGAGGGGTGTTGTTATGCTTGGCAAGCACTCGACACCGCGGTTGAGCGTTGTACACCTCATATGCCATTTGTGGCGATGATACAGTAGTAGGAACTAACGCTTGGTGAAGTTGTTTCACTTCAATTTCTGACTTCGTTGATTCGTATCTACACGTCTGTTGCCTCCACTAGGTCATGCGAGTCCCACACCCTATTTCCTTACGTCACATCCTAGGATTTCCACGTATCTATGCCTCAACCTCCAATACCTCAGCATCCTCAAGCGCGTTGACATCGCGGCGACTAATGCGACACCTGCAAACGCAATTGCCCGAGCAGCGGTCCGCGGGGCCACTGGTGCACCGGCACTAACGCATGTTGTCAGCGCCAGCAGGACAGACTACGGCGATCTCACAATTCAAGGGGAGAACTTACGTAGGAGCCGAAGCAGTTCACCTGAGCGACGCCGTCTCTGCAGAGGATTGCGCATGCTGGAGGGTGGTCAGCTTGGGATGTCTAGGCAGCGGAGTTGGGGTCCCCGGTGACAGCTTTTGATGGCCGCCGAGTTATTAACGGGCTACGCTCGGCCTCAAAAGCTGCCTCCAGGTGGAGCAAGGGAGGCGGGGTGCGTACATGTCTGTATGGTATGCGGTTAGTATCTAGAGGACGGGAATTGGTGTCTCATTGGTTGCGACGCACACCAGCGCTATTGCACCTTTGAGCCACGGCGAAGTTCACGCCTGCGGCGAGGAGGAGGAAAAGGTTGGTGAGCTGCATTATAGAGAGGCTTTGGTTGAATGGGGGGTGCTTGTAGGCGGATAGCAGGTCAAAGATCAAATAGTTTCAGTTGTTTGCGAGCGAGGGAGGGATGAAGAAGGTCAAAGACGATTGAGGGCTCCAAGATGATTTGTATTGACGCCGGATAAGACATCTTGTTCTGGCCTTCAACTTCCCCTCTTCTCCTCTGCCTCAACTCACAATCCGCACAGCTTGATGCAGTCAAGAGCTAGTCGCACTGGCCTAGACGCCGTTTACCCCAGATTCTCGGAAGCGATAGTTTGCTTGGCTGGCTTGTCTTCACTGCCGATGCGAAGGAACTAAACCTGTCAGGGCAGGTGGTTGGATATAAACTGCCAACGATCTCGCTTGCCCTGCATGCGGATGCGGCCCTCGTGCCAGGCAAGACGCCAATATTTGCGGAGGAGATCTTGGTTATCCATGTTGTGCCTCGCTACGGTGGGATACCGTGATCTAGTTTCGCCGTTTGGGGTACTTGGCGCAAGCGGTACAGGCATGATACTGGCATGATAGTGCTTGGATGCACAGGTGCAGCCGGGGCTGAATGCATTGTGCTATTACCTGAGGGGTACTGTTGGGTAGTGCTTGTCAGTTGGTGATATGGCTTGCTTGGTGTAGGACTACTCAAGCTTGACTGTCGAATTCTGATGTTCTGATTGGGGTCTGCTTTCTGGCGTCCATTGGCGGGCCAATGATCGTGAGACCGTCTCGAGCAGGTCCTCAGATCGAAATCCAATATCCTAGTTTCATAGCCAAGAAAAGTCTGTGATCGTATCAAGTCGAATAACAAGAACGGTTTTGGATAGTAGAGAGCATAAGACGTTCAGCAGCCTTATCCGTTAGTGTATTCCACACCTAGGATACCTTTCTGGTCAAAGGCTGCGCCTGGCTTATTTACTACAATGTCTACAAGTATCTCTCCACGCAGCAGGACCATGCTGCGACCCATTCCTTGATGACCATTCGTTCCAGGGTGCTGCACGTGACACTAAAGCTTACGATGCCTCATCAGCTATTCCACAATTCCATCTACAGACCATTTGCCGGGAACGTCTATATGTATGATGTACCGTAAGGCATGCATCGATTGATTCGCAATGTAGGAGACCTGACAGAAGACAGATGAAGCAGCACGTGACATAGCGTTAGCAGACCGGGGTCGCCGTTGTCAGCGACGCACGCACGAACCGGCCTGTGTCGCATGGAGCCCGACGGCTCCAGCAATGCGACTTCGCAATGTCTGACGGTGCGACGGATTTGCAGTGCTGGGTCACAGTCCGCCGCAGCGGGCCCGGAATGCGAGCTCCTTGGATGGTGCGATGTGCAAGCGCAGCATCGAGCTGAGAGATCCACGGTTCAAGGCGTTGCACCGCTGGACGCATCACCCGGTTCCGCATCCCTCCGAGGCAGCAAGGCCTCCATCAGATAACCGGCCTATCCCAATCAGATAAGTCTTGTCTCTTTTCGTTCAAGGCTCTCCTTGATCGCGCTGCACTCCGGCGGTCCAGCTGCGTCAGTGCTGCATCTTGCTCATCTCCCAGCCTCTCATTCTGTTGCGATGTTCGGCCTTGGCTTTTCCTTTTTCCCCACTCAGCGTCATCTCAGCGCAAATTTTCTTGATAGCGCGCTTCATCTGATAAGCTAGCTCTATCTAATCAATCAAATCTTTATAACCCTCTCTTCCCAGTTTACTACGTACCAGTGCGAACAGCTGCATTGTGGTCTCTGTCCTGCAGTAGCTTGTTTTGTTCTTATCAGATCTTCCTAAGCCTTCAGCATGTCGCACGACCAGGAGTACAAGGACACGGATGCGACCGTCGTCAGTGATAACTCGAGCCAAGTCCACCTCACCGGAGAGAAGAGCCCTGGTGTCGCACGCATTGAGGCACTGTCCGCTCATCTGACGACCTTCGATCGTATCTTCTTGTTCATCGGTGTCTTCCTCATTGCTTATGCGTACTCTCTTGACGGGACTCTGCGATACACCTATCAGGTACGCAGCCACGTGACATCATTGCAATGATCAAGCTCACCACTTCTAGCCGTACGCGCTCGCTGGCTATGAGCTCCATTCGTTGCTCGCTACCGTCAATGTCGTCAGAACAGTCATCGCTGCCGCTGCTCAGGTCGGTACTCTGTCCAAGGTGTCCAGCAGTGAGCTAACTCTCTGTTCAGCCAACAGCAGCGAAGATTGCAGACGTCTTCGGTCGTGTTGAGCTGATCCTCGTCTCCATTTTCTTCTATGTGATCGGTATGCTCCTTTAGTGGCCCTCGCCCATCCTTTTGCTGACTCCGCGAAGGCACGATTGTGGAAGCAACAGCCAACGGCGTGGGAGCATTCTGCGCCGGAGCCATCCTCTACCAGATTGGCTACACCTGTGTGATCCTCCTTGTCGAGGTCATCATTGCCGACATCACATCTCTGCGCTCCCGTCTCTTCTTCTCCTACATCCCCGCTACGCCCTTCCTCATCAACACCTGGGTCAGCGGCGATGTTGGCTCAGCTGTCCTCGGCGCCACGACCTGGAGATGGGGCATCGGCATGTGGTGCATTATCTATCCAGTCTGCGCTCTCCCACTCATGCTCGCCCTCTTCCTCGCACACCGGAGAGCCAAGAAGAGCGCCAATCTTGCCGACTACAAAAGCCCGTATCAGATGCTTGGCCTCAAGCGTCTGACTGTGGCACTCTTCTGGCAGCTCGATGTCGTTGGAATCATCCTCCTGATCGCCGTTTTTGGGCTTATTTTAGTACCCTTTACGCTCGCCGGCGGTGTTACATCCCAATGGCGCAGCGCTCATGTCATCGCACCGCTTGTTGTCGGCATCATCTGCGTCCCGGCCTTCATCTTCTGGGAGCGGTGGTGCCCACACCCTCTCGTCCCCTTCCGCCTTCTCACCGACCGCGCCGTCTGGGGTGCGCTCGGCATAGCGATGATGCTAAATACCGGTAAGCCTTACACTGTTCTCTTCTGTGACCTAAGCGTGAGTAAGGCTAACGGAACTGTAGCATGGTATCTCCAGGGTGACTACCTCTATACTGTCCTTGTCGTCGCCTTCAACGAGTCCATCAAATCCGCCACCCGCATTACTTCGCTCTACTCCTTCGTCTCTGTGATCACTGGCGTCTTCGTCGGCATCACCGTACGCTTTGTGCGCAGGCTCAAGCCCTTCATCGTCTTCGGCACCTGCCTATTCATGGTAGCGTTCGGGTTACTGATCCGCTACCGTGGTGGCAGCGACCGCCAGGCCCACTCCGGTATCATTGGCGCGCAGGTTCTGCTAGGTATTGCCGGCGGTCTTTTCCCATATACCGCTCAAGCCTCGATCCAGGCCGCAACAAAGCATGAACACGTTGCTGTTATCACCGGTCTTTATCTCGCATCCTACCAAATTGGCTCCGCGCTCGGCAACACCATCTCGGGCGCAATTTGGACTCAAGTTCTTCCCGGCGAGCTCGAGACCCGCCTCGCTCCGTTCGGTAACGCGACCGCCGCCACAGCGGCTTATGGCAACCCCTTCGGTTACATCGTGGAGTGGCCGGTTGGCACGCCCGAGCGGCAGGCGGTGGTGGATGCGTACAGGCATGCACAGCGGCTGCTGTGCATCACGGGTATCTGTCTGTGCGTGCCGCTGATTGGCTTTGCGCTGGTGCTCAGGAATCCGAAGTTGGGCAAGGAGCAGAGCTTGCCGGATGCGGAGAAGAGGATTGAGGGTGAGGCATTCGTGGGTGCGGAGAAGAAGTGGTGGCAGAAGATCTTCTAGGAGATGAGATCACGCAAGGGGCAACAGTTGTGTCGCTGGGTAACGGACGCTTGCATGTTGGCTCATAATGGAGATGGAAGAACGAGTGTACAAATTGGAAGGCGTCCATGCTGTTGCTGCTAGTGCACGCTGTGGAAGTGATAAGGGAGACTTTACTGGTCTAACAAGACGATAGGGGTTACAGTTGCAGCATTGAGATATTAGCCCGAGCAACATGATGCTGAAAAGCGTGACATGGGTTCAACCGGTTTAGGTTTTTGCAGTTCTCTACGAGCGGGACGAGCAACACGTGCTGATAGCAGCCTGACATTTGAGGCATGCCTACGCGTTATGTCGCGCTCACGTCATGGCCAAGCCAGCACATGTCAATGATACATCACAGAGATAGTTATCCCACTTTATCATTCATCATGTCGTGCCCTCTTCGCCTCCAAGAAGACCAGTCTCGCGACATTCAATGCTCTAGCAGCAGCAAATCAACTCCCACGCGATCATGGAGAACGGCATGGAGAAACGCCCAGCGACCATCAGGACCTCGAACCTGCCCGCAAATATACTGCCCTTGACCGCAACGACACAGCTACAGAACACCCTCAGCGTACGCGACACCTTTCCGTTCAAGAGCTTCCATTCTATACCCAGCTTGCCGGCCGTCTTGACGAACCTTGCCCTCTCTGGCGCTGCATTGGTCGCAGCTGCAGCCTCCATCTTCGTCACCGGCGTCATCTTCCTGCCATTGGGCATACTCAAGAGCACCGTCAGCACCTTGCTCGTACCATTCAACTATACGAGACGAAGATTGGGCGAAAAGCTTCCAGACCAGACAGGCAAGCGCCGCTGTGTCGTGATCAATGGCGCGAGGTACGGATACCACCTTTCTCAGCTTTCTGTAGGACCGTGTCTGACAGTCTCGTCTTCGCACCAGCTCAGGGATTGGCGCCGCTCTAGTATCCGAATATGCAAACCCCAACACCCACCTCGTCCTGCTCGCGCGCTCCATTCCTCGTCTCAAGAAGGTCGCAGCCACAGCTCGCGCTCTCGGCGCCACAACTTCCATACACTCTCTCGACTACTTCGAATCCGGCAACATCGACGCCATGCGTCAGCTCCTGAAAGACGTCGACCGCGAGCTCTCAGGCATCGACATCGCCATCTCCTGCGTAGGCGTAACTGCCCATCGGCAGGATGTCTTGGGCCGCAAGGACCCCGACAAGGACAATATAGATGGGCTGGCGCCAGAGATCGCTGAGACTGTTCGCCCAATGGAAACGGGGGAGCAGTGGGGCCATACGACTGCGGCGCGGATGCTCCGCATCAATGTTGAGGCGATGCAGGCGTTTGTTTTAACGGCGTGGGAGCTCATGAAAGCGCGCCGACTCACTCTTGCCACCACGAAATCTGGGGATGGAGTTTACAACCCTAAGATTGTCTTTATGGCCTCCTCGGCTGCGTTCTTCTACCCCGCGAACTTCAGCTTGTATTCCGCCAGCAAGGCATACCTTTACGCCCTGGGCCAGTCTCTGCAAACGCTCTCCGCGCCATACGGCATCCAAATTACAACTGTCTGCCCAGGCTTCATCGAGTCTGGAATGACGATCACTATGATCGAGGATGGGTGTCCAGTTCCCATCTCCGTGTTTGGGGATCCGCGGAAGCTAGCAGCAAGGATACGGACTGGAGAGGAGAGGAACGATAGAGTGGTTGTTTATCCTCTGGCGCAGGCGCTGCCGCTGTTTGGTTGCAGGGCGTTAAATCCGTTGCTTGAGGTGCTGGGGCAGTGGGTCGGGCTGGCGACGGGGAGTGCGGCTTGGACGCCGACGTGATCCGTGGCTGTCCGGTTTGGAATTAGAAATTGTTTGGTTGCGATGTTGATGGTATGTCTCCGTAATGATTGCGAAGTCTTGAATTTCTTATTGTACATCACCTCTGTCGTCATCCAACAGTTGGGAGCATACATGCCTTCTTTCAAGAGAAATATGTCACTCGCACAGTTCTGTAATCTACTAGGCATATAGGTGGTTCTTCGAGCTGGTATTGACACGTGACTTCAGGTGCTTCGACGAGATGACGCGAGCACAACATCACTCACACTCCGATTGCGAACAGTTTCTGCAACATTATGCGTTTCAACGCCACGTTTTTGGAAGACGCCCTGACTGCCTGTGGAACACTGAACCGCATGTGCTGTGGTCGCCAGTCAGGACGACAGTGCGAATTACAAAGTGGTGATCCATCGTCCGATCTTTCCACCCCGTGTTGTTGAGCAGTACATTGGGACCCGCGCCTCGCAGGAACGCACATAACCGGAGATATCTACTGCATCTTAGGCACTCCAGGCAATATCCGAGACTCAGTGGTGGGCTCTCTACGCCTTTCTCCAGCGGACTTGGTTCCAAAGAGCCCGGACAGTGCAGTAAATCGCTCTGTCCAAGACGCCGCTCGTAATATGCGGCGGGCGTTTATTACTCTAGTTATGATCAGCCGAGCCCTTAACTTCCTCTGCGTAACTACTTGGATCCATCAGATGAGCGAGCTTGCATCTAGGATCGTGGCGGATAATCCCGCCAGCAGGATACGCAGGTGCTTTCCTCAGAACGAGGTCCCTCAGACGACGCCTGGACACAGCGCGCCACCAACATTGTTCTCTTCGCCATGAACATCTAAGAGCACTCCTGCAGATCAGTTTCATTTTGTCGTAGCAATCAGACATGGACTTGGGTTCAAGACCGTGGGAGCACTCAGTCGTGATCCTGTGCGTTTGGCTTTGTCAGCCCTTCTTCAGTAGGGTCGTGCCACAGACGCGGGCGACCCTCGTGACAGAGTGTACGCGTTCCTAGGCATTGCTGCGGACTCTGAGAAGTCGTGTCATGGGGATTTGACCACTAGTCTACGACCCGACTTCACAAAGTCCGTTTCAGACGTTTACCTTGATACAGCGCTATTCCCATCGCGAACGACGCGCGATTTGAACCTTCTCTCCCACGTCCAAGGCCACACGTACGCTGAAAGGTCTGCCGTCGTGGGTGCCCGATTATTCTGCGAGGGCTGCGCCGGCAACACTGATCACCCCGAGGTCGACATGGCCAGCGTCTGGACTTCGCACTTGGCAGTACTCGACAGGCTCTAACTCTCGTCTGCTCAATGTCCAGTGTTCACTGGGTGGCGTTGTAGCTACCACCGAGACCGAATACACGAACTCTATGCTCGGTTCAATCGCGTTCGCAGCTGAATTATCACCACGACAAGCAAGCGGGAATGCTGAAAGAGAGACTCCGCTTCCGGGTCCCATCATGGAGACTGTCAAGAAGGGCGAAGCACAATTTCTGGTTTCTTCGAAGCATCTGTCCAGTATTGAGGTATTGTGGCGAACGCTCATTGCTGATCGCTTGGAGAATGACTACCCTACCCCTTTCTGGGGTGGCCTCGCTTTCGGGGATTTCATGAACGTCTTTCTGCAGACATGCCGAGCGATAGGAATCGCAAAGGTCCGTCGCGCCATAAGGTCCGCCTGGAACTGTCCTAGCCGACGGGAACCGGTTGTATACCTCGATCTGCCCGAATTGGAGGATACGAAAAAGACGTTCGATGCAGCGTTCTCGGACCAAGGCGAGAAAGTCATTTTCATGTCCTCCAGCATCCAGTTTCTTCATGATAGTTCCCGATTGCATCTGCTATGGGATCCTGGGAGCAAATTCTATGACGAGTTCATAAAGAACGACCGGTATTTCGAATACAACAAAGAGATGTTGCACCACATGTCTTACAGGTGCCTATTCCAGACCGAGGACCGTCTCTTGGGGAGCGAGCCCGTATCACTCGATGTGGGGGACAAAGTTTAGATCCTCGTGGGCGCCAACGTTCCCTTGCTACTACGGCTCATGGAGAATGGCAAATACCGCGTTATCGGAGAGGCGTATGTATACGGCCACATGCATGGCAAGACGCTCAAGGGAGAGGGTTTCAAGCTTCAAGATCTGGTACTAGAATAGCGGAGACGGGAGATTGAGATCTGTCAACTTTAGCGGGTAGACAGAGAGTCTCTGTGCATGTATCGGAAGCTGCTCTTGATACCCTGTTCGTAGGTATGGATCAGCTGCATTTCGCTGGGTGGCGCGTTCTTCGCCTGGCATTAGGTCCAAAGTTTCCAGGATAGCTTCGAAATCGCTTTCATCAGCATCACAGTCAACGGCTCGCACAATCCATGACATTCCTAATGCCTACGTACTCACCCCCTCTCCCTCTCCTCCCTCCACATCCTCCTCTCCTCATCCCCTATCCCCGGCCCCCGATACACGCTCCCATACACCCCGCCCGCCCACTCCGCTCCAACCCCCTCCCTCTCCACCCTCCGCCGATACCACTTCCCATAACACAGCAAATAGTACAGCCGAAACGCAAGCAACGCAAACCGATCCCTCTCCAGATCCTCCGGATAGCTGGCCCCCAGATCGACCGCCGCAGCAATCCCTGCGATAACAGCGACCTCGTGCGCATTAACCAGCGTCCAGGAGCTTGCAAACCTAGTATGCTTCCGTCCGTTGAGCGCCCACATCCAGGGGACCACGAGGAGGTAATGCGTCCAGGAATGGCATAGCTGGTGCCACCAGTCCTTCCTGATGATCTCGGAGGGCTCTATTTCGTCGATGGACCAGAGGTGGCTGTCGCGGGCTTTGTTGAGGAAGATGGTTTGGAAGACGTGCGAGTCGAAGGGGACGGAGGGCGGGAATTGGGACTGGTAGTTCGTGCAGTCGAAGCACATTTCGAGCTTCGTGGGGTCTTGAGGGTAGGGCTTGATGTAGTACATGGGCTTGAAGTCCTTATTCGCCATCTCGCACCGCGCGGTCTGGTCCACGCCAGATAGCGTGGAGACGGCTTGCGTGGGGTTGTAAAAGTTTTCGTAGTGTTTCCGCATGTAGTCCGTGTCGGTGTGTGTGACGGTGATGTCGTCGGAGAACTTGGCGGAGCCGAGGAGTTTCTTCTCGCGAAAGGTTGCGGTGGGGCCGAGGAGGCGCTTTGCGCTGTCGGCGCTGGATCTCTGTGAGTATCAATATTGTGGAACGAGGCGGTATACCTACAGGACACAGAGCACGATCTCGTCATAATGCTCCTCCGCCTCCTTGGCATGGGCGTCCGCATTGCTCGTCTCGTCCTCTCTTGCCCAAGCGCTGGTCGGATTGTGCTGGTCTTTGGCTGGAGTCCTCTTGACTGTTTTTACAAGTACACCATTCTTATCACGTTTGATGACTTGCGTGAGTTCCGTAGATAATCGGACTTTGACGCCTCTTGCTACCAGACTCTTCCTCCAATCTTCGTAAAAATCACTAAACTTCGGGAACACGACCATCGGCGGCAGATTAGACGCGACGCTAAGCTTGTCGCCCGGATACCACATCCCATATGTCGGACTTGTGATCAGCCTTTCCAGGATAATACTCGGCACCTCCGGCGCGTAGTTCCCCGTCCCTAAGAAAAGCGCAACCATGGGCAAGGCGACCATGTTGGCGAACTCGTCCGAGAAGCAGAACAGCTTCATCAGATACTTGATAGGCAGTAGCGCGAAGAAGACCTCGAACCAGCGCACGATCTTGATCACGGTGTGGAAGCGCTTGATCTCCTTTTGATGGCGGGCGAGCATCTTGGTCGGGAAGACGTTGGTCCAGAAAGTGTCGTCTTTGCCGAACGAGACCTGTTCTTTCAATCAGCGCTGTCAGCAGCCTGCTGTGATCTGGCCGTACCTGCAGCTTCACCGGATCCGCTTTATATCCCTGCCGTGCAAACATGGTCATGGTATGATGAAAGATATAGCTTCCGCCCTGAACGCCCTGGTTTAGCCAGCTCGCGCCGTGCTTGTCCTTGTCGATTGGTATGGAGAACGCTTGCCCTCCGCAGTAGTCGACTGCATCGATGAGGGTGACGTCGAATTTGTCGCGATGCTCGGCGAGGTGGTGGGCGCAGGACATGCCTGGAGTCTCGGTGTTAGTATCTAATGTATGTGTTCGATTGGGTTGGGAATGTACCAGCAGCTCCAGCGCCTACTACCAGCACCCTCTTCTTGCGCTCTGCGCCTGGAGGCCTCGACATGATTGCAGGTTCGGGGAGGAGAGGGTCGTCAGTCTGGCGCATCTAGGAGGGGGTTTTGCGAGCGGTCATTGGTACAAGGCCGCGTCCCTGGGGCGTCACAGCAGAGTTCGTGTGGGGAAGACCATGATAACCCGACTCCATGGAGAGGTTGTCCAGCATAAACTACGTCATTGGTGTGGGTTTATTGAGATTATGGACAGCAGAGGGGTCAAGCCACACCACGTTGGCGATCGATCGTTCAGATTGGCGAGAGTCAGCTTTGTGGATAGCGTGGAGATTATTGTACAGCCTCAGGCATGAGCAATCAGTATCGCTGTCACTTAACCGCGGCGCCAGCAGAAATAGCATTGGAGATCATCAGGCATGAGCTACCGACGCTAAATGGCACCAGTTATGAGGTCTTGAAACATCGTCTTCCCCGCTGTAGACACAATTGAAGTTCATCTCACATCGCCCTACAGCTCACGATTAACATCTTCCAGAACGTCGAACAAAGCAGCCCAACCGCCGACCGAGTGTGAAGATAATCCAGATCACCTGTTTCCGCCATCTTGATGCCTCATGAGCCGCCTCAAGTAGACTGACGCGGGTACGCCTGTGGCTTTGTGGCATCGCGCATGAGGTCCCAAAGGCTCAAGTAGTCTCTCGGTTCCAGAACCACCTTCTCGGACAATGAAGCCTCAACACGCTCGCTTATCATCCGACGTAGGCCCTCGAGATGCTGCTCTACAAATCTCATCTCCCAAGGCGCACAGGAGGGAAGCGAATTCGGGAAGCAGGCATCGATGTGGTAAAGAGGACCGGAATCGGAGGCATTCTGCCGAAGCCTAACGGCGATCTCGACCACAGTACCCCAGGCCTCACTTCGCTGATTTCTGCCTCTATTGCGACGGCAGCCGGGGAAGTTATTTACAATCCAACCGCCTGCGACGTACCATTCTACCGCGCCGTAAAAAACAGTATGACGGAGGGCCGCAACTCCGTCTTTCCTGATTCTGTCGAGCCAGGCCGCGTAGCATCCACGGTCGTGCTCTTCGGAGCTGACCCCAATATGGAACGCGTGCTTGCTGTAGTAGAGAAGGAGCGACTCCGCGCGGATCTGTCGACATGTGTTCAAGATAGGAGGTTCCCTACGCATGACCTTGACGTTCTCGGGAACATGAAACTCGCCCGTGCGGAAGGCAGAGTTGTACACCCAAAGTTCGGGCTCAGCAGTGGATGGCAAGCAACGTACCAAAACTCGTGGACTGGCAGGGTTCTCCACCGGGAAGTGTCCCGCAACTTCTGGCACGTTGTTTGGTGGCAAGGCTGCTTCTGTAGGTGAGGGAAGAGAAAATGAGAGAACCAGGTCGTAGACGTAGTCACGAAGCTCTCTCGGAAGACGTAAGAAATCAAAGTGAGTTGCTAGTTGCATGATGTGTCTTTGCGCCGTCATTTTCACGGAACAGCGGGCTGCAATCCAACTTCTTTTATGTCAGCTTATGAGACGAACACTCTTCTAGATATACCTAAGCAGCTCACATGCCTGTTCAGTAAGTTTGTGTTTATTCCTTTCAAAGTTAGACATCCCACCGGTTTCCACTTCGATCTTTTTCTGCAGGTTTGCGTTGTCCATGCGGCATCTGAGAGAATAGTTCAATGTGCTCTAAACCAGCCTTCATTTTCACATCTATGGTTACATGTCTCATGTTCTCCTCCGGCGGCTTAGTCTCCTAGAAGTCACCACCATCACTCAATAGTCCCCCCAGTCCCCGACGGGGACACCGGAAGGCTCATTCGATCGGCGAACTTCCGGTAGCTTGGCCATGGCACTGCTCAGAAGGTCCCAAACGGCGAGGTAGTCTTCCGGCTCAGAGTTTCTTTTTTCGGCAATCGCGGCCTCGATACGCTCCTCGGTGATCTGACAGATGCTCTTAAGCTTCTGATTTCCAATTTCCAGGGCCATTTGGAGGGTGATCGTAAACATCCTTGTAGGGCATGCGAGTGTAGACGCGATACCGAGAATCTATTCGCTTCTGTCGAAGACGGATATTGACCTCAGCCACGAAATTGGCCAGACGGTAACGGAGCTGACCGATATTGGTCTCTACTTGAAAATCCAAACAGTGTGACGGAGGGCCGCAAGCCCATCTTTCCCGATCTTGCACAGCCAGGATGCAGAGCGCGGCCGCTCATCTTCTGCGCCCACGTAGGACAAAGATCCGTACTTGCTATAGTACGGTGGAAGCGTCTCGGCGCGGATCTCTCGACACGTGTCCAGCAGCGCCGGCTCCCTGCACAGAACCTAATCCGCCTGACGCATCAAAGGATGATGCTCAAGAAGCACATTGTTGGCTACGAAAGGCTCGCCGTCGGGAGTAGGCGGAAGGTTGGCGTACATGCGGATGGGGGGCCACTTAGAAAGTATCAAATCATAGACGTTGTGGCACAATTTCAGAGAGAGATACTGAAGAAGGGGGACCGTTGCCCTTTTAGCACTGTCAACACACATGTCTGTTGTTCTCATCCTTTCCAGTTCTTTTGCTACATCTAAAGCTAGCTGCATCCCATACAACTGATGATACATCCTTAAAACACCTAGGCATCACAGCCTCCGCAACCATAGCCAACAGTTTTGGTCCTCCTCGTCAACGACCTCGAGAGCCAACTCAGCCTCCGACCGAACACAGAAAACATCAAGGTCATCGGACGCCGCCTCTGCCGATGATTTGTTGACTTCCCCCGCTTACTGGGCAATTAACCATCCTGAACAAAGCTTCACAGTTCTTCCTCGCCTGGAAACGGCTGACTGAGAACGCCATGAACGATATGCCAGATAGCCAGATAGGTGTCCCGATCTAGGCCTCCTTCCTTGATGGTTGAAGCCTCAATGCGCTCCGTAACGACCTGGCGGATGGCATCGAGCTTTCCTTCCGCAATCTGTGGGTTGAACCAATTATAATCTGGTGCGATTATGCGGGTTTCAATGCGGTAGACGGAATCAGGGCTCTTCTGCGGCGGCCGAATGCTGACTTCCACTACGACAGGGATGGGAGGGAGGGGAGCGCGACGGCGACGGTGAGGGTTGCCCCCAACGACAAACGATTGATCCGGCCCGGAAACTGAGGTGACATGATCCGCCACACCGCGGTAGACTATGTGGCGAAGCGCTGCAACTCCATCCTTCCCGGTCCTGCGTAGCCAGGACGCAAAAGCTCTGTAATGGCCAAATGAGTTAACCCGAACTAAGAATCCGTACTTGCCGTAGTAAAGTCGCAGCACCTCGGCGCGTATCTGCCGGCATGTATTGAGAAGAGCAGGTTCTCTAAACAGGAACTTGGGTCTCATGTCCATTTGGACTCTATCCGAATACTCAAGGTCGCTGGCCAAGAATTTTGGCACAGGAATCAGTTGGTCGTCTCGGAATCCGGGAAAGCAAGATATCACAACTTCATTGTAGATGAGGATACGCAGTTCTGGGGGAAGCATTCTGAGGATTGGAGATAGAATCTGAGTCGACATGTTCTGGCAACCCCGGTGAACTTGCCAAGAACTTTTAGCAGTCTGAATGACAGTCTTCTTCGTCCTTTTCCAGGAAAAAGATAGAGCGCTATCTGGATATACTTAAGGATGTCTGCGCTTGCTCAATTGAAGGTTTGCCCTTTCTCTGCTGCTTGAACGCAAACAATGGTCAAGCTAGAGGGCCATGTAGTCCTGGACACATGTTATTAATTCCCTTTACAAGGCTAATCCCAGTTTGACCGTCTCGAGTACAGACAAGAATGCATTGAAGGATCCCGGACTTTTCACAGCTGTGATTGCATGCTTGCTTACTCCACTGTATAGTCCAGGCTCAGAGTGATCGCTCGGAACTCCACGAGACTGATGTATGCCTAAACCGGTCTTACGTGCTTCCTTAACTACTTTGCAGAGTCTCTCCTGGTGTTCAGTCAACCAACAGGCAGGCGTGTTCGTGCCCGAACCCGATGTATGCGGTTGATCAGTCGTCCGGCTCATAAGACCCATGAAACTCGTCAGACGTTTCCGGCACATCAAACGGAGTAAACTGGTCGAACTCCTTAGAACCGTCAAGTCCATTGGGCTCCTCACGCTCGCCAGACCCACCGGATTCGCCAGAATCATTGGAGTTATCGGATCCACCGGGCTGGGATGCACCATCCGCATGGAACCCATCGGACACGGACTCATCAAAGTCGTCTGCCATATGAGGGAGCTCGTAAATCAGGTCCCAGAGATCCATGTAGTCCTCCGCTTCCATAACGCCCGCCGTGTACATCACAACTATAATGTCTTTCTCAACCCTCGTCCGCACCTGTTCATTCATCGGCTTTATGACGGCCAGTTCCTCCAGAAGTAGAACGCTCCCGCATAGCCCTCAACGCAGTGAAGCGGGTCCATCAGTTTCTCCTGCAGGCGGATGCTGATCTCGAAGTAGATTTTGGAATTATGGAGGTGCGGGATATCAAGAGGCCGAGGGCGAGAAGCGGGATGGAGTTGGTCATCAATCGACAGGCCATCGATAACCATCAAGCCGCAGAACACGGTATGGCAGAACGCCGCGCGCCCGTCTTCGCCGATTCTGCGTAACCAGCGCCTCAGACTTCGGCGATATAGTTGCGCGGTCGTCATGAACATGAACGCACGCTTGCTGTAGTGGAGTGGGAGCACCTCTGCACGGATCTGCCGACACGTTCTGAGGAGAGCTGGCTCTCTGTAGCGTGGTTTGAGCTGCTCTTCATCTAGGTCTTGATGCCGGCAGACTGCAAAGTTGAGTACTAGGCGGTCGGGGGCAATGCTAGGTAGGAAGTCCGGCCTCTCGGCGTGAATGGAGCAGAGGACGAGGAGAGAACGAATTCGTAGATGCGGTTGCGGAGCTCTGCTGTGAGACGGAGAAGAGGGGAAAGATGTGGTGTTGCTGTGCTTGGGTCACCCTGCTGAACTCGGTGCATCTGCATGGTGAGGTAAGAGTGTGTGTGCATAAGGGTGTTCTGCGTGACGTGTCAGCGTGATGAATTACTCTCCTGCTCTTTCTAAGCAATCCTGCAAGCGGACTCAATAAATTTGAGTTCTCCTGTCCGTGAGATGCAAACAAGCTTCTAACGTACCTCAACTTACTATAGCTTTCTAGAGATCCAACAAAGGAGCACTGTCAAGCACCTTCAAACGCTCCACGTCAGTTACAACAAGAGATGTGCATGGCTTGGACAAAGCAGGGAATGACGATAGCAGTCGTTAGAATCACGGCTGTGCAACAAACACGTCAGAGGAGAAGAAAAACGTTCATTGCTTCTTTGACTGACAAACGTTCTGAGCGTAGTTGTACATGATTGTGTATCAGAGTGGAGAAGCCCGCCCTTGTCGAACAGTGTGATTCACCTCGTTCCAGCCTCCCTTCCTTACGATATGTCCCCGCCGCCCTCGCCCGATGCTCTCATAACCTTGTCTTCCTTCCATGAACCAAAAGCATGCGGCGGTAGACAGAGCCATGAAATCTTGCCGGCATCATGATGAGTTCCATGTCCCTGCTTCCATACGCTATGTCTCCTTCGGTGTGCCATCACATGCTCGATAAGGCATGCACAATGTCCCAAATAGCGACATAGTTCCCTTCGGTCAGGCCCGTCTCGATAGCCATGATTGCCGCAACGTACGTTTCGATGGCGCGGCGGGTAGTCTCGAGCTTCGCGTTGATGCTGCTCAGTTCATGTGGAGAGTAGAGTCGTTCGAACACCGACGCTTCGACAACGTAACGAGGGCCGTTTCGTTCCGTTGGACAGAGGTTGATGATGAGCTTGAACAACACTCTCCTGGAGGGCCAAGCGAAATTGTGGTTGATCCGCATAAAGCTACGGAAGACGGTATGGCGGAGAGCGGCAGAGCCATCTCTGCCGATGTTGCGGAGCCAGTTCACGAATCCTTGCCTGCTGGAGCGGACGAAGAAGAGGAACTGATGCTGGCCGTAGTAAGATGAGAGCAAGTTGGCGCGGAGGTGAGGGAACGCTCGCAGGACAGCCGGCTCTTCACGCAAGACATGGTTTGTTGATAAGCTTGCGCCTTCAGCCATAGGAGGATATGCGTACACGACGTCGCGCGGCCCATTGGTCGGCACGACGGGCGGAAGGCATAGAGCAAACCCGCAGATGAGCTCTTGAAGCTCGATGGGAAGGCGAAGGAAGCGGTTTCCGATTTGTGCCGCCATTTTTCTGAGAGCGTGCGGCTGCGAGGAGAGGTTGTGGTAAGAAGGTAGAGCTGTGAACTGGTGATTTTCTGCATAAAGAGAGCCATTAGCTGACTTCCTATCTTCTTAAATTCTCCACCAGTGAGACTTCACGGCATCTGGCAGCCCCATAACCAGAGTTGTAAGCACCACCAGGGCAGCGATGCCTCCTGGCTGCAGGATTAAGACAAGGTTATCAGCCCCAGAGATAGGCTGAAGGCGGATGAAGCTCGAAGACACGCTGGGAGGAGCAGAACCACGAACTGACTGAGGTGATAAAGGAACGAGAGGCAAGAGATATAGCATGCTACGGGATACTTACAGAGGTGCTTAGATCTGCGGAGCTGGCGGTAAAAGCTGTCGCCGTGGTGTCCTCCGGCTGGTTTGTATGGGAGGTTTGTGGTTTTTGACGAAAGAGCGTGTGGTGTTGAGACTCTTTGAGGCTTGGCATAGCTTCGGAAGATATAGCCACAACCCGGCCTGAATATTCAACTCTTCACGCTCAACACCCTCGAAGACGGCAACGAGCCACCATCAATCCCTCGTAAGCTCTTTCCCGCTGCCTTCTCTTGCCCTGTACTAACCTCGCCAACCTCTTGAAGTAAAACAAATTTCAAAATCATCATCATGAGCAACCCTCCCGCCGGCGCCGCCACCAGCCAGCCGCCCGCCGCACCCGCCACCACCACCACCAACACCGCCGCGGCCGACGAAGCGGCCGACATTCAGCAGGCCGTGCAGGCCTCGCTGGCCTCCGCAATCGTCGAGGCTGCGGGCCGCGAGCCCTCGCTGGCCGGCGCGCCAACAATGGGCGCGTTCCGCGCCACGGCATTCTCCGCTCCCGCCCGCGCCCTTATGGGGGAGAGGATCTCCCGCCCTCCGCCCCCCGCCTCCCGCGAGCCAACGCCCCCAATTGGGGAGGACGAGTTCTGGGGAGAGGAGGAGGAGGAGGAGGAGGAGGAGGAAGAGGGGGTTGAGGAGGAGGCGGAAGGGGTGGTGAAGAAGGAGGAGGGAGGGGAGGGGGTGGTGGTGAAGGTGGAGGAGGAGGAGGTGCCGGAGGCGACGTTCCCGGTGGAGGTGCAGACGGTGGTGAAGAGGGAGAGGGAGGAGGGAGAGGATGGAGAGGAGGAGAAGCCGGCGAAGGTTCGCCGTGTCGAGGAGGTAAGAACAGAAAGGACTATGATTCAACGATGAAGCTATACTGACTGATGTAGCAGGAGTAGAGAGTTTTCTTGGTGGTGTCTCTGGGCTGTGTGCCGCTTGTTCGTGGGCCTGAGGCCATTCTTTAAGTCTTGTTTGAACGGTCTTGCTGCCGCTTCGTGCGGATAATGAATCTCTTCTCCCGTTCCGACTTACATTTCCATGCACCTGTGCCAATACTTCCTTCCTTGCCATGAGCCTCATCCGCAAGCCCGGAACACGAGGCATCAAGTATATATGAAGCTGCAAGACTCGGAAACCTAGCTATGGAAACACTTACACCGATACCGCGCACGCTCCGCGAGCCAGGATTGTTTTTGGATATTGTCCTTGACGTTGAGGACTAGATGTCAGGATCCGGTTTCGTAAGAGATATAGACAATGCACCAACCACAGGAGGCATATTATGACGCAAAAGCAAAGCGACAGAGATCCAACTTGTTGTACAAAGGTCTCTGAGGCGCTGGAAACACCACTAGCGGCAGGCTTCTCAAGGTCGGTGAAGTACTTTGTTCAGGCAAATATTTGGTTAGATATATACCGCGTCGAGGTAAGGAAGTAAGATATGACGTTCAAGCTGTAAGTTTGTTCTTGCTTTTTGATATGACATAAGAAAGGTTCGTTTTAAATAGGGGTGCTGGGGACATCCTCTTGCTTTTAACGAAGGTCTCGATATTTGACAAATCACTAGGTTTACCGCATTCATAACCTTGACATGGATTCGGCAATGCCAGCACGATGTCTGATGGCAACAGGTTCCTAAGGACGCATAAGTGGCGGAAGACACCGTCTGAGGCCAAAGGCTCTCCAGGATAACTAGACAGCTCCGAAGAGGCTCTTTTTGTAGGAGGGCGGATTCGGTAAACACTGTCCGACAAAGCGGGTACAAGAGAGCCTGAACAGGATTCCAGAACCTCAGGATTGGCCTCAAGCCAATGAACAGACCGCAAGTTGCGAGACAGGCCCATGGGGAGCCTGTTCGACGGGTGTGGCCATGCCTGATCAAGGGCGTGCAAGCGATCGCAACGGATGCGCGCGAACAGCCGCCCTTCCAGTCAATGTAAGATGCAACTAGCCTTGCCCGGTTATTCGATCGATCGACAGGAAGCATTCTAGGGCCGCCAACGGACGGTGCGGGGCCGCTTCTTGCACGAACCGTGCATCCAGCTGCTGCTGAAACTGTATTCCAAAGTCGATGTAGAAATGAACTATTCTGCTTCGACGGGAGATTACAAGAACGGCATTTCCGCGAGCTAGTCATCCATCAGCTGGGCGAGTAGCCGCATGGTCGCGTGTGTGCATTGCGATGCTGGCAAGCGCCAGAGAAAGGGAGGCCGGGTTCCTCGAGAGAACTTGTCTCTTCCGGGTGAATTTACTCTACTGATCTCAGATTGTCAGTTGATGGAGTGATCACTGAGAGTGTCCTGAGGATGGAAGAGGTGAGGTCGTCGAATTAAGGTGCCGGCTGGTCAGGGATGTGAGCCGACGGCTTGAGATCCGACTTGGCAGAGAATTTCTGGCTGTCCCGGGTCGCACTCGACGATGTCAGCAACCATAAACTGCATCATACACGGCAAGCTGAGCGCTACTCGGAGTCGAGGGCTTTTGCTAGCCGTCTCGGTGCTCGATGTGAGGCGTTCTGTACCGAGTTTCTTTAGGAAATCTACGAAAACCATGTCGGAGTCTGACCAAGTGAGGAGGAGGGAGACCATGCGCTGCACCCATACTGTCTGGCTATCGTAAACCTTCAAGAACCGCTTGCGTGAGTCGGTGAGCAGATTACTCGCTGGCTGTGGTTGACCTGCTGTGGTGTGGTGGTTTGTCAGGAGGAAGGTGGTTGCAGTTGCACGGAACAATTTCTGCGCCAGAGGTTGATATTCCGAGCAACATTAGCTGCCAAACCCATTTCCTGACCACCTTGCCTCATCACAAATGTACACTTCATGGCTTCTTCAAATAAGCTTCTCCTCGCTCTCTGAGTCCCTTAGGTCTCGAGTTCTATAGTAATACCGAAGTCCCGCACCGCTCCTTCTCCCTGAAACGGTATTCGTATGAGCAACGCGACAGAGCGAGCCCGCCGGAAGATCACCACCACGGCCACAACACCACGCTGACATCGAGCGGAATGGTATCTCTACCTTTTACCACGGCGGCGGTCGCGTCGAGAACCCGACCGTCAATCCTCCCTGGGGCAGAAGCGCCACGTTCCTTCAGACAGCTCATGACCCCTGCGGTCAATCCGCGCGCCGTTCGACACCACTACAGCTCAAAGATCCGCCTCTCCTCTCCTCATTCCGAATGGTAATCACTAACCAGAGGTGTCGGCAGTCTTCCACTGATTAAGCGTCAGACAAGCTTCTACGGCTTGTGGCCAGGTGACTACTCGTATGGCAACGGGAGTCGGCGGCTGACTGTGGTAGACATCAATCAACTCCTCTAGTTCGTGGAGTGGGACAACCTTTGCCGACAACTTTAATCATACAAAACCGTTGTAACAGAAGAGGACAAACGTGCAGAGTCACTGCAGTGAGACTGAAGCCGCGTTTGGGAGCAGTGCTCTCACCTGAGAAAGAGCGTCTCCACGCGTCGGCTTGCCCAGGCACTGCGTACACGTCGAGTGCGGCATTGTATCCCTGCTCATCAACGGCAACAGCGGAGCCACCGCATAAGGGAAGAGGATCAAAATATTACCGCTTGTCGGTCTTGGTGCAGAAGGCTGCAACGAAGAGAGGAGCACCGGGTGCTTAACGATATGTCCGTTCCGCAATAGTACTACGGACGGCTTCTAGCGCTGTCTGATGTGTGAACCTGCAGGGAAGACAAACAAGCAGCTCAGCCATATCCTACCCCACCACGGTAGCTCGGAAAGAAAGACGTTCCGGCTCATTGATGTCTACAATTTGACAGCACATTGGTTACCAAAGTTAGGGACACATCGATGCAGGCTCCTTTCCTCGCTGAAACGTTTCCGTTAGCGCATGCTTACGCACGAGCGGGCGTGCGGATCAGAAGATGTGCAGTAGCGTATTCGTAGATACGTTCTCAAGAACTCTACTCCGCTCTGGCCAGTGGATGCGCTTCTGGTTTACAGAGTGGAGAGCGCTAGTTCAGCTGGTGTACGATGAACACATCACGAGTCTCCAGCTACCTTGCCGTTTCCAAACTTCAGACTCTGTAGACTATTTGCTAGACTGCTGATACGGGGAGCAGTCGGGCCAGCATTTCCTCGGCCCGTGTTCTGTGTCACCTTCAACACCCAACTGAGAGGACGCAGTATGGGTATCTCCTGGTAAAAGCAAGGAGAGATATCACGTGACCGTTACCGACTCTGGCATCATTAGATGTACTACCTCCAGCAAACACCCGTCCATGCAAGGGTTAAGAAGGGCTGCCCCGGTAAATGGAGGTGTTGTGCATGACATCAAGCCATTGGACGCCAGCTTGAGGACCAATGAAGGTCTCACGAAACTGGCGATACGCATGAATGCTCTCACGTGATCCACGCAACAGGGATTGCTGAATGCATACCTAGCCTCAACGGCTGGACCCTTGCACGCTGTGGCCTCGGAGCGGCATCCGTGCGAAGTCAACGGTGTTCATCTGTCTGATGACGCAAGGTGGGAAGCTCGCGGCCTGCACCAGGGATCCTGATGGACTCCCCGCAGTTGCTGGCATTAAATCCTTTGGCGTCAAACCGCGCAAACCGCAGGCGCATGTCGTGAGATCTGGTACGAGCGGCAACGGTCGTCGAGCGTTGAGTAACGGGTGATCTTGACCGGGCAAGCCACCACGTGAAAAAAAGACATCTACCCCAAGACGGTCAGGTGGAGTCTGGACTACGCCTAGTCAAGCAAGTTGAATTTCTTCGAAGTTTACTGAATAGCACAAGCGTAACGGCCCTTGGGCATCTCGGCGGAGGGCCTTGCGGACAGAATCGCGGGGTAAGATCTTGCGGAGGTCTCACAGCAGCAAAGCTCACCAAGTGTTCCAAGACTCATGGTCCGTTTGCGGGGAAGAGACGGGAAGCCTTACCGATCGGCAGCCCCTCACGTCACGCTGGCTGCCACGATGCGTGAACAACAACGACTATCCTGGGTATCACCCCATCACATTGTGCAGAGGGACACGCTGTGCCGTGTCCAGTGTCTGCCTCAGTGCGCAATGACGAAAGGCATCATGGAGGACGCATGTGGACCATGTGGTGAGGACGGTAGGCATTGGATGAGTGCCAGCCGTGTGTTGCTTCATCTTGAAGCCTTTTCTTCCTGTCTCTCTCGGTTTCTCAGTCTGATCTTCTCCAATCTATCCTTTTGATGCTTCAGAACTACACCTCACTGTGGAATTGAGACTGCGGCAACATGAAGCTTGGACCGAAGAAGCCGTACTTCGGCCTCACAGGCGGATGGCTTACCTTCTGGGTCACAGTCGCGTGTGCGACTGATATGACCCTCTTTGGCTATGACCAAGGCGTCTTTGGTGCGAGATTCTCTATTCCTCAGTTTCTACTACACGGCAGCTGATGGTCAAAGGCGGTGTTGTCATTACGCAAGATTTCCTTGACACCCTTGGCATCGCCGACGACGCAAAGATGCAGTCGACGGTAACGGCAATCTACGACATTGGATGTTTCTTCGGAGCCATTGCGGCCTTTGCCGTGGGCGATCCGCTCGGACGGAAGAACACTATCCTACTTGGGACCACGATCATGTCCATCGGGGCTATTCTCCAAATCTCCGCAATGAATGTACCCCACATGATTGTAGGACGGTAAGCGATGCTAGCGTAAGAGGCATGATATCTGTGGCCTTTGGCTGATGGTAAAGACAGCATCGTTGGTGGAATCGGCAATGGTCTTAACACTGCGACGGCACCAGTCTGGCAAGGCGAGACCTCCAAAGCCAGCTGGAGAGGCAAGCTGATCGTAATCGAAATGATCCTGAACATCGCCGGGTTTTCGTTGTCGAACTGGGTAACATTTGGCTTCTCCTTCTTGACTGGAGGTATCGTCTGGAGAATGCCACTTGCTCGTAAGTATCACTCCATCATAGCTGGATCTGGACCAGCGAGGCTAACATCGACAAGTGCAATTTATTTTCATCGTCATTCTCTACGGAACGGTCCCCTGGCTTCCAGAGTCTCCCAGGTATACACGAAACTCACTAAGATTTAACAGTACATTCGAGCTAACAACTATCTAGATGGCTCATTGCCAAAGGCCGCATCGACGAGGCGGAGCTCATTCTCGCCGACCTTGAGCAAACCGAGGTCAGCGACCCATATATTATCACCCAGTCCAAAGACATCCAATGGGCCGTACAATACGAGCGCGAGCACAATGTCCGCTGGCGCGATCTCTTGCGCGGCCGCACCGGCGGTCAAGCCGGTACCTGCACCATCCGCCGCCTTATTCTGGGAATGGGTACGCAGGCGATGCAGCAGCTTGCTGGCATCAACGTGCTTTCATACTACTTCCCCTCTGTGCTTATCAACTCCGTCGGCCTGGAAGAGAAAATGGCTCGTTTGCTCGCTGCGATCAACTCCGTCAGCTACCTCCTCTTTTCAACCATCGGTATACCGAACGTCGAACGTTGGGGCCGTAGGAAGATGATGATGTACGCGGCGGTGGGCCAGTGTTTCTGTTGGCTTATCATCACGGTCCTGCTCAGGTATACGGAGATTCCGGATTATCCCAACAAGAAGAAAGTCGCTAGCGCCTCCATCGCATTCTTCTTCCTGTACTACGTGTTCTTCGGCATTGGTTGGCAGGGTGTCCCGTGGCTGTATCCGACCGAAATCAACTCTCTGAGTATGCGAGCCAAGGGTGCCGCGCTGGGCACAGCGACCAATTGGATCTTTAATTTCATGGGTACGTTTTTCCTCGCTCTACTCCCGTCACGTCCTATTCACAGGCCATCTCTCTTCTTACTTACGTTTGCTAGTCGTCGAGATCACCCTCCCCGGCATCGAAAGCCTAGGCTGGCAATTCTACATCATCTGGACCGTCTTCAACGGCGCATTCGTGCCCATCGTCTACTTCTTCTACCCCGAGACCGCGGGCCGCTCTCTCGAGGATCTCGATCGGTACTTCCATGACCAGCCCTCCCTGTTCGTCAATCGCGACAAAGACGCGATCTCCAGCAAGCGGCCGCAGAAATACATTGAGCACGAGGAGGGCGAGATTCGCCGGCACAGCAGTGTCAGTCCCGCGGCAATGAACGCGGCGGCCGCGAAGCATCGGCAGAGCGTCTTGAACAGGGAAAGTGGCAGTACGGCAATGGGGACGGAGTATAAGGAGGATAGATTTGCGGAGAGGGAGATGGTGGAGAAGGTATAAGGGGGCTAGTCAAGAGTGGAGGTGTACGATAACAGTCTGCAACTTCCAGCGAAGGGATTGGGGGTAATAGAGTTCATCGTGTATCACTTAAAATTGCGAACGCTTTCAGGCTGGATTTGGGCTTGGCTTAGATACCTGTAAAATGTGCTAGCTTCTGGAAATGTAGGGCAGTGGTATCGATATCCGATGTAGTGGCTTAAAGGAATATCCCTTCACAACATCGTGACAGTGTCCGACCGAGTCGTAGTGCTCATAGGTCAGGATGCCGCAAAAGTAGACCCGCGTGGCTTTAGCATTGCGCCTCGCACGTTCACAGCGTTGTCTTCGAAATTGGACGTAATGTAATGCCTGAGGCGCGCGGAAATGAGACGGTGGCAGTGTTCACCAGTAATCTAACGCGAAGGGGAAGGTCGCAGATGGGATCATGGCACTTCCGCCAGGGGAGCCTCAAGCCGCGCCACATAAATCCGCCTCGCCAGCCCACGGGGCGGCAGATCATGAGGCGGAGCGGCTCCTTTAAACGCCACGACTCGGGAATCTTTACAAGTCGTTACGGCGGTGTTGGCATCGCAGGATCAACTTCCATGCGTCAGTGGCCGAGTAGGATAGCAGGAGGCTGAGCAATGAGCGTTGCCTGGTGATAGACAATTTAACTGTCTCTTGCTCGCCTTTTAGGCTTTGACCGTTACGCATCTTCATACCGAATATCCACATCAGTTGTGCGAGTCAAGTCATGGCTTCTCAGCATACCAACGTGATTTCTGCTGCCTTTGTCGTCCTGGTAGCTCTTCTAAGCTCTCCAGTGTCCGCGTATCCCGTAAGTCAGACGCTCGACGTGTTCCATTATCATTAAAGTATCCCAGTTATGCTTTGGCTACTGGAATCCCAAACTCAGCGTTTCCTACACTTCTCTCCCTACATCTCAGCACCCTCAACACTGCTACCGCCGACACTGATACCCTCTCACCTACACCATCGCTAACCCACACTCTAGACCTCGTCCCTCACCCGCAGGTATACCAGCGCCCGCCTAAACAGCCGCACAGCCACCATTCTCGCCATCGTCCTCGGCGTCTGGGGCCTCATCTTCGTGCTCGGCGTCTGCTTCGGCGTCTGGCGGTACCAGCGACGCAAGAGCCAGCCTAATCCGAGCATCGTGAGCGCTCCCGAATTGAAAGACGCGCCGTCGTCTAGCGCGGGAGGGATGGGCTCCGGCAATACGAGTGGAGGGGGGACGTGGTTGGCGGAGATGGCGACGAGGTCGACCGCTGATGAGGGGGCTGCTTTTGAGAGAAGAGGTGGGTGCTAGTCGAGGAGGGGCGGGGATGAAAGAAGGATTGGGGACGGGAAGTTTGTAGTTTTCTGGTGTTGGGAGTTACTGTCTGCTGATGTGGGGAGTTTGCGGACGGGGATGGATCTTGGGAGGAATTTGTCGCAATTGCTCGTAACTTATGGACTCGTTGCGGAAACGAAGTTTGCTATCAAGTCCAGGTATTAGCTGAGGTTCCTTGAGATGCATCAAGTGCAGGTTGGATAAGGTTCGACATGTGTTATCCGCTCAGCTTGCACTGTAGGCGGTTGGTTTGACCCCACGGCACTGCTGTTCGAGTCGATAGCTTTCGAATATCACGAGTCCGGAGGGCGGGGCTGATGTAGCGTGTAGAGACCTCTGAAAATTGCGGTAGCGTTTCACGTGGTTGAAAATGAACATCGCTATGGTGTAAACTGCCTTGCAATGGCATCGGGCCGGAATGCGTGGTTGTGATTAACATTCTCAAGATGTGTACTACCAGATGCTATTGCAATGCTGCGGCCGGCGTGTGTGGATAGAACCTCGCCTTCGGGAAACCCGCATCTATTGCGTCGACGTCAATTTGTCTTTCTGCCCGACGTTCTATGCTCAGAGTGGATCTTGATCGTACCTGTACCCGTGATCTTAGAGCTTTTGTCTTGTTGCCAGCCTGTAACGCGCATAGAGCTTGGGATCCCCCTCTCGCGTCAGTTTCGCTAGGTACAACGTCCCATTTCCACCGCCGTCAGGCCCCTTACCTGCCCCTTCAGTGACCAGACTATGCATAGCAGCACAAGGGGAGCCGGCGATACTGAAGCCGAGCTACTAGCGGAGTAGCTGGCGAGTCGAACGGCGTCTATGTGTGGTGGGTGGGCAAACCTGTCACATTCGTCACCATCAGTAAACCCGATCAACGTCACTCGCTTCACCCCTCGATAACCGTACAACACCACCTCTCTCCACCCAGCATGCTGCGACCAGCGGTGATCTTCATATAGCGACACTCTTGTCCTTCTAATCCCCATGATCTTGGTACGCAGTTGTTGATCCACATTCCTCACTCCCCCTGCAAGGGATACGGTCAAACCACGTGCGAGAGCGATCCGAACTGCACCACCACTAAACCGACGACCACATCACCATGCTGTAGAAGTCCGGTCTGCATCAGCGAAGCAGCTCAGCATCGATCTCGACTTCCTCCCTGATGGCCGTCTGCGGCCGGCGTCGTGAGCGCGAAGAACCATCTACCTCTTCACACTTTGCCGCAGCCTTGAACGCCCCATGCTCCACCGCGCCGCAGGATGATGATACCGCGATACCGCGATACCGCCAACGATTGAGCAAACCTCCCTTGACTTCCTCGAACACTTACCTCTTTACGAATCGAAATGCCTACGCGGCAGAGAGACCCTTCAGCTATCGACATGAACCTCATACCTACCACTCGGCTTGCGAAGCTCCTTGGCGAATGAAAGCCACTCGCGGCATGAGCGCAGAGGTCACCCTCGACGCCGCGTCCGACTATCACAAAGCGGAATCGACAAGGACTAAACGACCTCACCGATCTGTGAAGAGATTTCCATAAGATGAAGCTCGAGACATCCAAGACGGCGGCACCATCACAGCTGCCATCAGCTGCGGCTTTCCAAGGTCCGTAGACTGAGGAGACAGCTTTTGGAAATATCGAAGCGGGCCTTGCGCCGCCGCGTCCACGAAACCGTTGCCGCTGTGGAACGGAGCCGTGCGACGCGCCATCGTCAAGGACTGGAACAATTCAAAGAGCTTCTGGGCGTCACGCAGGATGATCTCCGGCCGGCCGTTTGCAACGGAATCATAAGCGATGGACTGGAGCCGAAAGGACGGTCAGTGGCATAATCGCGTTGGTGGGACTTGGAATCTCGAAGGAGAATTTGGCCCTGGAAGGAAATCGACTCGCCAAGTTCCCCAGCAGAGGTCGCCCACACTGGTCCCGGGGTCTCTGTTACTGGTCAAGGTGCATACCGCCAATGATACGAGTCAATGGCGCGCTGCTAGAATGGAAAGAGGTGGCATCGATTGGCAGAAAGCCACACACCGCATTGCGTTTGGCTGCCACGGATCGGATTGTTCTTGCAGTAAGAAAACTAAAAGCACCAAAAGACATGACGTGGAGAGACTCTGATACGGTACGACTCAAGAAGAAGTAAGAGAAGTAAGACTGAGCGGAAACTCCTGCATGCGAGGGTCCACAGAAAGAAGAGGCGAGGGCATGAAAATAAGACAACAACCAAAGAAGTATTGTGTACTGTATAGAGTGATACAGTCAAGATCTTCCGCGCAGGACCGGTGCGGATCGTCGTTGCCATTTTTACCGCATATCGAGTATTCTATATTGGGTGTATATACAGTGCAGTTGAGCGCCGTGCGTGCTTATGACAATCCTACCTCGCGCCTTCCCTAGAATCGTCTTCCTACATCGTACTTCAGCCAGTGGGGACGGCGCTAGCAGCATGGATCTCAACACTTACCTCGTGGACTGCCGCGATCGATTGTGCTTGCTGCTGACAGCTTGTCGAATGCGCCGCTCAAGCCTCATCGGAATCCAAGATGGCCGCAACGCTGCTACCGCGTCGTGGATGTCTCCGCCGTGTCGTTGGGCCGGGTTACGCCTCCTTTCCAGAAGCCGCCCTCTTTGGTCCATTCGACGGTCCCCATGGATGTTGTCCGCAACACGTTCGCTTTGAAGCTGATCAGCTTCGGGCACTTTGCTGAGAGCTGCTGCAGGTCTTCGGCAGATGGGAAAGCCTTCTCAAGCGCTTGTTGTCGTGGATTTGAGATCTGAGAGAAAAGGTGTCAGCAAAGAGGCTCCCAGGGACGCCGAAAGTTTCAAAGCCCAGCCTAGTACAGGCCAGCTGCTACGTCCGGACAAATACGAGACGGCTCCCACATACCGCCATGTAAAATTGCAAGCTTGGGTTCCCCACAATCTCCACCTGTTCCAAGTCCGGACACGCCTGCAACACCTCCAGCAGCTCTTTCTTGCACTCCTCTGTCGGCTCCACCTCCACGGTCGCACTCAGCACCAGAAGCCCCTTATGCGCGGCCAATATCTTCCCCAGACTGTGGAGCGACAGCGTGTAGAGCGTCGTGTTGAGGACCTTCAGGCCCCTCGGCCTTGTATCCTCCTCGGTCAACTTCTCGACTAGCACGGGGCTCTGCGTCTTGTTGAACGCCATCACGCCCTCCTTTTTGCCCTGTCGCTCCTTGCCCTCTTCGTCGATATTCGTAGGGTCTTCCGGGTCATCGGTAACGTCCGGCGTCGAGACATTGAAGGCGCAAGTGATCAAGCCCGGCCCGATCAGCGACGGCAGTTCCGGCGCCGGCACACGAGTCAAAAAGTCCTCGTCCTCATGGCGGAAGCTGTAGTTGACCTCGAGGAACATGAGGCCCTTCTGTCGTTTCGCAAGCTTCGGTCCCACGGCACCGAAGAAGTGCGGCCGCGCGAAGACATCGAGGAGGTGCAGCGCGCGCAGGTTCTGTGCCTTCTCGAAGAACGCCTCCGCGTCCTTCTGTGATTCCTCCGTGATGCCGCTGAACAGCTGGCTGTAGATGACCAGGCTCTTAATGTTGGGCAGGCGCTCGCTCAGCGCACTGAGGAAGCCGGGCGGATAGCCCAGCGAGAAGAGCTCGAGTGTTAGGGACTCGATACCGCGCGGCAGTTGTGGTAGTGTCGCGACGTCGTTTTTGAGGAGGTTCGTGTACTCGTCGAGCTTAATGTCTGAGGTCAGGGTGAGAGCCTTCAGACCGCCAGCTTGAGGGGGGAATTGTGGAAGAGAGAAATCCTGGAGCGGTATTTGCGCGCCTTGGGCCTGGGCTGGGTCAACGGGCTGGGAAGGCGCAGTCGCTGGTAGGGTTGCCATTGTCGAGGTGCTCAAGAGGAAGGCGCTACCTATGAGAAGAGAATGTGCGAAAGATGAGGCTGTCCGAAGCTACAAGGAATTGCTGAAGGAGGCTCTTTTGTGCCTCGTCCGTGGCGTCGGATCTGCAAACCCCTCATCCGGATGCAGGCATCCTGGCATTGCGGGGAAGCGTGCAGTGAGCGCGGTACAAATACCGAAGTTGTCCATTGTGGGGCCTGGAAAGTGGTGGGTGGAAGGCTTTCGATCTCGAGGAAGTTGTTGGGTTGATGGTTGCTGATCAAAGGATGTGATGGTGGTGGAATCGCCCAATCTCCGGAGCGGAAGCGCTCCATGGTTCAGAGGCCGGCTGAATTGGCATCATGAAATTGCCTCCGCAAGTCGAATCCATAAACATCACTCGATACGCCAAAGGCAGCAAAGGCATCTCACGAGGAGTGCTCTCCGAGGACATTGGCACTATGCAGTATCAGGCAGGTCACGGTTCCGGGAGGGTTCACCCCCTATACCAAGGCCCCCAGCAAGAGTCACTGTCACATCTCGTAAGAGGGACACATCAAGGACGAACTTCTGTTTATTTGCAGATTGAAAGAATAGAGAAACGACGCCCTGACAATGAAAAAAGCACCATTTTGTTGTCACAAATCTATCTACCGACCGCCAGCCGACAGCCATGGTCTTTCACCCCCTTCTGCAAATCATCCCTTGAGCCTTCTGAGTCCGGATGCCTCTTTCCTCAACCAAGTCTGCGTGCTTCCACGTGCACCCAACCTCCGTCTTCTTCATTGTCAATCTCTGCTCAACTATTCCTCCAGGTCTACATTTCCAAGTTCCTTGCCAATGAAGGAAGGATTCCCAACTCCTGACCCTGGTAGACGAATACGGTCCCGCACTGGAAGTTGAGGAAGGTTGCGAACATCTTCGCCCAAGCGACTCTAAAGTGCGGCAGTTCGGATCCCTATCGAGAGACTGACCGGCTTTAGTCGTGGTTTCAAGATACAAAGCGTTCCATCCGTCGTCGGGCGCTTGAGCAGGCCGGTTGGTATCAAAGGATACTTCATCGGCCTCTGCGTAGGCTTGACTAGGAGGGAGTCAAGATCCCACGTTGTAGTGAGATCATTTGCACAGGCGCGGCACTCCCCCAGCCCAATCCTTGGACAGGGTTCTCCTTTGTCAGACCCACGGCATCGCCGCCTTGGGCATCGATCTCTGCCCGTCTACCAGCACGATGCACGTAATCTTCCAAATGGTTCGGCGCGTCGTGGTTGACAACCAGCTTAAGCTGCTTCACATCCAGGCCGCGAGCAGCGACTGATGTTGCAATCATGGTCGGGAACTCTCCCTTCTTGAAGTCGTCAATAGCGGAGTTACGGTCGATCTGATCGATGCCACCATGGATAGACCTGCACTGGTAACTCTTCCGCATCAGTTCTCCAAGCAGTTGGTCTGCTGCCTTCTGGCGATCGACAAAGATAAGGGTACGAGCATCGTCGTCCTTGTCGTACAGCTCACCAAGCGATTCCAGCAATCGGTGGAACTTCTTGTCCTCGGGCCGAACCTCCTCGGTAAGCTCTCTCAGCCATTTAATGTTGCCATTCTTCCGGACCTTGGGCCTGCAGCAAGCCCTGCTCGTCTATGCGCCCAAGAACAGCACATAGACCGAGCAGGTCTTAGCATATGTCATTCCCAAGAGAGCGGTAACATGCTTGCGGAATGGTTGAGCACCAGTAAGCGGTTTCTTGGAAGAGAGGCATAAGAAGCCTTCGATAGCTTATCCGGAAACTCGATCTCTCCGTCTTGTTGTGATTCTCGATATATTGAATATCACCGGAACGCATCCATTAGCTCCACCTTGGATCCTGTTAACGCGAGCCTGGGCCGCCTGGCCATGCCTGAACTACGGCAGATCGGAGTCTCTATCTCCTCGGTATGATCCGCGTCAATTGCTGCCGCGGCCGCGGCCCCGGTCTGCTCTCTCTCTCTTTCGTTGGCAGCCTTGTCTGCTGCAATCTTCTCCTGTATCAACTCAAGCTTCTTCGCTTCGAGCAGCTCCTTGGGAACATCCTGGGGGTTCGATTGTGCGCTCAGATACAGGTTCCACAGCTCCTTGCAAAACGCCGCCGTATCTTTTTCCAACAACCCTAGGAGTTGAATCTGGATCCCCTCAGAAATCTTGCCCGCGATCCATTTCTTCGTAACCTCCATCTTGATCTTTCGGATGTCGACCTACTGATTGAACTCCGGTGGGAACTTGGTTGAGCGGAGTTCTTCTGGTCCTTGGAGGAAGCCATGGTGAGCTCTGCAACGGGGTTGCGTTGTATTGTGCTTGTCTGTGCGCCCGAAAACAGCACACAGACCGAGCAGATCTGCTTTGGTCGTGGTCCACCAGGTAGAGAGCATTCCAGCAATTGTTATCGACCATGAAGTATTGTCACTTGCTCACAATCTCCTTCAGCTTCTACATCTCCCATTGCTGGGGAGTGAACTCTCCGCCTGGCCCGTGATCCATGTCGACGCTGACATCAAAAGTTAGCGGACGAAGATGGAAGCGATAGGCAGTGGAACACTTACAGCTAGAAGTGGAAGATCATGTTCAGTTCCTGGCGGTCGAACGCAACAGCCTTGATGATCTGTTTCGGATCGTGCACGGCCGGCATCTCTCCGACTGAGAAAGCATTGTATCCCTTGAGAATCTTGCCGATCGCTTGCAGATACTCGAGGCCGGTGGCTATTTCCGTCGGCCGCGCAACAACATGAAACTATCTCTTATGTTGTGACGGCAATATCGTAAGGTATTGATCAAAGTCACCGTCGTCGACACTTCTTGGATTGTGATCTTCAAGGCTTCCGTATCAGGTTCCGGGCGACGACAGGCGAGGAGTAGATTCTGCTTTGAATGAATGGACGGTCACAGACCAGGTTGTGGAAGGTGGATCTCCCATCCTGCCGTACGCGTATGAGTTCGGGTGCTGCTCGTCGACACTCATTTCATATTTCCCGATGGACGTATTGCGCTGGTAAAGCCCTACATACGGCTGAAAGGTCTCCTCTTCCGATATGTGCACACGACAAGTAAGTCTGCTCTCGGCACAGCCGGCACGACAGAGACAGCAAGAAGAGAAGTTCTCGGAGTAGTTACGGGATGGAGACAGGGTTTTGCTTGATCGTATGACCGGATCCACCGCAAGAATAGTATGTGCTGCCACGAGGCGCGGAGTTGTAGCCGCCGTACCCTCAAGTCCACGTCCGCCGCCATAGCCGCCGCCACTCTGAGAGCAGCTCCTGGCGATGTGGGCGACCTTGCCGCACTCGTAGCACTCTTGGCCGGAACCGCCTGGGGCCTCATTCGGGCAGTCGTGGGAGATGTGGCCAGGTTGGCCGCAACGGTAGCAAGGCTTCTTTTGCTGTGGTGATCAATGCTCTCCCACGAGATTCAGCGTGCATGGAAAGACACAGAGCTGGCAGACTTCGCCGCGATTCGAGTAAGCATTGTCACCAAAGCTCGAAGCATGCTGAGTCGACGTATGATGAGAAGAAGGTTGAAACAGGCCAAGGGCCTTCTGGTAAAGGGCGAACTGAGTGGATGCCCGGAGGCTCCACTCGCTATGGTTTGTGCCGTGGTTGCAAGTGACACGATAGATCGAAGGCTTTTTCTTGTGACCATTCCTTCTCTACACCTTCGCGCCACAAGATATTTTCTGCTGGTTCCGGTCGCCGCATCCGCCCTGTTGCTGGCTGCCGTAGCCGCCACCACCGTAGCCACCGCCTTGCTGGTTGTCGTTGCGCTAATAGCCAGGAGAAGTTGCGCACCCTGCCGTCACCAGCAAGCATACGGAAGCCCGCGGGAAATGCTTGAACGTTCTCGCCGTACAAGAGGTAGTATGACAGCATACCGCCCACTTTTGGAACGACCACTATGGTGCCATTCGCGTACATGACATGGAGGGACGGTCCTGTCAGTTCAGTCAATGTGTTCCGCGGCCACAGACATGCTTCCACTTACCAGTACGTGGACTCCACTCCGGACGACTAGACCTGCCACAGATAGGACCTTGCTGGTGGGATTGAGCTGGAGCTGAAGGCAAGCCTGACATGAACGAGTCTGGGTAACCTTGATTGCTGTCATTCCCGAAAGTATGCCCGAACTGACCTTGGAGACCTCCTGGGCCATGAAGAAGACCAAACGAAGGCTGCATTGGGGCGTTGATAGCACCTTGCAGCAGTCTAGAGCTCTGAATGACCGGCGGCGCAGAGTGCGAAAGTTCATTACGAGCAACAGAAACACTGCACCACAGCCGCACGACCGGCTGGGACGGAAGAGTAGGAAGGGCTAGGCGTAACGCTACGCTCGCCGTCACCGGCCATCACCACGTTGACGGAGGGACGTCTGAAGAACTGAGGTGGCGTTCTTGGCTCAGTCGATTCGGACTCTGAGTAGGATGAATCTGAGTTCTCGGCAGATCGCTGTCTTACTCGGCGAATGCTCTTCTTCCTTGAGCGACGCGACGGCGATTCTATCTTAGATCTACCGCCGCTGCGTCATCGCAATCGTTAGCATTGCAATTGTTTCTTGGACGTTCAAAGTCGACTTACAACTTGCTATCCTTGCCCATGACAGCGAGCGGGACCTTTTCATGTTCTTGTCTCCAGCAACAAGGACTGTTCCGTCTGGAACAGCGCGTGGGACGAGAGTTGTCAGAATCAACACCAGGATTCTTGAGCAACGGTCGGCGCCAGGACTCGCATTTATCATATCCCCATCTCAGGCCCGGCGACATTGGACGAGAAAGGCACATTAACCGAGAGGTTGACTGGCGTCCCGGGTGGAGGCGCGGTGAAGAAGCGTTCGCGCCCACTGGGCGTTTGACGGGCGTCTGCGCCGGCATCTCGTTGTGGGATCTCGACATGCCGAAGCTCATTGAGGGCGTCATTTTCTCCATGCCATGCCCCATGAGACTCTACTGATTACACCTGCCAAGAGCGTGGATGCCACGATTCGGCGGCTCCGGATGTCCTCCGGACGGTTAGCCCAGTACCGCCGCTATTGAAGGTCCAGTATCGGTCCAATCCAGTATAAATAATTAACGACTCACGAGCTACCAGTTGACAACACTGAGTACTTCTCGCAATGGTAGATTGTGAGATTGCCGCTGGTCGGCCAGACGTGGTTGTGGGTAGGATCGTCGCACGGTCAGTTCCAGAGAGCCGCCACCGCTCCCGAGCCGATCTGATGTCTCATGTAAACCCATATGCCATATGCCCGAATGCCAGTGAAGGACCAAAGAAGGAATCACAACATGACTGCTACAGTCACACTCCGTCAGGCCACTCTATGGTTCCTTGCTTTTTCTCATCTTACGAAGTCCGCCGGGTTTAGAAGGGTCTACCATCGGCGCGGCGCGGAGAGATAACGCGAGGAAAGCAACCGCAAAGCGGCGCACGGAAATGGACACCGACGACTTTGGACCTTGGCCATTCGGACTTGGTCCGGAGCGAGCGTTGAATGACACAGGGAGGGGGATCGGACTCATAAGCGAATCGATTGATGGAGCAGGGCCCGTGGCGGACGGTGACGGTGAGCCCGGAATATCACTGTTGTATCTTCGGTGGCCGGTGGCTGAAGAGGTTCAGTCGGGAGGTGAGCATCACTGCCGCTAAGAAGCACAGCAACGCGCCTTGACCAACGCTTAACGGTACCGGCCTTAGTCTCTTGTCCGCAATGTCGCCCTCCTCTGGTGCGGCCGGTGGTAACCTAAGTTGCCCCGTCGTACCCTTGGGAGGTGGCTACTGCTCGAGGAACCTGCCTCTACCCCTAACGCTGGGGCATGCTGTTCCAAAGACATCTGAAGACCGGTTGGGCTCTCGCTCCGGCCGACTCTGATCGAGTCTGTGGGTTGCTGGCCGCTGGCCATCACTTTCGCAAGATAATCGAGGGTAAGCCCATGCCGATAGCCGCTCTCGGGCGTGATCGGCGAAAGGTATCACCGTATCCTCCTCCTGAGAGGCGTATATCTAAGCCTGTGGCTGTTCCTTTCGGGGGGTGCGATCGGGTCTCAGGTGGACCGTCTTTTAGGGAACTCAGTGAGGGCAATTGGATGGTCCGTTGGGCGGCTGCCGTCCGAGCCTTCGGGCTCGTGTGTCGGTGTATCGCCCTTCTTGGAGTCGCCTGAAGGTCGTCGATGTTATGGTTTTGACCGTGCCCGAACGATGAGAGCGCAGCAACCGCAATGCGGCGTGTGAAGACGGAATCTGGACCGGTAATAGAGGCGAGAGAAAACACCCAATTGCTCCCCCAAGAGCTCTTAAGAAAACAGGATAGATCTGGTAGATCGGCGCCTCTTTCCACCTGGCACAGTTGCTGCCATGCTTCTTGAAGTTTCGGTCGGCGGGGGTGGCAACACGGAAGCAAGGGCTGCCAACTCCAGCTTGACATCCGCCGTGGCTCACCGGGCAAGATAGCGGGCAAGCAAAAGCCTCGAGAGGCCGCAACGACACCGCGCCATTCTTCACGACCACGTCCCCATAACTCGAGATCAACACGCCCTCCTGCTGCAGGCTGTTGTTGTGTCCGAGGCAGACCTCCAGAGCATGTGAGTAGTACGATATGAGCGCACCGCAACGTATTCCGCAAGCCATCGTGGACCGCTGGCTGTTTGCGTTGTGATCCTTGAATACGTATATCTACTGGACGAGTTTCTGCTCAAGAGGGTACGGCCGGCCAATCGCCTGGAACTGGATGTGGTATCCGGGAGCGACTACTTGACTTCAGCTGCTCTGAAGTTTGCGGCTACGACGACAGTCTGGTCTCGGGAAATTTGGTTGTAGGCAGAGACCTCGTTGTTCTCGGGATCGACAAGCTGGTAGTCGCCGCAGATGAAGCTGTCTTTATGCGTCTTGCGGAGCCGCAGAACGGAGTTCCAATCAGGAGTCTGAGTCTTCTTTTGCAATACCTGTTTTGGATTCCAGCGGACAGCTTCAGAAAGGGAATATCTTCAAACTGGAGTAGTTGAGTCTCAGCTCCGGAACACGCATCGTCGCTCCTGCTTGGTCGACACGTGGCCTTTTGCAAGCTACGCTGGAGGCTTCCGCCGGTCTTGCCGAGAACTTCCATGGTGATCCACTGCTCGAGCATGTCAGTACGCGGATCGTTTTCGTGGTTTGGTGCCTTGCTTACCGACGCACCGGCTATAAGTAGGAGAGCCAGCCATTGGCATCGCCGAGGAGAACTCCGAGGATTTTCGGTTGTACCCGCTCTGCGTGCTTGACAATTGAGTTGCGTTGGAAGCCAGGCCGCCGCTTGTCCTTCCCGAAGCCCTCCTCAATCAGCTTCTTGGCTTCGAACGGCTTGGGCTTATCGTCCTGCCGAGCCGAGAGCGCCTTGCGCTGGTGAGGGGAAGGCCAGTAGGTAGTTTTCCATTTCTTCCTCCATCTTCGTCAATGTCGCTCCGTCGCTGGCCGCGCCGATTGTTGAGGGGTCCTCCAAACCCGGAAACATTTCGCTTTCTGACCCGTGATTCGGCAGTGGGAAACCATCCGTCGTGAGAGATATCCGGCTCTTCCAGAGACATCCGAAGCTGACAAACCTGCCCGGGATTGAGAGACTGCTGTGAGAAGGTCAGCTCAGCGACTTGCCAATTCCTCATTCCGCGTGCTGTGGTTAGCCGAGATGATCTGCCAAACGACAGACCGAACAGTATCGTCTTTGAGAAACCTTACCCAGTTTGTCCGCTTGAACCATTCATGCATGTATCACACTTGCATGGGCCCGGGGGCCTAGCGGGGCACATCTGTCATTGTCATCTACAAATACAGGCTATGGAAAGGACATCCGCTGCGCTACTTCTCGCCCCCGCCCAGAAATGGAAGAAAGGAACAGTGTCTCATTTTCCACAGGACCGCCAACGCAGAATTGGTGTTTGTGTCATGGGTGACACCCACCATCGAATATTTCAACGGAGCAGACAAGCACGGCCGGTTCGTCCACTATCGTTCATAGTCGTTGCTCTTCTTGAACTGGTGCTGGCGTGGTCATTGTGGGCCATTGTTTGCTCGAGGATGAGCGGCCAAGTCGAGGCGGACAGAAACGACAAGCGCTGCTGGCGTGACGTTGAGTGTCGGTGCCTCTTCAACCGTAGTCGATTGCACTGGCCAATGCCTCAGGTGATGTTCCCGGCAGTTGCGACTTTCCTCCGCCGGGGTGGGTATGCCGACCATCCCCTGGTTGGAGTCGAGGGCGTCGAAGGTCAGGAAGGCATCGTGGGAGAAGTCGAGGTTGTCCATTATGTTCTTAGGTAAAGCTCAGTTGTTGACGAAGAATAGACTCAGCTCGGGGGCAGTGCGCAACTGCGTCGAAAACTCACGAGGCGGACTAGACATCACACACCGCCAGCGGCCGGTTCTCCCCAGGAATACCTGGTTATCTCTCGGCGTTGCTCTCCTGCGGTTGACTTCGCAAGCGCGCGCAGTCAGGATTCTCCAGTCCCGTTGCTTGGCATAGGCAGACGGCTTTGAATGATTTCTCCCAAAGACCGACGGTGTTGCCAAGACCTTCGGTGACTTTGCACAGCTTCTTTTGCCTTTCGATTGAGATCCGGTGATGCTGGACAGCAACCTTCTCCCTCTGTTCGGCTTGGACCTTGCCGACAGATAGTGTCCTCATATGCTCGCAGAGATGCTTGAGGTCGCTCTCCTCTCAAAGAGCTCGTCGGACACGTCGGAATCATCGGCATCGTTGGCACCATTATCTTCTGAGCCGCCGGTGATGGCCTTCATAGTTGCAGGCACCCTGTCGGCCATTCCGACGGTGAACTCTTCCGGAAAACCCATGTCAAGTGACCTGGCGAGACGTCTCAGGGTGGAGGCGGTATGTGTTCAGCGTGAACGACCGGCTGGCTCGCGAACTCGATGCCATACTCTTGCCTGAAAGATCTTTGGCAACGCCGACGCGTCTAGATCCACGGTAGATTGAACGCGACAACGGCTAGGCAACCTCTCAAATCCCGCTTTTCCATGTCAGCTTCTGCACATATCAGCGGATGCGTTTCGGGTACCTTTTTCCTCCGGAAAGCTCGACATAGACGCCTGCATCATCGTCGTCCGGGAGCTCAGCCCGGCCGTTGACCGGAGATGTCCGACCACACGTCCTGTTGTCTGATGGTGCAGGTAGCGTACAGCGTTGTGGCTCTCCAGGACCCGGGTGCTGTCATCGGTTTGCATGGGACAGGCGACGCCGTGGCTTCAATAAGCCTGCATGGAGGATGCGTAACCGCGGAACAGATCTTTCCATGCGAGCGGCTGCGGTCAAGGACAAGCACGCTTTCCTAGTCATGTCAACGACCGCGGTACTCAGCCGCACAGACGAATGAGCTTACCTCTCGATACTGCAGGAGGCATCTAAGGCGTCAGTCGAAGTCCTTGACCGGCTTGTTGAGCATGATGTTACTCGTATCGTCGGCCACCAAGATCTGCGAAGGGACAGCGACGATAAAGCCTGTGCTGGTACAATGGGTGACCACACACTGACCGCGGCGTTGAACCAGCCACGCCGCTGTGCGTGGAGGTAATCTTCTACTGAGCTGAACTCAGCTTCCAGTCGAGGGAGAAGCGTTGCAATCTCAGTCATCCCATTGATCTGGTCGACGAGTTCCTCTGTGCTGACGAGAAGACTGTAGCCGAGTTCACCCTTGCTACTCAGATAGGGTGGCTTGTAGTTGAGAGCTCTGCGTTGGATAATAGATAGTGCAGTAGTGGAGGTAAGATCTTTGATGAGTGTGGATGCTGATGTTGTAGTGCAGGTTTGTGTGAAGAAAGAGTTTGATGCGAAGGTGGCGAAGCGAAAGCCCCATATGCAGGTCACGCACGAAAACACGCTTGGCACTACAATAGACTCTCCACTGCTTCTCTCCAATTCGGAGAGCTGGCTGCAGGTCACACACCATGCCGCTCAATCACCGTACCTCCTGTGCTCGGGAACTGCCTCCCTTTCCCACGGAGATCATGAGTCTTGGGCAGCTATGTCTACTAGGAAACGGAGATGATACCGTACAATGCAATGCAAGGGGAGCTCTTTGTGCTGGCAATCCTCTTGCTGGAGTTTATCCCCATATGACTGTCTGGTTACGGGGAACTTTACACCGAGTCATTCACTAGTTGCTCTCAGTGTAGCTCCGAGTCTTGATGCAGGCTGTTCCTTACGATCATCGAGGGCATGGAAACATCTTGATATCACGGTGATCACGCCGCATTGTGAGACGCTGAGCGGAAGGGGACCATCTCACTTCCACACCATGTCAAAGGTAGGCCACTGGATGAGTATCAGAAGAGCTGTGACCATCTCCATGGTTTGTGAGAGCCCCATCGCCCATATTGGATCGTCGTATCACATGCCGGCGTCCCAAAGGCTCTTCACTTATCAGGTAGGGACATTTAGAGTTGATGATCGATCCTCTATAGGTAGGCGGCAATGATTTGATCATGCGGGTGCAAACGCTGTCAACTCCCTTCACCAAGCCCCTCTCCTGACCCGGCCCAAGCAACATAAAAATTTCTCTTCCGCCTCAACTTCTCTCTCCCACCACCATCCTCTCAGCATCAAACCACCGCTTGAGCGTCATCCGCTCACGACCTCTCTCTTCTCACTCCGCTACCAAGTGAGAACACTCGCCACAACTGGTAAGCGTCTCTATCTTCGAATCCGTATCCAGCGCCTTCAGCGCGTTCACTACTTCGCAAACTGCCCACAACAACACCAGTTTCGTCACTCTATCTCAAACTCTCACCCCCTTCTCTGTACCACCTGCTTCAGCCCACCGCTCCCTTATCCTCGAATCACAGCCCCTTTCCCTTAGCCTCGCCGTCAGCTCAAAGTCCTCACCATTGCCAGCAGATTCGACAACATCCAGCTCCTCCTTCAAGCCGCTATCTTCACGGCACCCAGCAAGCTCCCCCACCTCGAGGAGCACAAGCCCAGCATCCCCACCGTCAAGGTAAGCATACCCACCATCCTCCACGTTCCCTCCCTCCTATGGCCCGTCCGCTAATGACACGACACGCTATCCAGCCGCCAACCATACGCGCGCCAGTTCCAGCCATGTGGAAGCTCGCTACCTATCGGCTCTATCTGAAGGCCGCACAGCTTGTGCCCAATGCCTTGAAGCTCCACAAGGAGCAAACCAAGATCGAGATGAAAGAGCGCGAGAAGCAGGAGGTGAGTTCAGTCTTCCCAACTGGCTTGGATAGGAGCTTACGTGGATATAGCAGAAGCGGCGCGAGCAGGGAAGCGAGGCCGGAAAGAAGGATGCTTAGGAGGGACGGCGTAGAGGGCGGGATGGAATCTCTCTAGAGGGATTCGTTTGTAGAGTCTAGATCTCCTATTTCATGGCATGGCAGGACTCAGGCGGACTTGATGGAAGACTTCATGTATTTTTGATACCCCCACCCAAGCTCTCTTCTCTGCTACGGCGGCCAATCTGGCGTTTCACTATCATGATCCCTGAACGCGGCATCCCCACGCCCCGTTCATTCCACTCATCCCTCATAACTCATCCCTCATCAATCCTCATAACACATCCGACGTGTCCCTCACGTGACCGACAGCACACTTCCGCAAGCCAAGACCCTCCCACCTCACTCCGCCTTCCTAGCCTGCTCCCTAAGCCCCGGCGCGGTACTCCCATGCTGTTCCAAGTCCGCCGCCCACAGCGCGGCGCCGACGGCATTCGTAAACGCAAAGAAGATGCCCGCGATGGGCACGAGCTCCAGCAGCACAGCGGGGACGCCGAAGCTGGTGTAAGCCGCCTGGCGCTCCTCGACGAACTTCTCGCGCTGCGGGCCGGACATGCCCTTCAGCTGGAAGTAGCGGGCGTGCGCGCTGGGGCCGTGCTTGCGGCCCTGCAGCAGCACGAAGAGGACGGTGCCGATTACGGGGATGAAGTTTAGGGGCAGGTACATTAGGTAGCGGACCAGTGCTTGCGGGGTGAAGCGGGCGAAGGGCTGGGACGGGTTAGCTGGGCGAAGATAGCGTAGATTGTTTGTCTGTCTGCGAGGGAATGGGCTGAGGAGGAGGGCCGTGGCGCAGAGACGGGGCGTTCTGGAGCTTACCTTCTTCATCAGCTTCCCCAGCTTCGCCATCGGGTCGCTTCCCGGCTTGATGTGGCGGCCCTCCGACACCATCTCCGTCATTCCCCTCGACACGAGCGTGCCGTCGAACGTGTCGATCAGCGCATCCTCCAGGAAGAAGCCGCGCGAGAGCAGATTCGCAATCGTGCTGCTCTCGCTCAGGACGAGCAACACCGTGCTGATGACCGCGATGGGCCCGTTGAAGATGGCGAGGACGGCCAGCTGGGGAATGTACGTGAAGAGGAACATGAAGGTCGTGACGCCGATGCCGGTCGTGATGGTCGGGGCGAGCTTGTTGAAGAGCGGCTTCTGGATCGAGCGGTGGGAGAGGAAGTAGGCTATGCCCTGCAGAAGAGTCAGTATCATGGTTGTTGGGAGAAACATAGTGAGCACACACCTTGAAGGGGTAGATGTAGGCGCCGGAGCGGACTGCATCTTTCGTCAGGGCTTTGACGCGCTCCACTTCCTCTTTGGCGGTTTCTTTGATCTGTTCGGACATGTTGATGTACGGTATGCTGGTGATCTGCTTGGTTTGAAGATGATGGGCGGATTGAGTGGGAAAGGAGTTTGTCGAGGCCAAGAATGCAATTATTTGATGTCGATCCCGAAATTCCATAGCGGGAGGAAAACCTGCCACTTTACCCCGCGACGTCATCCCCGCATCACGGCGGGGCGCGTCCACCCTAGACGCGTTGCGGCACGGCCTTGATTCCGTCGAATTCCTTCAGTTCATTTGGCTCGCACCAATGGTCGAATGGGAGGGCATCACTGAAAAGAACCGAGCGAACCACGCATATTTGCAGCTGCGTTTCGCGAAGCAATAGCACTCGTCATAATATGGGTAGTCTTTGCAAGGCATACATGGGAGATGATTAGAACCTGCTGAGATTTTTCATTCGTTTTGAGGAGCTATGCTGCAATGCCCCAGGTATCATACTATCATAATCCATCATCCATCGCCAGTGCCCATCTGCATGCAAGAAAATAGAATGCACAAGGAAGTAGAATGTCCAAGTCGCCCACTACTGCACACCACTACCCGAGTCCCTCAGCATGTTGATCAAAGACTTTGCCTTGCCCTCACCGTGACGGTCTGAGCTTTCCACGTTGTCTGCCATGGACATTCTCCTGAAAGCGCCTGGTGTGTGTTTGCTAGCATCGGCCACTGAGTCGTTGGTATGAGAAGTCCCATGGTGCTGGCTGTTAGCACCGCGAGTGTTGGCGTCAATACCGGAAGAGTGAGCAGGCCTGGGAAACAATGAGACCAAGGGGGTGTAGTGATATATATAGTGGGGATTGGACAACGCCTACAAGCCTCGGCGACCATCACGGTCGGAGTCGACGCGCGGGTCCATCTTGTTCACTGCAACCGATTAGTTACGACCTGCTAATGACTGAGGAAGGCAACATACTCATTGAGCTGTTGTGTGGTCCTGAGGTAGTGCCGGAACCCATTCCAGATGTCATACCAGAACCCATTCCAGATGTCGTACCGGAACCCATTCCAGATGTCGTACCGGAACCCATTCCAGATGTCGTACCGGAACCCATTCCAGATGTCGTACCAGAACCCAAGCCAGATGTCGCGCCAGTCAACTCAGAAGTGTTGGTGTGAGGATCGAGGACGGCGCCGGTCAAGGTGGTGTGGCCACCTGGAAACTCGCCGTGACCCGGCGTGCCGTGGAAGTGCTCGTGTCCATGTTCTTGTGTATGACCAATGCCGCCCGTTGAGCTGCCGAGGCCGGTACCGGTGGTAGAGCTGCCAAGACCAGAGCCGGTGGTGGAGCTGCCATAACCGCTACCCATGCCAGTGCCAGTGGCTCCCATGTTGCGAGAGCCATCACGGTCAGAATCGACGCGAGGGTCCATCCTGTTCACTGCAAAAGGTCAGTAAGTCACGTTGAAGCTGCAGAGCAAAACGACTTACTCATATCAGAGCCGTGAGGTCCGGAGGTAGTTGAGCTGCCATAGCCAGTGCCACCCGTTGAGCTGCCGAGGCCGCTGCCGGTGGTGGAGCTGCCGTAGCCGCCGCTTCCCATGCCACTTCCCATACCACGGGAGCCATCACGGTCAGAGTCGACACGGGGATCCATCTTGTTCACTGAATGGTAATGTCAGTATGAGAGCTACATAATTTTGAGCGGACTGTGCTTACTCATGCTGGAGTCATGCGGGCCACTGGCAGTTGAAGAACCGTAGCCAGTGCCGGTATTGGAGCTACCATAGCCAGTGCCGGTGTTGGAGCTACCATAGCCAGTGCCGGTGTTGGAGCTACCATAGCCCGAGCTTTCCACGCCTCGACGTCCATCGCGATCAGAGTCGACACGGGGGTCAGCCCTGTTCGCCATGTCCGAGCCGTGTGGTCCAGAAGTGTTGTGGCCGGTGGTGTTACGGCTGGTAGAGTCATAGCTAGAAGAAGTGTTGTCGTCGTGAGACTTGTCTCCTCCGGAGAGCATCTCCTTGGCCTTGTTGATGAGCCCAGACATCTTGTCAGTTGGATATGAGAGAGTTGTGTGTGGTTGGGGAAGTTTGAGAAGTTTGAGATTGGTTGCAGAAGCTGTTCGGCGTCGATGAAGAAGAGGAGAGGCTCGAACGCGGGAGCAGTTTTATGCTGCAGGTCAGCGAGTTACGTCAGGGCTGCATAGACCAGGGAATTCTTGGAAGGAGAGGTGAAGGCGCGGTGAAGCTGGCAGGACGCGCACCTCGCCACGGAACACCTGACCAGTGGAGAAGTTGCCAGAGAAACAAGCACGCTGCTGCTTGATTCGGTCATTAGAACCTTGGGTAGCCGCAGAACAAGCTGTTTAGGGCCTGGCTAGCACGTTTCTTGAGCTGCAACAAGCCTAGCAGCCGCTTGTTAGAAGCTTTCAGCTAGCCAGCGCCGAGTCAGTTAGGTCAATCTCACGGATCGCCCTCGGGCTGTTGAGGTGTACAGAGGGGCCATTACGCCATTGGCATCATTGCGCAAGGACGGTATGTTGGCCATGGTTTGGAAAGCAAGTGTGGCTCGGCCTGAAACCTGTTCTTACAGAGCTCTGAGAGCAGGTTCGCAGCGAGAATGCAGGTGGCTCGCGGTTGGAAGCAGCTGGCAGGAGGTCCCACCTGCACACAGCGGCGGTGAACCGCTGTCAGGGCCCCAGCTGTGACATCAAGCGGGGCAAGGAACCTTGAACGCATCTGCAGGGGCTTCCCGAACGCCACCTGCATCCAGGCTTGCGGGGTGTTGCCAGCCCGAAAACAGCATGGCTCCGAGCTAAACCGGAATTCTGGACCAGCACTGGAGGCCGCCGCAGCACTTCCCTGTCTGTGGCTGTGCAGAGCAAACCAAACCAAACGCGGTGCACGCATGGAATTTCCTCAGGACAAGAATCCATTCACGTGCCACTCTAGGCGAATGATACTATCTGTCTTTACTTAGGTACTCGGGTGGGCAGGCAAGCACATCCAGTGCCCACTCTACTCCATTCGTGTTGATAGCCGCGATGTCACACGGCCTACGTACTTGCATACCCTTGTCTCCAAGAGATGCCCGCTTAGGCTCATGTAATCTAGGAGCTAACAGCTGCCCGGCTGGGTTTGGAACTGGCTTGTATACCTAGATCAACCACATCACTTTCGATGCCTCGTCGGTTGACCAGCCGGGAGCCGCACAGCCAGACGGACGGACAGGCTACCGTGTACCGCACATCTTGGTAGCGGCCAGCAAAAACAGGTGTCGTAGCATCGTAACACAGACAACTAACAGGCTTTAATCTCTTCAACGACAATGGGCTTTCCATCAGGGGTATCTATTCGCCCTCATATCTAAACAGCGCGATTTAAGCTCCGTCGGTTTCTTAGCTTCTCAGTCGTGCGTGCTTCAATCAGATTCTTGGAAGGACGTCGTCTCTCTGCCTTTGGTGAATGGCCTCGAGGATGACCCGATTCAAACGAGGTGTAGTTAACCTAAGAATACCTCGGTGCACATGCATGTTCTATCCTAGGGCTGAGTGGCTTGCTAGAAGCGTTTTCCAGCCTTGTTCGTCCATCTCTTAGCATCCTCTGGTCTTGGCATCTATACTGTGTTTGGTTACGAAGTATCTCAATATTGAGCCTTAAGGCTGAATGCCGATGGCTTGCATAACCGGGCTGCTGGTCCGAGGCCTGAACAGCCGAAGTTTGTTGAATCTTCATCTGCTCTGCGGATGATTGGAGTGCACTGTCCTCGATACGAGGTTCAGCTGCGGCTGAACAAGGTGCATCGCCTCCACCACCGGCACATCAATATCCAGTTACAAGCAAGAATCAACGCACAATCTGCTCGCGAGTTCCGACTCACATGAGGCTGCAATCCGAAAATGTATCTCTGCAGCCAGGCATTGATCGCGGGCCTTGCACCAGGGCTAAAGCCCTATAGTAGGGCTGTGCTGTGTCGCCCACTCGGGTCATCATGGGGACCAGCTCCTGGTCTGCATTCCAGGCAGCCTTCTCTGTAAAGTATATATCTATTCGCGCCGGTTCATAACCTTCTCCACTGTCGTTTATTTGTTCTCTAATTGCTCTCAGCCGCAATACCCTCGGGAAGGCTTCGTACATAAATCTTGACACCTCGTAGTCATCATCCAGTCCGGTTTCCCTACCATCACTAGGTACAGAAAGCCTGTTAAGCTCCGCCATGATGGTCAAACTCCACCTTGTTACTGGTTTTCTAAGCCTCCTTTGGCTCACGCTGGGACTCGCCTCACCCACTCCAGACCTGATCGATCCAACATCTGGCAAAATTGCCGCCCGGAACACGCAGCTCCAACCCCGTGCTATCCCCGCCTGGGAGTTTTACTACAACTACGACTCAGCAGCCCACCAGTCCAAAGCCACGGCCCTAACGAACCAAGGCTATCGCCCAATCTCCCTCAGCGTCTATGGCGCGAACACAAATCCCCGCTACGCTGCGGTGTGGGTCCAGCGATCCGGCCCCGCTTGGCAAGCAACTCATGGTCTCACTGCCGCTGCATACCAGACCTGGTTCGACAGATGGCGCGTTCAGGGGTATGCCTCTACAATCGTCAGTGTCACCGGCCCTCGTAACAACCCGGTCTACGCTGGGGTGATGGAACAAATCAGTGGAGTGAGCTGGTGGCAAAAGTGTGACATGAACCTCCAGCAATTCAACGACGCGTATAACCAGGCCTATGCGGAAACGAAAGTCTTGAAGTCATTTAGGGAGTACGGTGTACCGACAGACCGCCGCTTCTGTGCCGTATATCATTCGAACCCGCAGGTCAATCACTGGGACTGGCGGCCTTCACAGACCCCTGCGGACTATCAAGCCACGGTGAACGCCTTCGTGCAGAACCAGTACTGGAGACCTGCTGCCGTCTCCGTATCCGAGGATCATCAGATCACGTCGCTCTTCATGGACACTAGTGTGGGTACCTGGGCCGCCCGACACGGTCTCACAGCCGCCCAGCTGCAGGCTGAGTACGAGACCCACAAAGCCAACGGACTATATATCATTAACCTCAGCGGTGGGGGCGTGGGCGCCAACGCGCGCTTCACAGCCATCTTCGCCCAGCAAGACGTTCCCTCAGCTCGCGCCTGGACCGCAACGGGCACGACCACGGGCTTCAAGAACAACGCCGCATCAATGGCAACCGTCGACGGGATCATGAAGACCTTCATGCAGACCAACGGCGTCCGTCAAGCCCAGATCTCCATCGGCAGGAACGGCGCCGCCCTGCTGCAACGCGCCTACACCTGGGCGGAGCCAGGCCGACACATCACACAGCCCGCCGACGCATTCCTCCTCGCGAGCGTCAGCAAGGCGTTCGTGGTCGCAGCCGTGCAGTCTATGTTCAACAGCGGCCGGCTCACCCCAGGCACAAAAGTGTATCCGCGTCTCGGCTACACGAACCCGCGCGACGCGCGGGTCGCTAACATCACAGTGCAGCAGCTGCTCGACCACACCGGAGGCTACGACCGGGTGCTCAGCGGCGAGACCGTCTTCATGATGCGGCAGATCGCCCTTGAGCAGGGCACGGGCGGGGCCCCGGCGACCATGAAGACGGTCGTCGATTGGGCGTTCAAGCGGACTCTGGACTTTGATCCCGGCGCAAGGAGCCAGTACTCTAATTACGGGTACCTCTTGCTTGCGTACCTTGTCCAGCATGTTAGCGGGCAGAGCTACTACGACTACCTCCGCTCCACCATACTGACGCCGAACGCGCTGGACGTCCGGCAGTGGGCTACGGCTGCCTCGGCGCACAGAGGCGACGGCATCGTCCAGGAGGCGCGGGGCGTGTGGCTGAACGCGCAGACGCCGCTGTCGAACGTCGAGGTCCCATGGGTGTACGGCGGCGACGGTATGGTCAAAGAAGCCGCAGTCGGTCCCTCGAGTCTCTCGGCCAGTGCATCCACGGTCATGCGCTTCGTCAGCAGGTTCGGTAAGTCCCTCCCATCCCCCACCCCTTGCGTGACCTTCCGGCGCAGGGGCGTCCACCACTCCTAAGCAGCGAACAGAGCTGATGCTATGTAGGTGCAACAGGCAACGGCCCGCGCGCCGTCAGCTGGCGCGACGGCAAGATGAACGGCGTCAGGACGTGGGCGCAGGCTCGCGCCGATAATGTCGACTGGGCGCTTAACCTCAACACGATGGAGTTCTCGACAGGGGTTGAGAGTAACGAGCTGTTTAACAGGCTGTGCCAGGTCGATATCACTAACTTCCTGAACACGAGTCCGGTTGCTTAGACCGAGCTTGGTCTATGGGAGGGAGGTTGTAGGGACGCGTTGGACCTGAGTAGGTGTCTTTGACTTTAGAGGGCGGTTTGGCTGGACTGGGAAAAGCTGGTCGGTCTTGCGGTGGGTGCTTCGGTCTCTTGTGACGGGAGTGTTGGATGCGGATTTCCATGAACTGCTGGCGATTCAGTAGATGCGAGGTGTCTATCTAGCACTTCCTTCGTAGCCCGCATCTCATTCGCAATTACTCCAACTCATTCGATGCCTGCATCGCTTACTGCAATACCACACCCGCGCGCTCTCTCCCTTCTTGACTAGTGCCATCGCATTAACCAGGATCTTGCTTCTGAAGCCCCTCCATCACACGTCCAGAGCAATCGGGATGCTTGAGTCATGGTTTAGTCTGGCGAAGGGCAAGCAGTCCTGAGAAACGCGCTGGGATGCGCGGTGTAAACGTAGCTTAGGTCCTTTGCAGAAGGCCCGGTGGAGTGAAGGGAGGACAATTCGTGGCAGCTACCAGTCGGTCCATGCACATGGAGACGATCACAGTCATTTGCGTTAGTGAGAAGATCAACTCCCCGGACGGAAGAATACATCTCCAGTTTCCAGAGGAAGAACTCTGAGCTATGACAGCACGAGAACGAAGTAGGATTTTGAGCGTAGTCATCTTCGACATTGCATGGCAAGTAGACAACCAGCTATAAAAGGGGAGTTTCACGTTGGCGCTCAAAATGGTTCGCCCTTCATACAAGCCCCGATATCAACCCGCTACTCTTCATCCTCCTCCTCGCCCTCATCATCCTTCTTCTCCGCCGCCTTAGCCTTCTTCCTCCTCACACGGCCGGGACGCCCACCACCGAACGGCGAGGTAAGCGCGAAGTCGATGTGCTTCTGGGAGTCGAGCCGGACGACGAAAGACGGCACGTTGACGATCTGCTTGCCAACACTACCAAGCCACTGCATCAGCACTGATCCAAACCGCTTCCTAATCCTTCGAGCAGGCTACCAGCCCGCCAAGGGAAAGACCTACCGGATATGCCTCTGCCTGATGAGGACACGGGCGTGGTGGATGCTCTTCGCGAGACCGAGCTTGTAGACGCAGGTCTGGAGGCGGCGCTCCAAGAAATCCTCGACCTTGAGCGCGAGCACGTAATCGAGCTTCATGCGGGACTCGTCGAGGACGCCGACACGGACGAGACGGCGGATGAGGGCGTTGCCTTCGAAAAGGCGCTTCGGGTCTTTCTCATCGAGGGTGAGGAGCTGACTGAAGTTGACTCGCCGTTAGTACGCTTCCCCAGCACGCCTCGAAATCGTCTCGCAGAGGACCAAACGACGCATCCCAGACCACGTGTTGCAGGTTGAAAGACAGATTGCTAACTCACCGGGCAGCACGACGGATCTTCGACAGCGTGAGCTGCACGCGCCAGACCTCGCGCTTGTTGCGCAGGCCGTACTCGCCGACAATCTTCAATTCAGAGTCCCTGTACCCAACAATTAACCTCTCGTTCCATCGACGTAGGCTGAGAGCGCGGGCGCGGCTCAAGCCCAGTGGCCGAGGAAGCCGTGGACGTACAGACGAGCGGACTCGAATGGCCGCCTGGGGACCTTGTAGGTCTTGGAGTAACTACGGGGAGCCATGGTGTCGCGATGTGTTGTCGGTTGTCGAGTTGCGCTCGTGAGGCTTGTGATGGTGTAGAATTGAGATGTGCGGCAGCCACGGGAGAACTTTTCGCCGAACGGCAAGCGCATGTGTGCGAACTCCAACAAATGCGAAATTGGCCGACGGGAGGATAGCGACGACGACAATTCGACAGCGAGCGACTCTACGGTTTCCTTACCTACCTACCCAGCACGATAACACGACGAGCATACGATGGGTCACAGCGCTGGTCTGCGAGCGGGCACCCGCTATGCCTTCAACCGCGGGTTCAAGAATCATGGCATGATCAAGCTCTCCACGTACATGAGAGTGTACAAGTAGGAGCCACCGCTTCAGGCGTCCAGAGATCGCAGCGCTGATCGGAAGCTCGCAGGGTCGGCGACATCGTTGACGTGGTTGCGAACGGCGCAGTGCAAAAAGTAATCCCAACCAGTCCATGCCCACCACAACTCCAAGATGCTAACTACAGCGCAGGGCATGCCATACAAGGTGTACCACGGCAAGACCGGCGTCGTCTACAACGTGCGTCCTCCCCTAAGCACCTGGCGAACGACGCACCTCTAACTCCCCGCCCAGGTCACCAAGTCGGCCGTCGGCGTCATCCTCTACAAGCGCGTCGGCAACCGCTACATCGAGAAGCGGGTGAACGTGCGCGTCGAGCACGTCAAGCACAGCCGCAGCCGCGACGAGTTCATCGCGCGGGTCAAATCCAACGCGGAGAAGAAGAAGAAGGCCAAGGCCGAGGGCGTGCACATGCATCTGAAGGTAACGAGATACCCGATCCCACGCGGTGGAAAAACATCACGAGAATGAGATTCGAAGATGGGGGACCGAGACGGAGCGGGAGCTGACGTTCTTCAACAGCGACAACCGGCCATGCCCAGAGGCCCGAGGACCGTATCAACCAAGGATAATATGCCTGAGAGCATCACGCCGGTGCCGTATGAGACGACGATTTAGAGTGGTGGTTGCGGGGTTAGATGCGCGGTATGGGGACAGGCGAGCGGTTATTAGGGTTGCAGCAAGCTGTCGTGTAGTTCCGTGGGCCAAGAAAAAAGGCTGCGGATGGGATTGAGGTTTCGACGAACAGTGGCTGGCGGTGTAACTGGATCACTGCACTACATGCATACCCAAAATTTCAAAGCACACGCTCGTAGTTCCCAACAGTTCTTTGAACTGCCTGATGGAGAGACCTCGTATTATCGAAGCCATCCCAAGACTTGAAATATAGGAAGCTCAAATGGCGCCTTCCACATACCACATCCAACCAACTAAATGCTGGCCACGAAGCCCTACCTAACCAAGATGCCTCCGGCCACCCCACCCACCTATGTACGAACCCGAGATATCCAAGCAGATCCCCTTAAAAAGAAAGCGAGCGCCCTCAAACTCCATGCAAAGACGTCCCATGCAATATTTACGCCTCCCTCTCTCCCCGCACCTCTGATTTTATACATCCGCGCCCGGACGGACTACATGACCGTGCACTTGCTCGAGGACTCCTTGGAGCTTTTCACGCTGAGCGCTACGCGTGCCGCTTCGGTGAAGGCTTCGTTTACGCCTCTGTTTTCGCGCGCCGAGCATTCTGCAGAATCGTAGCGGTTAGTCAGTCATTCCCTTCAGCTCGCCACAAGCTCCCCCCCATCTCTGGTCCCTCCTGTCCCCTGTCGAGAAGGAAAATAAGAAAACACCCCAACCTACCTAAATACCGCAACGCGCGAATCTTCTCTGCGACGGCAAGGCCGCGGTTGTAGTCGATCATCATCTTCTCGGGCTGTCCGTGGACCCCGGCGTTGCGCGCTCCGTCCTCGTCCTCGTCCGGCTTCTCGCGCAGGTCGCATTTCAGCGCTACCAGCACTAGTTTGACGCCGGGGCAGTTCTCCGCGATCTCGCCGACCCATTTCGTTTCTACGTTCTCGAGCGACTCGGGGGAGTCGACCTGGATAGGGGTGAGTGAGGGTTAACAGGGAGTGGTCGAGCTGTGGCGAATGGTGCGGATGCTTGGTTGGTGGGTTTGAGGGGGCGGTTGGGGAAAGGAATGCGGTGGGGTGGGGGCCGGCTTACGCTGAAGCAGAGCATGATCGCGTGCGTGTCGTCGTAGGATAGTGAGCGTAGCCGGTCGAACTCCTCCTGCCCGGCTGTGTCCCAGAGGCTGAGCTCGACGTGGACATTGTCGATGAAGATGTCTGCGTGATGTTAGGTTTGGGATCGCTGGTGCGTTCGAGTGGATGTCCGGAGGGAGTGATAGCCGTACCGTGAACGTAGTTCTCTGCAAGATTCGTCAGTGATTGCGCGCCGGATATAGAGGTTGGAATGAGATCTTACCAAAGACGGTGGGTTCGCTGCGCAGCGGGTCGGCAGGGTTAGTGCTGGTGGAATCGCGCATGGCTGCAGGTGTACCTACTATACTGTGGGGAAGTAACTGTGCGCGGCCCAGGTCAGTCGGCTGTTCAAGGCGCAAGGATACATTCAGGCAAAGGTACGCGATACGTACCCTCTTGTAAAGACGTTGAGGAGTGAAGTCTTGCCGCATGCGCCGTCGCCTCTACGACGATCGTCAGATCTCCTCCATCGAGTAACCCCTTTGGTAGGCAGTCGACTCACAGAAGCACCAGCTTCCGCTGCACTGTCTTCGTTCCGCCGCAGAGTGGCATGGTGATCGCGAGAGGTAGAGGGGGTGGATAGACCGAGGATGCGATTGGGAGTTTCGATATTCAGGTACGGCGCATGCGCGGTGAGGAGGCGGGTTAATCTATGTTATGGATGCGTGTGATAGGAAGAGGACAAGGCTGGGAGGTTGGAGAGAGATCAGGGTAAGGTTGTGGGAGCAAGCATGATGGCGACACGGTGCGCAACCCGAGTTAGGTCCACTTTAGGTTCAACTAAAGCCCTGCTGGCGATCCACGCTTCGGCTGATGATCTTTCTCCGCCATCTTTTGGACCCTTGTCCCGCTGGAGAACGGGACGGGAATTCAACAAGAACCCCGTCTCCCCGCTGCCCTCCAAGGTTCCCCGAACCGTTGGTGAGCGCTCGGGCCGTCGTCGTTCTTCCCATCGATTCTATCTACTAAAATGATTTCAACACCTATGGCTATTGGAGCATCTTGCAACTGCTTCAACCGCCCTGGTAGCGAGACGTTCATTGACCCCTGCGTTGTCCGTTCCACCAACTGTTGGGCCGATGCCACGCAACCCGTCGGCGCAGGTATTGATCGGATCTGAGCAAGCCTAGCATTACATTACACTGAAGCCGTTCACCATGATACTGCTGTGGGGAAGTCATACTGCCAAACATCCCTCAATTGACAAATGAAATTTAGGCAATGCCCCTACTCTGTTGTCGCATCTGTGGTCAACAGTGGATGCAGATATCAATACCATTGTTGTAGTCGTCACCACTGAGGTCTCGACATGTGTTCAAGAGCCAGCGGTGGAGCCCGCCAAAGCCTCTGCTACTTGAACACACCCAACAACGACAATATGAAACGCCTCGGAGCGTGCTAGTCCACCTGCTGCCTCTGCAAACCCCCACGTGACCGCCTGAGCCTCTCTCCCAAATCAAGCGTACTCTCCGCTTTCCGGTGCAACCCTGAAACAAACCGCCCTCGCTCTGACCGCTGCTTCTCGTCTTGCTGGCGCTGTTGCTCCTCTCTGGCAGAGGCCTGCGCTATGCGCTGTTGCCGATCATCCTCCAGCGCCGCAGCGTCCGCCTGCATAGCTGCAAGTTTTCTCGCCCTCTCATCCGCATCATCCGCAGCTCGTCTTTGGGGGGAGGGTGCGCTCCGCGAGTACCGGCCTGGCCCGCTCCGCCTCCTGTCTGGCGAGCGGGATCGGGAGCGAGACGGTGAGCGAGGAGCAGGGTAGGAGCGCCTGTGGTGCTGCTTGGGCTCATGAGCTCCATCTCGTCGGGAGCGTTCCCGGTAGGGTGACCGGGAGCGGGATCGTGATCTCGACCTTGATCGCGAAGGGCTGCGACGTCGTGATGTCTCCGGCCTCCTCGCACGTCTTTCCTCTTCCTCGTTCCTTCGCCGGTACGGAGAGCGCGATCTCGACCTCGAACTTGAAGGCGACCTCTTGCGATGCGAGCGGTGTCTATGATGTCTGTCGTCCCTGTCTTCGTGTCTCCTCCTGTGCTTGCTGCGGTGGCCATCCTCATCATCACCATGGCGGCGCTTCTTGCTCTTCCGCTCGCTCGCAACATCCCCACCTGCCGCCTTCAACAGCTGGCGCCTGCGAACCGGATCCGTCATCATCGACTCCAGCGCCGCCTGCTCCTGCCTCTTGATCGCGAGCATCGGATCCTCAAGAACCTTCTTCGTCGTATCCCTCCCCGGATTCGCGCTCTGCACAGCCGCAAACCCCTGCACCTCCGCGCCCTTCTCCAGCTTCTTGGTCTCCTCCTCCCGCTTCAACAGCCCATCAATGCGCCTCTTGCCCAGCAGGTATCCCTCCATCTCCTCCGTCGTGCCCGCCTGGCCGGCCGCGGGGCCGCTGTACATCCAGTCGACGCGGTTGACGCGCTTGGTGCCGCCGGCCGCCTCCTGCATCTGCTGCAGCTCCTGGATGGCGCGCTCTTCGGCGCGCTCGCGCAGCATTTGCTCCACGCGCCGCCGCTCGTCGAGCGCTTTCTTTTCTTCTTCCCACACGCGCCGCTGGTTGGTGAGGAGGTTGGGGTGCCATGATTTCTTGAGGTTGAGGTCGCCGCCCATTTTGCGATTTGGGCCCTAATTGAGGGCACGAGTCGGAGAGAGTCGTAAGGGTTTCGGCGCTGAAGGGGGATGTGAGAGCGAGGGTTTGCTGGTGGCGTTGAGTTTGGGGAGCGAGCGCTGGAGAGGCAGCAGCCGAGATGCTCACCGCAGAGCCGCACACTAGAAATCATAGGGCTTATCGAGATTTCAATCACGTGTCGATAAGCCGCCGCTGCCAAACGGCTTGGCGACAGGCAACTCACAGTGACAACATCTGATATAAACCGCTTTCAATAGAATCACTAATCGCACGCCTCTCTCGAAACCTATCAAAGCTCTAACTCCCAGACACTGTCTCAAACTTTGGCGAGAAAAGTTTTCTCCCCTATTCAAGATGTCCGACGATGATGATTTCATGCAAGATTCGGAGCAGGAAGAGTGAGCAAACACTAAATATATACGGGTTGTGTTAGGTTCGACAGATACTGATAGTTTGCAGCTATGACTTCGAATACGAAGACGACGACGAAGAGCAGGGCGGTGATGTCGACATCGAAAACAAGTACTACAACGCCAAGCAGATGAAAGTAGACAACCCGGAAGATGCTATCGATGAGTTCCTAGGAGTACCTGCGCTCGAGCCTGAGAAGGGCGACTGGTTAGTTGATCTTCGTCTTTGATCTGATCTTGTTGTTAATCTTGACAGGGGTTTCAAAGGGTTGAAGCAAGCCATCAAGCTCGAATTTCGACTTGGCCGCTATGACAAGGTCTCAATCAAATTCGATGACTTCGGTGTAACCGGATTCTGACGGTTCAGCAGGCTGTCGAGCATTACAAGGAACTTCTCACGTATGTCAAGTCAGCGGTCACGCGCAACTACTCCGAGAAGTCCATCAACAACATGCTCGACTTCATCGAGAAGTCCGCAGAAGACGAAGATGCGAACCGCTGCATGGAGAAGTTCTACTCCTTAACTCTCGAGTCGTTCCAAAGCACCAACAACGAGCGGTTATGGTTGAAGACGAACATCAAGCTTGCTCGGCTGTGGCTGGACCGCAAGGAGTATCGCCAGTTGACTGAAAAGGTCAGGGAGCTTCACAAAGCATGTCAACGGGAAGACGGCACCGATGACCCCAGCAAGGGTACCTATTCTTTGGAAGTGTACGCGCTAGAGATCCTTATGTACGCTGAGACGAGGAACAACAAGCGGCTGAAGGTGAGTGGACACGATGGCTCTTAATTTGCTTACGAGTTACTCACCTTCCCTACATTAGGCACTCTATCAGCGTGCCCTCAAGGTCCGCTCTGCGGTTCCGCATCCCAAAATCATGGGTATCATCCGAGAGTGCGGAGGCAAGATGCACATGAGTGAAGGTGAGCAATGGTGTACCAATCATCTTGCACGTGATATACTAAACGCGGACAGAGAATTGGAAAGAGGCTCAGAGCGACTTCTTCGAGAGCTTCCGCAACTACGACGAAGCGGGTTCCTTGCAGCGAATCCAGGTTCTGAAGTATCTTGTGCTCACAACCATGCTCATGGGATCCGACATCAACCCGTTCGACTCCCAGGAGACCAAGCCGTACAAGAATGATCCGCGAATTGCCGCCATGACGGACTTGGTGGACGCGTACCAGCGAGAGGACATTCACAGCTACGAGAAGATACTCCAAAACAACAAGGACCTGCTAGCCGACCCCTTCATTGCAGAGAACATCGATGAGGTCACTCGAAACATGCGGACAAAAGCAGTCCTGAAGCTTGTTGCGCCATACACGCGGTTCACGTTAAGCTTCATCTCAAAGCAGCTCAAGATCACGCCCCTGGAGGTACAAGACATCGTCAGCTTCCTGATCGTGGACAAGAAGCTGCGCGGCAGGATCGACCAGAGCAGCGGGACCGTGCAGATCGAGAGCGTCTCGGATAACGATCGGATCCGCGCCATGCAGGACTGGAGCAGCGCCATTGGGTCGCTGTGGGCGACAGTGCTGAACGAGGGCGAGGGCTTCAAGTCAGAAGAGGGTACGCAACTCCTTGGAGGCGGCGGCGGCGGCGGGCCTGGGCAGGGAGACTTTGGCGGACCGATGCAGCCCGGCAGAGGCGCGAATGGGTATGGCGCGAAGCTGAGAAGTGGAGGGAAAGGCAAGGGTTCGTCAGGACGGCCGCCGGGAGCTGGATCCGCCTTGGGCAGATAAATGTCTTGCAGGACTGGCTGCCGCGAGCTGCAAGCCGTTGTACGCTAGACCAACCAGAATCCTTCGATGCTTCGGCAAGCGCAATCCGTTAGAAATCTCTCTCCATTGTTACACGGAACCGTCACGGAAGCTCTGGCGACTGGAAAAGTTAAATCTTGCCGTCCGGTCGCACAAGAATAGCATTAGCCAATTCTAGTGGTACTGCAAAAGGCTCTTCTTTCCTTGTGCCGCGTCACGGACTACCTCGGAGTCCGCAGTAGACCGCAGGTACTGTTACCTCCCTCGCACGGGGTTCACTTGCTTCCTTCTCGGCCTCACGGTAGGCAAGCGGCTGAGGTCCCAACGTGACGGCTATGCGGGAAGCGACAAGCTTACGAGTCAGGACTTTTGTAACTGAAGAGGGCTGACCCGGGACTCGGGTACAGATTGAAAGATATCTGGGAACGGCCCACGCCCATGCGCGATGAACTGTCTTTGCATCTACGGAGGCAGCGCCGTTTGAGATGTGCTTTCGAGCATTTCCCGCGCAACCGGGGCAAGCTGTCCCTTGGTTGTTACTCAAGCGTGCGTGATTGGCCGGCCGAGAGCAGACTAACTGACCGCAGGCGGCTGGCCTGCATATCTGAGCAACTCTGTGGCTGCAGCTTTTGTGAGAGCTCGCACATCTTTTCTCCATGAACCCAAGAATCGTTGGTGTCTGTTAGCGCTCCGATTTCTGCGCGTTTTTGCTGGCATTTCCCCTCTGCCTGCCAGCCTCACCTCCGGCTGCATGGTCCACTTCTGCCCTGCGGCCGGGGAGCGGCTGCATAGTGCCCGTTGCTGGATTGGATGCTTGTCCGTCCCTCGTGGGACTACCCGAGCGATCACACTCTGTTTCGAGGACACAATCCTGTTGCATCGTAGCCCTCCCTTTGCCAGCCCGGTTTCACGCAAACACCCCCCCCTATCGCTCGATTTGCATGGGGCGCCCTTAGCGGCCTTCATCGTCGCTTTCTAGCCTTTGGAGCACCGATGCACTCGCTGCTCAGTGCAACAGGCGCGCGCCGTTTTCTGTCGTCTGCGTGAGCGTGTCGCGGAGTGTTTCCGTGCCTGGCAGCATATTCAATATGGCCGGCAAGCCTACGGAGCGGGACTTATGATCGTCCTTGGTATATTGGCGCATCCCTGGCAAGCAGCTGGGTATCACCAACTATGCCACCACCTCCTGCACCCACGGCGGCGGGTCTCTGCGCATTAAAACCCGGCACCACTGCCGTTTCTTTCAATGGACGTTCGTGGGTGACCTATGCTGCCGCGCCTGTCGTGGAATCTGCCTTCTTGCTGTGCTTTCCCAGTGACTTCGCTGTCCTGCCCGCTCCTCCACCAACGCTGCGAGAGATCACCACCAGCTCGCCCCATCGTGAAGTTGTCCGCGGCCCGCTCTGCCTCGCTTTCCTGGCAAGCGAGACCACTTCACCATGGCCTGCCGGCAAGTGCACTCAACCACCACCTTCCCTCACTATCTCCCACATTTTTTCAATGCTCCAACCCTTGCGTCGCCGGCGTACCCGCAACACCAGCTCCCCTTTCGACCGCCGGAGCACCCTCCCAGCCGCACCACGACACAGTTCGGCTTCCAACGACCGGCGGCGAGGATGGACTACTTGCAGCCTGAGGAGGAGCTTGCGCATCTGCAGAAATTGTCGAATGAATATCAGCCTGAAGTGACTGTGAGTGTGCCAGTGTTGCTGTTGCGGAGCGACGTGCTGATGTCCGGGGAAGGGTCCCCTTGTTGGGGAGCGACAACCCAGCAGCGTCCTCAGGACAGAATACGCAAACGGCGACGCAGTCTACGTTGCGAAAACATCTGTGAGTGTTGGGCTTAAGAGCCAGGGTAACGACTAGTAATGACAATGGTTGCAGGCCCTAGCAGGGACATACTCGCACTATCGAACGTGCAGAGGAGATGGCAACTGCGGCTGGCGAGGTATATCCATGAGCAGTGAGGGCATGTCTGTAGCACACAACGCTGACGCCGCATCATAGCCATCGCTTTCAGCTACTTCGAAACCCTAATACGCCTGGGTAGTAGAAACAAGTTTTACGAGGAAGAGACACGACTGCGATCGTTAAGCAGCATGCTAAATGCTGTTGGTTTCAAAGAGTATATCTACGAAGACTTTGCCGAAGAAGCCTTCGACCTCTTGTGCAACCTTGCCGCTGCGCGCTCTGTCGAGAACGCTGATGTGTCGCTTTTGTCTTTCTTCAACGATGAATCTCGTTCCATAGCCCTCATCATGTACTTCAAGGTGAGCTTCCTCATGATAGTCCCTCCGCAGCACGTCGTTGCACCAGCTATAGCTGTCTTCTCAAAGCTGACGCCAAATCACCGCAGTTTCTGACGAGTGCCTGGATACAAACCCACCCGGAGAAATTCGAGCCGTTCTTAAACCAAGACATCAGGTCTTACTGCGAAGAGATCGGACGCCCCAACTGCGAAATCGACCACGTTGGTGTAACCGCTCTGGTAGATGTGCTCGTCATGCCTGCTGGGTTTGCCGTCGAGATCCTCTATCTCGATCGAACCTCTGGAACGGAAGCCAACATGCATCGCTTCGACCCCCTTGACGAACTCGGGCTGCCGCTAACCCACCCCTTGACCTTGAGGTTGTTGTACAGGCCGTGAGTGTCGACCTTCCCGATTTCGATCTCTGTGCTGATCCCGAACTAGAGGGCATTACGACATTCTATACAAGCTCGCAGATGTGCAACCGCGCCCCACGCCTCCGCCCAACCCAGCCGCTCTCTCCATAGCCTTCGCCGAGCCCCACGTCACCCTTCCCGAGTCGACATCCACGCTTGATCCCATGAAATACCTCCCCGGCGGGTCATTTTACCCAACCCCGCAGAATAACTGGTTGACCGGACTCGACATATTCACGACACCGCAAATGCCCGACCCTCAACTCCACTCTTCACCAGCCTACCTCAGCCACCCGGTCTCGTCTTTCCACCACGACTTCTTCGCCTCCGTCGCGCCCATGGAGCAGCCGTCCGCGCTACCGCCCACCGCGCTACTACCGCCCGCAGCCCTGCCGCCGCTGATAGCACAGCCCTCCGCGCTCCTCCCCCTAAGCAGCGCCCCCATCGCCCTCGACCGCGGCGGGCCCTTCCGCCCCTCCATGTACGAGCTGAAGCCGCAGCTCAAGCCGGCGCCGATGAGCTTTCAAACCACCATCTTCCAAAAGTGAGTTCCAACCCCCCCACCCGCGTCGTTACTGCTACTGAGAAACACAATGCTGACGGGATCTTTTGGGGGGTGTAGCTCCCCGTATAACCAGGCACACTATCAAAACCCGCACTTCGAGCCTATCCTGTATGTGCCGGGCGCGGATAACGAGTCCGGCGGGAGAGCGGGGAGGGCGAGGGGTGGGGGAGGCTGAACGATGGCGCTGCTGCTGCTGATGCTGCTGCTGTGGCCGGCGAAGGATGCGCGAGGTGCTCTGAGTAGCGGGGGGGCTCTTGACGTTTTGATGACTTGGACAGGTTGGCTCCATAGCGGCATGGCGTGCATGCATTTCCTTTCCCCCCTTACTCTTCTCTTTGGCGGCGGCGGCTGCGGGATACAGGGAAGCCCGCGCGTTGGTCACGAGCTCACGACTCTCACGATACGGACGAAGTATATGTTATCCCCCCTGCGGGTCACGACGGGTCACGACGGGCTCTTTTCGGTAGTTCTTGAGCGGATGGCGGATGGGACTTATTGCTTATGAGGGCGGGGATTGTCGGTGGGAAGAGGCAGATCTCGGCTTCTCTGATGGGCACGCATACAAAGTAGTGGCTCTTAGCGCTAGGCATGATCTTCGGTAGCATTGTATGCAGCAGACTTTGATACGTCATGGCGATGGCTTGTCTTAGTTGCTTTCTGTGTAATGGCGTTCGGTGGTGTCGGTGTTGGCGTCCCAGGTCTTTCGTGATGCTGTGCCGGTCACCCTACCTTCAGTGGGTTACCAGCATGTGGTTGATGTCTATTGCAGGCATACCGCTCATACCGAGCTGCTTCGACATGTTTTCTAAGCCGTCAGGTATGATGGCATCGTAACCCACGCTCTCTGCCCTAGCTCACATCGCAGCGCACGTTTTGTGAGGATCTTACAACAACCCAACCCAACCCAAGGCAATCCCATACTATACAAGCAAAACGCCGCACCCAATGCCCGCTTCGCCCGTTCTAGATACGCATGTTATACAGCCCCAGCCCCAGCCCCAGCCCCAGCAGAGCGGAGAACAAGTTCCCATCCCACCTCCCGCATCAGACCGTAGACGTCGTGCCCAGCATCTTGAGCACAGTCTCATAGGTGCCAAACATGATGGCCGCGCTCGGCACGACGCGCAGCAGGTGCGGGACGAGGCCGCCGTACAGGGCCACCATGCCTTCCTCCTTCCACACGAGCCGGAAACACTGCACCAGGCCTGTGTACTTGAGGTGGCCGTTTTCCATCGGGGCTTGGCGGAGGCGGGTGCGGACGACCTGGATCGGGTGTTAGTCGTGTGAAGAGCAACCAGCCCAAGCTGTCTACGCGGCAGTAGGCCGGACACAGCGGAAGTGAAGGGAAGGGGAGGGGAAAGGCAGCCGTACCTCATGCGGATATGTCAGTATGGTAGCGATGAACTTTGCACCCCCCGCCGCGCCCAACTTCCCCGTCCACCCAACCGTGCGGTCCCACACGCTCGGCTCCTTCGTGCTGGCCGCGAGCCGCTCCTCGCGCGCCGCCAGCGACATCTTCATCTGCTCATACAGCACCCACTGCAGCGTGCTCTCCGTGACGCCCAGATAACTCGCGCTAAGCCCCCGATACAGCCCTCTGATCCCCTCATGCCTCACCGTCTTGATCGTGCAGTCCAGCGCGTTCTTGTACAGCCTCCCTCCCCCCGCCTCCTTCGCGTGGCTCCGGTCAAGCTGCAGGCGCGTCTTGACGAGCCAGATCGGGTTCGTCGCCGTGCCCGTCACGATCCCCGCTGCCGCCGCAGAGCACAGATGCACCCATGCGGCTTCCCGGCCCTCGTTGAAGGTCTGCGCCAGGACGCGCTTGCCGTTGCCGTAGACGTAGAAGTTTATGGCGCGCGCGGGCACCACGCCGACGAGGTTGGGGCCGAGGCCCTTGAACAGCGCGCGCCAGCCCTCGGTCGCGGGGACGGCGAAGAGGATCTGGAATGTCTCGCGGACGTGGAGGAGAGAGCTGCGGAAGAGGGAGAGGGTGTGTAGCGGAGGGACGCCGCGGGCTGCGCGCGAGGCCGCGAGGTGGTTCTGGTAGTAGTCGGATTGGAGGCGCGTTTTGAGGACGTCGAGGGGCGCGGTGAGGGTCGCGGCTGCGGTGCCTCCGAGGCTGTGGATGGGGAAGGGGGGTTAGCTAGGGGTGCCGGCCAGGGGGGAAGGGGGAGTGGTACCCGCCGGCGATGAAGTGCGCCCAGGATTTCGCGAAGGGCGAGTCCCGTGTGGTTATCGGTGTGCCATCGGGTTGTTTCTGGGGCGTGACATCGCCTGTCTCGCGCGACTGCGGCAGAGGGCTCTGCAGCGCTGTGGATGTGGTATGGGGCAACTGCCGGGTGTCTGAGGATGGTTGAAGGATCATGCGGTTGGAGAGGCTTCAGGGCGCGCCTGGTCTTCGTTACAACTGGATCCGGGAATGTGAAGGAGCGTGTTTGCGGGCGTACGGGTAGGAGCGAAGTGCGAAAGACAGGATACCAGCGTTACGGGAGGTTTGCGGCAGAGGTGTTCATCATGGCCACCAGTAGTGCCTGGGAACTTTCTTGCCCACGCGAGACCGACAGGGCCTAGCGCGCCAAGGGGCAGCAGAAAAGCTTGGCGTGCATCATGCATCGCGAATGCTGTCGTATGCATGGCGGCGGCGGCTATGGTTGAGAAATTGACCACTTCAACTGTACCGCTCAGAATCTTCGCAGGCTCTCAGTCAAGCAGTCAGATACACAGGGCGCTGCACAGACATGCGAGCCACCGCGCAATGCCTCGCTCCAGGCTTCTGGAGGCGAAGCCTTGACGAGTTCAAGAGGCTCTCCAACACCGGTACGGTCCATCTCCCACGCCAATGCTGTACGGCAGCATGTTTTGGCGACATTGACACTCATACGCCAGCGACACAGCACTCAAGCTCGAAGCATTACGAACACCCAGCTCTCGCTTCCCCTTGATAACCTTCTCCGAGCCCTCCTCTATCGAAGCATGCAAGGTCATGTCCGACGCCGACATGGGCGGCTTCTCGCGCGCCTCGCTCGACTTCATCCCCACGAAAGATGACGAGCCGGCCCACGCGCGCTTTCACGGCAACATCTCCCTCGAGCTGCCTCCCAACCGGCCCGAGATCCAGAGGACAGGCTACGCGGCCTGGCGGACAAAGGACAGGCCCCCCACCATGTTCGGGAAGGCGCTGTGGGATATCGATCCGTACACGTACCTCGCGCTGCGCATCAAGTCCGACGGCCGGAAGTACTTCGTGAACGTGCAGACGGAGTCGATTGTGCCGACGGATCTGCACCAGCACCGGCTGTATTCACGGAAACCGGGCGAGTGGGAGACGGTGCTGATCAACTGGACCGAGTTTGTGAGGACGAATCACGGGCTGGTGGTTGAGCCGCAGAGGGAGATGCTGAGGCAGAAGGTCCGCACGGTCGGCATTGGGCTCATTGATAGGGTGCCCGGTCCCTTCGATCTGTCTGTCAGCGCCATGTGGGCCACGAACGAGACGATCGAGGGGAGGAGGGCGACGGAGAAGCCACAGGTTTCTGGGCGCAGGGTCGACGGGGAGCTTGAAGCGGGAGAGCCGGAGAGTATCAGGAAGCCGCCGTCGCCTGAGAAGATATTGTTGTAGGGCAGGCTTGAAGGCGTCTGGCGCAGCTGTGGAGCATGGTCTTGTCGGTACATACTTACATCTAGGGGTTTGTTGGTAGTTTCAGGTCTCGGCAGAATGGCAAAGCTTTCGGCTTCTCTGTTTGTCACGGACGTTATTCATAAACCTGGAGAGACGTAGCATCTGAAAACACTTGGCGGATCTTACAGCGAGAGGACGTGCTAAGCGTGTTATCATTCAAAGTTGGTCAGACTTGTAATGCTGCACGTGACTGAGTACCTAGATTGATACTCACCCTTCAGTATTGGAACTTCGGACATGTCTTGCACGTAAAGCGCGCGAAACAACTGCCTACTTTTCAAAAATTGACGTGGACGCGTCACCTACGAGATAAACATCGACAGACTCGCAAGCAGGGCGTTCCGACGCGGCTTTGACTGGTGTCCTAAGATGGGTTTAAGGTGTATACCTCCCTACGTCCAAAACACGATCACGTCCACAAAACCTTACTCGTACTCCCCTGAAACGCTCCACCGTCAGACTCTTTGCTGAACACGCCTAAACGTACGATCTCACAACTCCGCCTACTCTGAAGTCTTCATTTCACCATGACCCGATATTTAACGCCCCAAAAGATCAGTCTCCTGGTGCTCATTTCCCTCTACTGTGACTCTACAGTACCGAATTCCACGTCTCTACCGCTTCTGTCCTTCATCTCCTCACAGATTCTCTCCCCAGTTACTTCAGACTTCCAAAATCTTTCCTCTAGTGGCTCAGCAAGCATTCAAACAACAATTAAGGGCTTTCAAGATGTTACTGCTGGACTCGCGTCCAATATCCCAGGACGAACACTGTCGGATCTTTTTGTCAAGAAGCTATGGTCGATCAACTCCCTTGACGCACTGCACACCTTCTTTGAGAACCTGCACAACCTCCTTGCCTCACCAAAGGGTGAAGCGTCAGAAGGTACAGGTCTCGAGCAGAAGGATCGCATAGCTCTGTCACGCACGTCACTGCTTGGGGCTTTCGTGCGCCGATCACAGCTCGAGTTCACACGGTTGCAGCTTGACGACACTATCAGGCTGTGGGCTGACTTCCTGACTTACAAAAAGTCGACCGAACCAGCCTGGAGGCGGCGGAATCAGTCCGCTGGTCCCGTTAGCTTCGACGTCAACGTACAGGAGCTGGGCCTGCATGAGGGGTCTCCTCTTATGGACGTGGCTTATGGCTGCCTTACGGAGAACAGGCAACCTGGACCCAACTTCAGCGCCCATGACATGGAGGAGTTGCTCAAGTTCCAAGTTGAGAGCCTGCAGAGTCAGTCTGACCGGACGCCAGTGCAAAGCTACTGCTGACCGCGAGACAGAGCTCGGGAACAGAGTATCAGACGAGATGAAAGCCAACCTCCGCAAGATGAGCGGACATGGGACCTCCACGCCGAGTCTGCTACACTTCCTCAGGTGTGTCTAGCACCGTCCTCGATCCGCGATCGAGCACTTACAGAACCTTCAGTTTCCTGGATGCCTGGCGCGCCGGCGACTACACCTCCTCCTTCGACAACCTTCATCGCTATTTCGACTACACGATGCAAACGGGTGACAAGACATACTACCAATACGCCCTGCTGCACATGGCGATGCTTCAGGCAGATTTCGGGTCTTATAGTGGAGCTATCGCTGCAGCGCACGAAACCATAGCTACGGCCAGAGAGAACCAGGACATGAGCTGTCTGAACTTCAGCCTGAGCTGGCTCAACCATCTCAGCAACGCGTATCCCACACAACTGAAAGCCGCGGGCTACTCGCCAGCGCCTGGCTCGAAGAAGGACGCGGTGGCTTTTCTGAAGGCGAGGGCAAAGGACGGCAAGATGTGGAGTCTCCTCAGCTCTACCTTGCTGAATGAGGCCAAGCTGAGCCTGGCAAACGTATGTCGCTGAGTATGGAGACGGCACAGGTTCTCACATTCATGCAGGGTGACGGCGTGTCACGCGCTTCGGAACTGCTCCTTCAGGCCGCCTCTTTGAATGCCAACAAGAGTCTCTCCAGCACTGTACCGGCACAGATGCTGCTTCAGTCTTCGTTGGCTCAACGATTGGGTCTGTTAATCTAGATCTCGTGGAGTGTATATCACTGACTAATGCCGCACAGGGTTCGCCAACCTCTCGAGTGTTTACTGCGATTTGTTACTCCAATGCTATCGCGACTCATCCCCGTCTGACGACATCGTGCGGGCCATCTGCCGCTGCGCCTTCAAGGTCGCACCCGCCACCAGAACGAAAAGTTGCGCAGCGTCACTGACAAATCCCAGAACGTCCAAGCAGGCAACTACAAAGCCGCCCAAACCCTCCTCGACAACATCGACCCAGGCACACACCGCACACTCAAGCTCCACCAATACATAACCACCTGCTCCCGTCTCGCTCACCTAACCCACTCAATCCGGCAGTACGTGTCCCACAGCCCCCTTAGCCCTCTCAGCCCCACACTGACCTTACGAAGATGCGACAACGACACCTCCCTCCCCCTCCTCCGCCGCCTCCTCGCCGCCGCCCCCTCCGACCCAGAGCTCGCCCACCACCTCCACCTCCTCGAAATCGAGCACCTGCTCCGCACCTCTTCCTTCGAGGCCGCTCTCACCAAGATCGAAGACCTGGCCGCAGAACTGCGCGCCAACGACGGCGATCTGGCGCAGCGCCTCCACTGTCTGCGGCTCAAAGCCGACCTCTTCATCGCGTGCGGGCATCCCGTGAGAGGATTCTCGATCGCCATGCGCGCGGCGAGCGCGGCGTATCGTGCACGCATACTGCCGGCGCTGTGGGCGGCGCTGGGGAGCGTCGGCGCGTGTCTTGTTGCGCTAGAGGAGTTTGGGGCGGTGGCGGAGATTCTGGAGGCGGTGGTGCCGCAGGTATGTTGATGTGTTGCTCTTTGTGGACCACCTGGAGAGAAAGGGGCGGGAGGCTGTGCAGATCCGTGCTGACGTTCTGCTTCGTGGGAGCAGGCGCTCGAAGGCGGGGACGAGGCGCTCGTGGCGCGGTTGTATGCGCTGCAGGCGGATGCGTGGATGGGGCTTGCGGGCCAAGCCATGACGGAGCAGGAGCCTCGACGGGTGACGGTGTTGGTGGCGAGGGCGGACGTGTGTGTCGAGCGGGCGCTGGAACGTAAGTTGTCATGGCGGTCGGTCTCGGCTGCTGAAGCCTAAACCACTGCCTCACTGCCTCACTTCTCCAACGCATGGGTGGCTCCCTTGACAGATCGTGGTTACCCGCACGTCTACGCAACGCGAGCGCGTGATGAAGCACAGTGGCTGACCCGGCTGAACCACAGGCTACGAACGCATCGACGACACGGACGGCTGGCGCGACATGCTGCTGAGGAAGGCCGTCATTGCGCGGCTCGGAGGGGAGGAGGCCGCGGCGGAGGACTGGGCGGCGCGGTACTTGGAGGTGGGCAGGGGGGATGGCATAGTTGCGAGATGAGCGGATGCAGGCGTTCAAGGAAGAGGGGACAGGACGCGCTTGTGGGATGACTCGGTCGACAGCAGAGATGACGGGAGAGTGGGATGAGATATTGCTGCCGCGGCAATGATGGGATGGTGGTGCAGCGGGAGCTGGTGGGGAAGGGCAGAGTGGGTGTGTATTACGCAGTCCACATAGGTTGGGTCGGGCACCCAGTCGAGGCTGCTTGTAGGGTTCGTGTAGGTCAGGCAGCTCAGGGCCTCGCATGCTACGAAACACTTTATTCTGTACAGACAATCCGCCATCCCCTCTCATCCACCGCCGTTCCCGCCGCCCATGCCCTTTCATCGACTCAACCACCGTCGCCTACTCATCGTCCTTCTTGTGATAGTTAATCTTGTCGTTCCAGAAAAGCGTCTACACCACGTATACATGTCAGCCTGTCCCTCCCCCCAGCCGCTCAAGGAGGATCGTAGCACCGTAACGTTAATAGAAAGAACAGCCAGTTTCCCGAACAGAGAGAGCAACAAGACCAAACATGCACTGACCTTATCCCCATCCCCCCAGAAGAAGTTCTTGGTCCGCAAGTTCTGGTACGGATACTCCGGGCGCTCCTCTGGCGGCGGCTCGTGCGCCTTGTGCTCCCAGTGCTCGTTCCACAGCCTGTAGGCGTTTGCGCCCGCGATAATGAGGGCGGGGATGACGACGCTGTGGGGGTGAGATGAGGTCAGTCGGGGTTGTTCTTCTGGGGGGGGGGGGGGGGGGGGGGGGGGGGGGGGGGGGGGGGGGGGGGGGGGGGGGGGGGGGGGGGGGGGGGGGGGGGGGGGGGGGGTTCCATTGACGCTGTCCTTGCGTGCCCCGGGGTCCGCCGCTCGAGATCGCGGCGAGGGATTCGAAGAGGGTGGTGAGGAGGTGGGAAGGCGGTGAAGGTGCGACTTACTAAATCGACAGCTTGCGCCAGAGATCTGCGGTCCCTCGTCAGCGCGGCTCTCTCCCACAAACACTGAAGGCATCGGGCGGCAGAGCAGGAGAACCCTCAATGCCAATGCCTATGCCTATGCCTGTGCCAACCCCACTCACCGCTCGTCTGGGCAGCATGATGCTTCACGGCCGCTCTCTCGCGGTTGAACGCATTGTCCGCGGGCCCGCGAAGGCCGGTCTCGCCGACTCCTCCTCCTTGGGTAGCGTAGGGGCGGCGGAGGGCCGAGCGCGCGAGCGGGGTGCGCAGGCTGCGTGCGCCGGTGCGGAGGAGGGCTTGTTGGGGGGACATGGTGGTGTTTGCGGGTGCAATTGGTGTTTGGGGGTTGCTGGCGGGAGCTTGGTGAGAGATGGGAGCTGCGGTGAGGTCGAGTGTCATGGTGCCAAGGGACGCGGATGTGCTTGCAGAGCACGGGAGGGTTATCTAATCTGGGGATCGCATCTCTTGGCGGTATCGACTTCGGGGATACTCAGACTGAGGTACGGAGCCTTGAGATACTCTTTACTTTGGATGAGACCAATACAGACACACGCCTCTTCGTTGTTTGTCGGACCTTACTCCCCAAGTCCACCCTCTCCCATGCGCTGAACGAGATATGAAGCGTCGGAAGCCACGAACACACGATGACGCTCCGCATCACGACATGGAACGTTAACGGGATCCGCAACCCCTTTGGCTACCAGCCATGGCGGGACAAACGCACCTTCGACGGCATGTTCGACATCCTCGAAGCCGATATCGTCATCATGCAAGAGCTGAAGATCCAACGGAAGGACCTCCGGGACGATATGGTGCTCGTGCCGGGCTGGGACTGCTACTTCAGTCTGCCGAAGCACAAGAAAGGTGTGTAATGGCAGATGAGTCTTGTGTTTAGTTCTACGACGAGCTGAGGATAGGATGCTAACTTTGACGTGAGCAGGATACTCCGGCGTCGGCATCTACACCCGGCAATCCGTCTGCGCGCCCATCCATGCCGAAGAAGGCATCCTGGGTGTTCTCTGCCCCCCTGACTCCTCAATCCCCTGGCGCTCACACCTCCAAGACCAATGCATCGGCGGCTACCCTTCAGACGCTCAGATCGCATCCCTGGGCGTGGACCCCGCAGTCCTCGATGCAGAAGGCCGCTGCGTGGCCCTCGAGTTCCCAGCCTTCGTCCTCTTCGGCGTCTACAGCCCGGCCAACAGCAACGGCCTGCGCGACGACTTCCGGTATGCCTTCCTCAGCGCGTTGGACATGAGGATCCGAAACCTGGAGAAGATGGGGAAGAGAGTCGTCTTGACAGGAGACCTGAACGTCTCGCGTGCGGAAATCGACACCGCGAACGCGGAGGAGACGATGCGGAAAGAGGGCATATTGCACGAGGACTACATCTCCACGCCCAACCGCCGCATCTTCAACCAGCTGCTCGAGGGCGGAGAGGTGGTTGGGCCGAGGGATGAGGGCAGGGAGAAGCCGGTGCTGTGGGATGTGTGCAGGGGGTTTCATGAGGGTAGGAAGGGTATGTATACGCATTGGGAGCAGAAGATCAATGCGAGGCCGGGGAACTTTGGGTCTAGGATTGATTACGTCCTCGCGAGCATCGAGATGAAGAGCTGGTTCTGCGAGTCGGACATCCAGGAAGGGCTGATGGTGAGTTGCGTCTATGCTGCTCCGTGTTGTTGCAATGGCTGACGATGTCCAGGGCTCGGATCATTGCCCGGTGTATGCCGTTATCAAGGAACATGTCAATTATGAGGGTGAGGAGGTCAACATACGAGACATCATGAATCCGCCAGGCATGTTTAAGAATGGGAAGAGGTTGATCGAGCATACTATGAAGATCCTCCCCGCCTTCTCAGGCAGGCTGCTTCCCGAGTTCGACAAGCGGCGCAGCATCAGAGACATGTTCGCTCCGAAAGCGTCACCACGACCGTCGCGCAGCACCCCGAACAGCATTGTATCCTCGGCCGAAGACCTCGGAGGCTCATTCCAGTCTTCAGCACTAGAGTCCTCAGGGATGCCAGCAGCTGAGCCAGGGGTTCCGCCAGTAAACGCAATGACACCGAACGGAGTCTCACCCATCGCGAAAGCGAGCAAAAAGCGCCCCGCCGAGGCCGTTCCCACGAAGCAAGCCAAGCGCATTAAATCCACCACGATCTCTGGTGTACCGGCAGCATCCCAGGGCCAGAAAACACTGACAGGCTTCTTCAGGCCAAAGAGCCTACCGGCGACGCCACCCCCTGCCACTGACACACCGACAGCAGACCGCGCACTCCAAGACGCCGCCTCAGACAACGCACTCGCCATCAGCGCACATCCCATGAACGGCGGCGCAGATCCCACATCCCCCGTACAGCCCCTCGCATCCGCCTCCAGCGCACAGCTCAGCCCGGTCGCAGCCGCCGCCGCCAATTCGAAGACCAACACCCCGCCCCTCTCCCTCCACTCTCCATCATCGACGAACCCCCAACCCCAGCCAGACGCAGCGTCCAACGACAGCGTCATCGATCCGATTGTCTCGAAGGAATCTTGGAACAAGCTCTTCACGAAGCCGAGCCCGCCCCGCTGCGAGGGACACGGCGAGCCGTGCCTGAGGATGGTGACGAAGAAAGCGGGGTTTAATTGCGGACGGGCGTTCTGGATTTGCGCGAGGTCAGTGGAAAGCTTTCTTTCTTGTCATGGATCTGGCCTGCTGCTCTGTCGGGGAGTGTCTTGTGGTGTCTGTCTCGTCGGGCATCGTTGGCTGGCCCAGCATGACTTGGGCGTTTCTCGCGGAAGCGATTTCCCGTCAGCACATGCTCCTGGCGTGCTGAAGTAAGAAGATACGAGCAGTACACTCCAAGCAGCTCTTTCTGAGATCGTGGTTTGCTGACACCATGCCGCCCCACTAGACCACTCGGCTCAACGGGGAACAAAGAAAAGGGCACCCAGTGGCGCTGCACGACCTTCATCTGGGCCAGCGACTGGAACGGCGGCGGCTGACGCTCCTCGCCCCACCGGGCCACAAAGAAAAGGAACATAGGCAGCGAAATACTCACGAGCGCCGGAGATGGCGCTGCTTGCTCCGCCATCCCCCCTCTCTTCCACCCCTCGTCACACATCGAGCAAGACGAAGACCTGACCCGCCGCACTATTCTCACACTCTCACCCTGCCGCTGCAGTGCCACTCAGCTTCGACGGCCCCCTTCCTACACACCTCAACCCTCAACCCTCAATCCCAACCCACGCACGCGTAGAGCAGCAGCAGCACTGAGGAGCCCAAGTCCCGACCCCAGTCACATCACGCAGCGGCGGCGCTGCTGCTCGTCTCCACCCCCTCCGCGCCGCTACGAGAGATTGGAGCGCGCATGTTGCGTACCGCGGTGCTGTGCTGAGGTCCTGGTGAGGTGGAGGCATGGGGGCTGCGTGGGGTGGGGGACTGGGTGGATGGAGAGGGTGAGGTGGGATGGGAGGAGGTGGGTGGAGGGGTTGGTGGGTGGGATGGTGAGTGGGAGGTTGGGGGATGGGTTGGGTGGGTGGGGGGGATGGCTGGGTTTGGGGCATGAGGATAGGGTAACAGAGAGTCATTCGATTGATTTGTCAAGCGAGCTAAGCCCAAAGCAAGGGGAGTGTGGTTGAATATCACTGGCAGAAGTTCCGACTAACGATATTGTCCCGCCTGAATGTCACCATTCGCTGGAACAATAATAAGATGTGAGTAGCACGTGACGTGTGTTTACGTTGTGTAGCTGTCAGCATTAACACGACACTTTCTTCTTAAACCTGTCAGACAAGTCATCCCCAACATCCGATCATCGCTTGCCCGCAAGCTTTCTCAAGTCCTATCCAAACTAGTCTTCTCCTCTACGTCTCATGGATCAATCCAGCGCTGCTACTCGTAGCCTTGCAATACCCGCGTCTCACCCGCTTGTTCAGGCTGTCAAATCATCGGCTGAGTTTATGCGCGACTATGTCAGCTGTAAGTTATAGTTTCTGTTGCACTTTAAACAGGTTCGCTGACATTTCTTGCAGCTGCTATTACGCATTCTAAACTGTGTGACCAACAGTTTCTAGACGGGCTCTTAAGCTGTCTGAAGGCAATTTCTAACAGTTACATCCTGGATGCTACGCCCTGTCTCGACACAGTACCGGGCGGTACACATCTTCGAACTCCCCTCCTATCTGCGAGACAAGAGCTCTTGGCCGTGATCCTGGAAGAGTGCGACCGCCTTCACCAATATCCAAGCCTTTTTCAGACCGCTGGGAGTCGAAAGCGGTTCTTCGATAAGGTCTATGAGCATGCCTTTCAAATCAAGTTCACGACAGCTATGAAGCAGGATGCCCAACAGTTGTTTCTCGACGAACTGTGGGATCTGAGCCAAGACACGTTGCCTGAAGCTCGTCCCCCATTCGAAGAGGATCTAGATTCTTGGAGTCAATTCCTTAGCAACATGGCGCCTGGTGGTGGCATTCTCGCAGCAACAAGACCAACAGCCAGACCTGATCATCCATTCGAGTACGCCCTTCAAGTCCTCCCAAGGGGCGGACAGCACCTAGTGCGCGAGTGGATATCCGCCTTTCGGAAGGCTCAAAAAAAAGCCTATGAGGTGAGTCACTGACAGCCCATGACATTGCGGGTTGAGTGTTAAGAGAGGCAAACACAATTAGCTAACACAGATGCTGGGGCCTAAAAGGCTACTCCTGAGCAGAATGTTCCTCGCTTGATGGTATGTTTAATCTCTACCTTCTTTTAGGTAACTCGCTCAGTCGCTCACTGTTCACGCAGGCGGTTGGTTACCCTTGGGTGATAGGACGGGAGTACAAGGGGCTGTATAGCCAATATCGCTTCCTCAATTCAGTAAGTATTCTATGTTGACGGAAAGAAATCGCCTAATGTTGTACAGTCGAGGATGAGACCAAATCCATTCAATATGGTAAGGGTGTATGACGTCTCTTAATGATCGAATCTCTAATCGGTCTCTAGGAAGGAGTCATGGAAAACGACCTGGATGTAGTTGGACTTGCAAAGACTTTGGAGATCGTTAGAGCCAACCACAAGGGGTCGCCCATGTGGCTAAGGAACCTGGATGCGCAGCTTTTCCCGCATGTCTTTACGTTTACCGAAGTCAAGACCAGGGTTCGGAAGTGGCCGGAGAATGGGCAGTAGAGGTGTGGGATGCAGATAGTCAGAGCGGCGGTCATTGGAGTTTTCTGACACATGTAAAAATCGTGGGAAGCAAGTGCTTCATCAAAGTGGACGAGAATGCGATATGCTAGGAAGTGAAGTGAAATCGTTCAATTTGGGAAAACTTCGACTCTTCGTCCCGCCAGCCTCCTTCTTTATTTCGATTCATAAACATCCTTCCTGGCAAGACAACTCCAGCTTTGTCTCACTCCTCTGCTTTGTTCTCGTTCTTTCAAACGCCGCCTTACTGCATTCCACGACCCGCTTTATTGCTATAGCAACCAAGGAACCACAGTCCTGCTCGTTCATTGTCACCGGCGAAATAACATTCCGCTCACTCTCACAATGGCGACTGCGGCGCTTCCGGATGTCTTGTCTCAGTATCTGAAGACCTGCACCCCCAAGCAGATTGCAGCGATCATCAGCAACCTCCCTGCCTTTCAAACCGAAGGCGCAGCGACTGTTACCGCGAATGCCTCCAACGGTAGCATGAACTCCCTTGCGCCCACAAAAGCGAAGAAACGCAAGCTCGCATCGGACGACAAGGCTGGAAAGCCCTCCAGACCTCTCAACTCTTGGATGGCCTTTAGATGTGAGCGAAAAAACTCGAGTGACAAAACGGCACTGCTGACACAACTCTAGCCTACTATTCTCCGATCTTCATGAAGACCCAACAAAAGGCAATCTCTGGCCTCATGACGAAGATGTGGAAGGAAGATCCATTCAAGGCGAAGTGGACCGTCCTGGCTTCAGCCTACTCTGCTATCAGGGACAACGTCGCCAAGTCTGATGCACCTTTGGACGAATTCCTTCGTATCTCTGCGCCGTACATTGGCATCATCGAGCCGGTCGCGTACCTTGAGGTGCTTGGCTGGAAAATCACCAAACTTGAAGCTGACGTGACCGCTCTCGTACGAGTTTTCACGCCTGACCTCAACTCCTTCGATGCCAGCATTCGTACGTCTAACCTGTCGGTCGACGACCTTGCCGATCGTTGCTATGAAATTGGTTACATTGCCCTCGAGAACCTCAATGCCATCAAGACACGCTCTCTCTCAATGGCAATGAATCCGGCCATGACTGTCGCGCAACCAGCCGTGAAGAAGGTCAAGGCTGCCCCTACTCAAAGTTCTCCTCCTCAAGAGCAACCCGCTATCGCTCAGTCTGCGATCAATTCGGGCAATGATTTCGACTTCACGACGCTTGGCGCCATCTTTCAGCCAGGCAATGCCTCGACAACCACAGCAGAACTCCCTCAGGTGGCGGCAGAAGTCGGACACATCGTTAGCGTTGCTGAGACTCAACTAGCAGCCGCTGATGGTATGATGGCGAACGACTTCAGCGTTCAACACCCAAACGCGAATGGCCATGGTGCGAGTGCGACGGTGTATCAGCAGCAGTTCACCATCGCTGAACCCGACTACTCCTCGTTCCATCCGGATTATGACTTCGGTACCCCGTCCTTCGATCCGCTTGTTGGAGATGCGTTCGACATCTACGACATCACCAACCCCGAAGAGTTGCTCAGGAACTTCCTGGCTAACAGTGTCTTCGACCTGTAGGCAAGTCAACCCGTGCGTACTGAATTCTGATCAAAGGAGAATTAACAATATTCTAGACGATCACATGGACGATGACTTGCTGGCCGCGCAGTCATCTGGAGGCCTTTTGGAGTAGATACCTGGTTTGGAAAATCGGAATACCCCGAGCGTAGTTCTTCATGTACACACGGAGGCGATCGTGATCCCAGAATGCTCAACCTAGAATGCTCATCCTGTCTTGAGAGCACAGCGTCCCATAGCAGAGTCACGAGTTTCCCCTTAAGGGTCTCTCGCCATACAGCTTCTACATAGCTCTAATAAAACGTGCATATCACAAAAAAACTTCCGAGGTACATCTGTATCGTAGCTCTCCACAAGATTGTGTCCAGTGCGAAGTCGCATCGATCCTCCAAATGACCGCTCAAACCTAGGCTCTTCCGCCGCCTCCTCACACCAGCAGCCCAACTTCGCAGGCTCTTTAGGGAAGCCAATGGCCGATACTGCACCACTCCTGCCACAGCGATGGTGACAGTCGCCGCCTTCCTCGTCATCTACATCCTCGGTGGCCTCTCCTTGCCTCCACTGGCCGCCCTCGCTGTGCTAGGCTACATCTACCTCACGTCGTCGAGTCCGCCCACGGATCGCCTCCTCGAAACAGAACCCACCCTGCCCACCGAGGGAACGAACCACAATGTCAAGAGGCTCACAGAGAACCTGCGCGAACTGCCCGAGCAGGGCGCCGCGTCCACCCGCGCGGCAGACGTCGCTGCTGGCTACTTCGCTGTATGCAGAGAGTACGTCCCAGGCGGCATCAATGGGAAGCCCCCAGAGCGAACGACCCCCGCCGGCGATATCGTAGCGGCGGAGAGCCCCAGCGTGTACCAGAGCATGTACAGGAGCATATTCGAGCGTGCAAAGGGCCAGGGAGCTACAGCAGAGACGGGGAGGAACAATGCACGAGCTGTGCGGAAGCCTCGCAATGTGTTCTTCGTGCTGCTGAGGCAAGTGGCATGGCAGATGATACTGGAACTGTGGCAGCGCGCTAACGGGTTGCAGACACGGCCACTTGATGCTCTTCGACGACTCGGAGCAGCTCGAGGTACGACACGTCATTGCCCTCGCACATTACAATGTCGACATTTACGGCGGCAAGGAGGTCATACCGGAGGGCGAGCTGTGGGTCAAGCGGAATTGCATAAGGCTCACTCGGAAGCGGGAAGAGACGTTATCACCAGACACGAAGCCGTTCTTCTTATTCTCAGATAACTGCTCGGAGAAGGAGGACTTCTATTTCGCTCTACTGCAGAACCAGGAGCCTCAAGCCGGTGACACGGCAGTTCCACCAATACCGCTGACCTTCGATCCTGCCCATATCATAAAGCTCATCCAGCAACTACATGCTTCAAGGGAGAACTTCCAGACTCGGTGGATCAATGCCTTGATTGGCAGACTGTTCCTCGCACTCTACAGGACACCACAAGTAGAGGACTTCATCCGCATGAAGATCACCAAGAAGATTGCGCGCGTCTCAAAACCAGCGTTCCTAACGAGCGTGACGATCCAGAAGATTGACATGGGAGACTGCGCGCCGCTCGTGACCAACCCAAAACTGAGGGAGCTGACGATTGATGGTGATCTGACTATTGAGACCGACGTCAGCTACAAAGGCAACTTCAGACTGGAGATCGCCGCTGTGGCCCGCATCGAGCTCGGTTCGCACTTCAAGGCCCGAGAGGTCAACCTCCTTCTCGCTGGCATCCTCAAGAAGCTGGACGGCCACCTCCTGCTCCGAATGAAGCCTCCACCCAGCAACCGGCTGTGGATCTCCTTCGAGACGATGCCTGATATGGAACTCTCCATCGAACCGGTTGTGAGCTCACGTCAGATTACCTACGGTGTCATCCTCAGGGCGATCGAGAGTAGAATCCGTGAAGTGGTGAGCGAGACACTGGTGCTTCCCAACTGGGACGACGCTCCGTTCTTCGAAACGTTTGACCAGCAAGTTCGAGGTGGGATCTGGAAAAATGACCCTCCGCCGAAGGCAGCTGGGAGCGGCAATGTTGCTGCGCCGGAGCAAGACCCGGTTGAACAAACCATCAGCTCTGACGATTCGGATGTTTCCTTACTTACCTCCAGATCCAACTCTCTGAGTGTGCCTGATGTCGCTCTCCCCGAGAGCATTTCGAAGCGTCGCGCAGCCCAGTCCACGCTGTCGTTGGATGGAGCTGGGAGTACGACTGCAGCTGCTGCTTCGGGTGTGGAAGTACGGCCACGAGCCAAGAAGCCGAAAGCAATACGATCAGCATCCTTCTCCGGCAGCACTTCACCAGTGGTTTCCGTGGATCCTGCTACGGTTGATGCAGTCAAAGACAGCACAGCCAGACGACAGCAAGACGCAGCATCGAGAATGAGAGGCATATCCCTACGATCGCCGCCAACATCGCCTGTCCAAACACACCATGAACCTTTAACAGAGGCAGTATCTGGTTCGGATGAACCGCCGCCATCCCCGACCCCAGGCGACCTCGAGAAAACTGCTCAAGGTCCACTGACTGGGAATTCATCCCCCGCACAATCCACAAAGACATCGGTCCCCAAGCGCAAGAGCGTCGCCTCCAGCATCGCGAGTTCCGAGACCGTCTCCACGGCCACCACCTCATCGACCACCGAGCCCAACCCCTCTCACTCCCCCGCCTCCCCCGCCTCAGCCGAAAAGCGCACCCCCATCAGCCGCCCCCTCGCAGCCGCAAAATCCTGGCTCCAAAACCGCGTCCCCTCCCCCGCTCCTTCCACCGCCTCCGCCTCCCTACCCAACCCCCCGCCCTCCTCGCGCGCCACCGCCGACGCCAACCCAGCAGACCAAGTCTCCGACCGAGCCCCCACGGCACCCACCCCAGCAACATCCCGCGCCCCCTCTCAGCCCATCGGCCGCGGCCGGCCGCTCCCGCCACCAGGGACGCCGCTCCCGCCGCCCCCGCGCGCGGGCAGGAGCGCGTGGACGATATCGCCGCTCGCGAACATCGGGATGGGCATCGCGAAGCGGCGGCCTGTGCCGCCGCCGCCGCTGCCGAGGCGAGGGACGCCTGGCCAGGTCCAGGGCCAGGGGGAGGGGAGACGGGAGAGTGTCGACACCGCGGCTGGGAACGCGGGCGCGAGTGGGGTGCGTGCGAGAGATGTGGCGGAGCGGAGGATATCGGCCGCGAGGGCGCAGAGTCTCGAGGGGAAGGAGGAGGTGCTGCTTGTGCCGGCTCCGGAGGCTGAGGTGCCGGAGGCGGCGGGTGGGGATGACGGGGCGGTGGAGAGGGACATGCCTGAGGGCAGGGCAGGGGAGGCAGATGATCAAGAGGACAGGGATGAGCATGGGGACATGTCGACGGCGGAGCAGATGCACGACGGAGATGGGGAGGGGGATGTCGCGGCTGGCGGTGCTGAGGCGAGGTAGCTGGATCACGAGTTTGGTCGTTGCAACATACCCGGCGTAGGTAGGAACACCGTCGGGAAGCACGCAGTCGTTCGACGGTCACTTCATCCTGAGATACCCATGGGGCCGTACCTCCTGTATCAGTTTCATCAGGCGCTGCCCAGATTAGATGCAAAATGATAAGATTAGCGAAGTTTTACGAGAACGGACGAGGCGGGCAAACGGCGCAAAGGTGGCCGGGTCGAGAGGGGGGGAAATATGCATAAGTCACGTGAGGGCCTCAGAATGATACGAATATCGAATTCCCCTGCTGTTTCTTTAATGTGTGGAGGTAGAAAGGCAAATAGAAAATGACACAGCGGGGCTACGCAAAAGCATCCTAGCCTACACCTTCCGCGCTCCGAACAGTCCAAGATTCAGCGCAGTGTCATTCGCACCAGTGTTTGATGATGAGTCCGGCAAGATCTCCCAGCGCCTAAGCACGAACGACGTCGTTCTCTGAGTGGAGCTGCCGCTGGACTGCTGGCCAGCCGCGGGCGGATTGTGTTGCTGATGGCTTGTGCCTCCCTGAGAGACTGGTAGCGACGTCGGCGGTGCACCTGCCATGCTTCGACCTTGTTGCGATCTTACACCAACATGACTCTTCTGACCTTCTTCGGTGCTGGTCGTAGCCTTGGGATTTGATGTACGCTCAGCGAGGAGATGCGGAGAACTCGAGAGGCTCAGCCAGCCGTCTGGATCGGGGGAGGAGCCGAAGATGGAGCTAAGACGCGTATCCCATAGAACGTTGTGGGCGTAGATCTTCTGCATCTGGGCCTGAGCATCAGCAGTAGCGGCTGCAGGATCAAGTCAGCAGATGTTCGCCGCGCTAGTCAGCCTAAGTGTCGTGGTGGATTGGGAGCACTTGCCGTCAAAGAAGCAAGCCAGGAAGTCTGCCACGTAGTCCGCGGCATCTTGATACAGAGGAGAGTCATGTTTGCTGAGGATAGAACACGTGGTATACAGCAGATTCATAAGCTGGGAGGAGCCAGAGGTTGTGCTCCGAAAGGGGCCTTCATAGGCAATTACGAGGTCAAGAAGAGTGCGTATCCTGCGCAAGAGCACTGTCAGCACGAGCCTGAGATTTGGGGAGGACGCTTGCAGACCATGTGTTCACCTCGTCGACATCTTTATCAGCCGGCGTAGTCCCGCCTCTCTCCTGAGACTTTAGCTCTCCGTTCGCATCTTTCTTCGGGACCAGTGTCCCAACAAGCGTTCTCAGCTTCTGCATCAGTGCACTGGTGAATTGAGTGTCGTCGTCTTTGGAGCTGGAAGTGCTGTAGTGAACAATTACCAAGTATTTCTTGATGGTCGTCTTGTCCATTCTGAACGAAGGGCCGCTAGGAGGCAATGCAGAAGCATCGACTTCTCCACTCCAATTTGGGACGGCGGACAGAACTTTCCACTTCGCGACATCGCCAATCTTTAGCATGTTAGCTGCTCACTCTGTCTGGTACACACGGTCTAGATAAGACATACCTTGCGGAGGTAACTCTGTTCAAGACTACCCAGCAGTAGCGAGGCGAGAGACTGGTCTTTGTCCAACAATCCACTAATCGCTTCGAACAAGGCGTTGACAGTCTCGGATTCCGTAGTCTCGGAGGACGGTCCGTCTTCAGCGAGCATTTGCCGAAGCTGGAGCTGACAAAATGGCAGCGAGATCTCGTCGACTGACTCCACTATACGGCGTAATCTCACGGCTTTCGATGCTGCTGTAAATGTCGACTGATCAGCCAGCCCACTCATGCTGCTGTAGTCAAAGGGAAACTTACAAAGGTTCTCATTGCCATTGGTGAGGTCCTGAACCATCTTGCTAATGCTCAGACTGGCTTTCGCATTCGAGCCTATGCCAAACACAGTGGCGAACTTATGCGCATCGTCTAGGACCGCCTGTCTTAGCGCTGAGAGTAGGCGCCTACTTCGCAGCAGCTCGCAAGGGGTAGCTTGATAAGCTGCGACGTCTTGGGAGTTGAGCACAGTCCGTACAAGCTCTAGAAAGCCGCTGTTCGGGTTCCTACAGAAAGCTTGCCGCGCGAGTCGACACCGGTAGACATCCTACAACTCAGAGTCAGGACGCTCAAAGATATCACGGAATCACGAGATCTGACGTACCTGAACTTTGCCAAGCTCAGAAGCATGTTCACTCGGCAGAACCGCTTCCAGAGCCCTCAAGGCAAACATGGCGCCGTTCGGCGCGTCCCTGACGATTACCTCAGCGGTGCGCCCGTTGGCAAAACGCACGAACTCGGCCAAGTCAAGACACCCTGCTGCAACGAGTGCAGATACGACTGGGCGCATATTGTTTCCGTAGGTGTGTTGCGAGCACCCCGAGAACCAACCGTACAGAAGCTGATTGAATAACTGACTGTTCAGATGTCGGAGACGACGGAACAACGGCGCAGGCGCGGTATTAGCTCTCTCATTTTTGGCACGCTGCGTGCAGGTGCGGGCGATAAGGCTGTCAAATATCTGTCTAAACTTGTGTTCATCCACACCGGTGGCGTTTTTGGCCATCCATTCGAACGCCTCGTCCGACATAGCTTCTATATCTGTGGGGAGCTCGAATGTATGTTCCGAAGCTGGTGAGCAGACCGGATTCGTGTTCTTCTGCCCGCATCGCACCATATGACCGGAGAGCTGTTGTATAACTTCAACGTCGGTGTCGACACGACAAGAAAGCTCACTGAGAGCCTGATAAACTTCGCGGTCGATCAGATCTTCAGCGTCCTCCTGGGTACAGCGTGCGAACAGCTTGCGTGAGACCGGTCCGAAAGCGCCCATGATAGAGAAGACCTCCTCGTGGTCTGCTAGCGTTTCTGCTATGGTGCAGAGTACTGTTGGGTTGGAGGAGTTGACAGCTACTTCTAGGATATCGACAAGTACAGAGAAGTCCTCCAGTTGCTCTATAACATCCCGGACGAACTTGAACTGCTCGCCGGTAAGGCGGAGCAGTAACGGAACCATGCCGGGGTTGTCTCCTTGATATCCTTCGCCTTCGACAAGTTCGTAAGCAGCCAGTCCAGAATTAGCGGTTTGCAAATCGCTCTTTGTCGTTCTGTTGAGGAGTTCAGCGCGTAACCAACGGGACAACTTTAGCCTTGCGCTATGTGTGAGCTTGCTTGAGGTAACATAGTCGACCCTTGAAGACTTTGAGAGAGAACCGGAGAAGGTGGGAACGTGCTGCGCGATAAATGTCTTCGCAGCAGCAAGCAGTTCTGAATCTGCCTCGTCTGTGTGGCCAATTCCGTCCACAATGTTATTTCGTAAGTAAAGAGTCGGAGGCGGCAGATCGAAGAAGGAGAATTCGAAGATTAAACGTGTAATGCATGGGATGGCCTTCTGTGTATTAGCGATAATCGGCTGTGAGAAAGTAGAATCTTACATCAGCCGTAAAGCGGCCCACTTCATGGGCACCGATCGAGATCAGAAATCGTAGATATCTGCCGACAAAGAAGTCCTTCGTCCATGCAAGCTCGACTACAATCCTGAACAAGTTACGTTCCTCGATATCCAAACGCTGGTCGGCTCTTGATAGATACCGTAGCAGGAGACCATCTGTATCAAAGCCCTTTGATCTCCAGTAGCGAAGAAGGCCTGTTGCCAGATAGAGTCTATGGTGGCCCTGACGATATGCTGAAGACGCCCAATGCAGAACAACCTCGGCAGCTTGCTCCCAGTGAGGCACCATTCCGAGAATATCCGATACGAGACCTGCGAGTTCAGAGACATGCTTCTGTGCGTCTAGATAATCAACCAGTCTCTTCTTAGGCGAGAGTGGATGGGCGAGCCGACTGTCTTGAGGGGATATACGCGCGTTCCGCCTTTCCACCAAACGGAGAGCACACTCAAGTGTGGGATCTTGATCTGCAATCAGAACCAGTAAATGCTTATGCTTGCCGAAGACCTTGGGCGCTATGAGGCACTTGGGGTGCCTGACGATCAAACACGCAACCAGCCGACGTATCTCATGTGCTATAGGGGCGTACGCCTCGGAATTATCGTGTCTAGTCGCCTTGGATAAAAGGATGTTAGCATGTTGTACAAACGGACATGCCCTCAACGTACCATCTCAAGATGATGAAGAAGACCTTCCGCCAGGCACCAACCGCGTTGACGGCGGGATACCAGATCATCCCAGTGTATCCGTATCAACAGAAGCCAGATTGGGATTCGGTCTAGTCCACTACGCTCGAACGACGCAAGAAGCCAGTTCAGATAATGATCATGGTCCACGAGGCGTTCTGAGAACAGGTGCGAAGCTAGGCGTATCCTGAAGGTGTATGGGTGAGTGGCCGTACGGTATTCATTTCCGTTATTGACTTACGTGTAGGTCATTCTGGCTTTCCAAGTCCCGTCGCAGTCGGCTTCGACGACATTGTCGACAAACTGCTCTACGTGCGTTGTCCATTCTCTGATCCATTTAAGCTCTCCGGCTGAGCCCATGACTCCCGCATATCCTTTCCTCTTGAACGCGCGCATCTCGTTCGCTCCAACACATTTGACCAGCCAGACGGCTCTTGAAGATGGGATGTTCTTGCTCAAACACTGCTCAAGCAAACCTTTGCCGCGGATACCGTGCGGAATCGTCCGGCTTAAAAGACGCAAGGCCACTGCAGGCTTTGCAAGCTCATGAAGCCACTCCTCTCTCTTCTTATCTTTGAAGGTGACTCTCGGAGGGGGTTTGAAGGTTGATGTCGCTGATACGCGTCCTGTAGCCTGTCGCTTCTCCAGAAGTGCAACAAGCAAGGACGACATCGTGTGCAAACCTGACTTGTTCTTGAGATGCCCCCAAAGAGAGGGTCTTGCGGTCTGCGACTCATTCAGATTAGGTTTCTGCTGTTCAAAGTAGCCTGAACGTATCACGTGCTCAGAGATGGAGTCCTCAGCATGCTCGCCTGTCCAAGGGTAGAAGTCGACATTCTCTGTGTTTGAATCGTCAGCTTCATGTTTGAGCTGTCTGATCGTATTCATGCCTACTTCCGGACGGGAAGCGCGTAGCTTCGTGTGGCGTCTGGATAGCCAGCGCCTCTACCGCTTTATCCTGCTTCATTTCGTAGTTGGTGGAAGTCATTGAGCTCGGCCTGGAAGCATGTTCGTTTGCATGACGGCCTGGTCTTGCAGGAAGCTGCGCCGAAGCTGTTCTGGCCAAACGTGATGCATTCTCATAAGCATCTCGTATAGGAGCTGATGGTCCTTGAGAAGAGCCAAGTGCGATTAATAAAGAGCCTTCCGCTGACGTCTCAGGCTTCGTTTGGCCGTTGCGTTGACCGCGTTCTCTCTTCGGCATGACGCCAGTATTGACGGTGATTTCATGGGAGCCCACAGCTCCGAGTAGAGCTCCTGGGCTCAGCCCATCCTGAGATACCGCCGTATCTACCGCAAGCGCCTTGTCTCCGTCTTTAGTTAAGTCGATAACGTCTTCCGTCGTTCGACTTTCACTGACTGGGTACGACGAGGTGGAGAGCTGTGAGCGTGCTACTGACAGTCGGTGAGAATTGCCACTCGTTGAGCGCTGAGGCTGGAGGTTGGGCGTTAGACGAGCAGTCATGGCCAGCGGGGACTACATATGATTCGAGTAACGAGAGCCGGGAGAAGCTGGTCGGGAGATTGGTAGCGCATAAGGGAGCGCAGCTGCAAAGGGCTGACTCGGGAAGATTGTAAGGCAGGCACTTGTACATGGAGCAACTACTGTATCTCCAAGAAGGAGAGCTGCGCAAGCCCGAATCAATGTGCGCTTTGCCGAGTTGGATGTCACAGTCCCAAGTCTAGGCCACCACGATTGTTCGCTTTCATATCAGGGTGATGTCAGATACTGAGATGTTGATTATCGAAGCGCAAGCAGTGGCTCTGTGCTGGCCCTGCGTTACTGTTTTGTAGCGGTGATGGGAGGTGATCAGGGTGGTTCGGTGATGGCTTCGGGCCGATCGAGCTTTCGGCCAGTTTGCCGTCCATGGTCCAAACTTGGGACATCCATTTCTGTCCACAAATTATCCGCCATAACTTGCAGCTCTGGGACCGAATTACATCCTGTCTAACTATTTCGAAACTCTCAGTGCGAAACACTAGCACTATACTATCTACAGCAGGAAATTGGGAACCTGCGAGCATGGCTTCCTCTAGGAAGGATATGCGGAGGGATGACCTAGGTAATCATCAACTATTCGTCTCAATTTGGCTGTTCTTATAAAGCAAGCTAACATCTTCCCGTGCAGTCGTCCCTTTCGTAGAGCCTGAGAAAGACAAGCCTGATGCAGACATGAGCAGTATAGAGGCCCCCTCCCGGAAGCGCAGCAGCGCCTCCTTTCTGAGAGTGCCAATGTAACCGGCATAGGCACCATGGCGAGCACACTTCCTATGGCGGCCGTAAGTTCTCCGGCTGATTCCGTGAGAGTTTCATTTAATCCTCATATTGCGCTCTAGATCTTCACTCGCAACAAGTAAGATAATCGCGCTCTCATTCTCCAACAAGAAACTATTCTAAAAACGGTCCTACTTCAGGATAATCGGGTGGTATGTATAACACTCTTGCCAGCTCTTGGGAACCTTGCCATTCTAACAAGACCCAGGACGGCCGTCGTCTTCGCACTGCAATCCTGGCTAGGGGAATCGCCTGAACAGAAGCGGACATCGTCGACCCCTGGATACTTCTCAGTTGGAATGGCTTGTAAGTTGCTGTCCTGGTCTTCTCTTGCTTGATGCTGACTCAGAGCTTCAGTGATGTCACTCGCAGTGGTTAGTCTTGTGTCTCCTTACAGTCATCAGTAACGTGAGGCTGGGGTTCAGCCCGCTCTGACTGAACCCAGGCCTACCTACCGTTGTTCCTGCCTCCACCACCAGGCCGAGTTTCTGGAGGATCTGGGACTGAGGCTCCGGCCGCTGTGCCTTCCCCATGATCTTTTCAGTTATACACAGGAGATGCGGGAAATGATGGGGCATGTTTTGAGTAGGTTGTGTGTAGTTGCGCGGTTGAGTGGCTCTATTTGCGCACCTGTGTAGGTGGCCATTTCCTTATGGCGACGTTGTAGATTGGCATAGGTGTCAGTCAGACTGTTTGTACTTGAGTCAACATGGACTGCATCGACCTGGTTTATCGGACAAGACTCGCTGCTGCAGGTGGCAAGCCGATCATATCTACTTTGAACAGTGAAGTTTGCCACAACGAGTTGAGGCAGTGGCAAGGCTGGCCAGTCATGTTGCGGGCTTGGCATTCCTCGCATAACCTCCCGCCGGGGCCAAACTTCTTTCAACCTCCTCACCTCACCGAACAACACCAGTTACCTTCAGCCCAGCCTTACCAGCAGAACCCACAACCAAGCGACCAAGCCGTGCTTTCTACTACAACTCTACTTCTCTCGACCCCACTTAGCAGACGTCTTTCGACAGCGGTATTTTATGTCAACTATCCAAAACCTCAAGACTTTCGGTACGTTGGGTGCCCCGCCTCAGCCCCTCCATCGCCCACCTCCGCCTGCTCAGTCGCGCAGCATGGAGGCAGTTTCCTACCAGCCATGTTGTCGCGCAGAGGCGAAGGGCTCAAAGCCACTCTCGGTTCGATGCTGAAGTTCAGCGCTGACGCATTTACTTGCAGACCCCTTCGCGGAGGCCGACGAAGACACAGGCGAGGTCAACAAGCAGTCTCAGAACTACATCCACATTCGCATTCAACGTACGTAAATCATATTCCGCGCTGCGTCCTGCCTTCCGAATATTCGGGTCGGCTCTCCTGGCTCGACTGTTACATCGCCGTCCCGTCGTCTTGAGAGCAGTGATAGCTGACGTTGTATTTGACAGAGCGCAATGGTAGAAAGACCCTGGTCAGTAGTTCATCCCGTCCATGGCGCCGCGTTGTCGCAGTTCGGGGCTTACCTTTTCTGCAAACAGACCACTGTCCAAGGATTACCTTCTCGCTTCGACCGTAAGAACATGCGGATCCTGTGCAGCTATGTCATACTGACGGAAGCGACTCCAGAGAAAAAGATCCTCAAGGTTATCAAGAAGAAGTTCGCTTGCAATGGCACCATTGTCACCGATTCTGAGATGGGCGAGGTGATTCAGCTCCAAGGCGATCAGCGCAAGGATGTTCAAGAATTCTTGACCGACAAGAAAGAGGGTCTGGATCTCGATGCCAAGACCATAAAGGTATGGACGATGCAACCGACTCGAGTTCGTCATAGTGTCATTAGGCTAATAGTACACTTTCTAGGTCCACGGCTTCTGAGCCGAGAACGCCTCGACCCGCCCGCCCTGCCAGCGCCCCATCTCAAGCCACCATGAGATAAGGCTCCTGGTGCATCAACTCTAGCGGTATAAGGACGGCTGCGTGAGGAATGCGTACTGCACAACCGGCGCGTGGCTTGGTACTCTAGGTTTAGGTCTCACGTTTTGCTGAGAACTGCAAGTGGCGGTTTTCTTTTTCAGATGCGAATGGGTCTCATGATAGTACGACTTGATTAGTTTTTGCGTAGTATGCTAGAAAGGCCAGGTCAGGGCTTTATGATGCAACACGATGCAACGCACGCAGTGTTCTTTCGAGTCACTTGCTGCGCTCTCCAAAATCCCCCAGTTCCAGCTTCCAAAATGCGTCGTGACTAAAACATGAGGCTGGTGTCGAACGTAGACAACAACAAAGCCTGATGCTGATGCCGCGTCGCCTGATAAGCCGGTGTGCGTATGTTCGTGAGCCGGCGGTCCAGTATTAACTCTCTACGCTCCCCTGAGTAATAGGTAAGCTTGGTGCTTCGCTTTTGCGTTCAGCTAGCTCGAATCACGTGATATCGCGGCGGGTTCTAAGCTTTGAATGTGGACCGGCAGCGCCTTCGAGCATCATAACCATGATTCTTCGTTCGACGATGTTTCCGCGTTCGGCCAGCCGATTCATACGCAAATCACTACCTTCAGGATGCAGCTGCACCAAGCTCCCACGCATCCAGGCGTGCCAGTTCTCGGCCTCGCGAGTTTCGCAGGTCAAAGGCGCGTTCTCTGCCATTACTCCTAAAGACAAGCCGCAACGAAGCGTGAAGGCGGTAGCTCAGGAACAAACTGTTGCGGGGGGACTGCCAAATGACATAGGGCTGCTGGAGGGTCTGTATACCCTTTCGGCGGACGCTTCATATCTTTTACAGAACCTTGGAAAAGCGTCGAGGGCCGATGAGCCGCTGAAAACTAAGTGCTAACGGCTGTCGCAGGCACCTTCATCAAGCCTACCGGCTACAACAAGCCGCCCATTTTCTCTGATACGCGAAACCGATTGAAGTTGGAATGGCATTGGATTAAGAAACGCTGTACGGAATTATTTAGGTAGCTCAAACCCAAGCTATCCCGCCGCCACGCCACCATAGTGTCTTACAACGCACCGAAGAATCCCTCTTAGCTGATACGTTTGTTCTCGTAGCTTGTACATATACAAATTCTACATTCGAAAGACCAAGCCCCGACCACGACTCGAGAAACGCTCCGCCTTGGCTCGCCTGGCCACCGCCATGCACAAGGACATGTATACCGCATTCGCCGCATCCGACGTCGAGACACTTCGCCGGATATGCGCTGAAGGCCTCCTCGGCTCCCTGCGTGCCCGTATCTCACACCGCGCGCCTAACGAGCGCTTCAACTGGACGTTACATCAGATGATTGGCAAACCTCGGGTCGTGTCGAATCGAGCGGCCGTGCTACCCTTTGGGAAGGAGACAGCATTACGACAGGTCGTGGTGAAGATACGGAGTCGGCAGAGCTTAGGCCGCAAAGTTGTGCAGCCAGGCGCAAAAGGGAAGAACGTACCAAGTGCGGCTGCAAGAAACACGTCAAGAAATTCGAAGAGCAGCAACCGTGAAGACAGCAGTCAGCTTAGCTCGATGAGTCAAGAGGATTTGGTCACCTCATCACATCCTGGAGAAGAGAAGGAAGTCACGGAATACGTGGTCATACAGCGGAGGATGTGGAATGGAAAGGAGGAGCCGTGGATACTGTGGGGCCTGACGGAGGAGACGCCTCTGGAGGCCGCGGTGGACACTAAGGCCACTTGAAGCGCTGGAGTAACGTCCTGCTGGAGCAATCGGTTCCGCAGTGGATGAAGCAATCTAGTTCATCGATACTTGGCATTCATGTCGGGGTCTCCCCAGCGTGAAGGCCGACAAGCCTTGTACACTACACTACACTACACTACACCAGGCTGTACCATATTGTAGAGTCATTCTCGCAGCTCCAGCCGGCGAGCCTTCGTTGATTTCCGGGCATAGCGAGGCACATCTTGTAGAAATCATGGTCGAACCATCACCTTTCTCACCCGCGCTCTATACTTGACTGTCTTCACTGGCAGATTTTAATCCACTGTCGTCGAACAGTAGACCACTGGCTGGTTGCAAGAACTGCTGGGGTGATATCAACAGCGATGGCGTAGGCGTCACGTGCTCAGCCCTGCGTCCCACCAGTTCAGCCCTACGATGACCCTGAGATCTGATCTTTGTGGCGAAGGAATCATCGATTCCCAACCCGTTACACCCGCGCAACTCACCTCCAACTCCACCCCCACAATGGCTGCCGCAGCGCCCAAATGCCGATGCCTATACAGCTCCTCCTTCCGTCCGTCCCGTAGATACCTCGCTGCTCCCTCTCACCCCTCTAGCGCCCAAACCCGACTCCTCGCCACCGCCGCACCAGAACCCTCACCCTCCACGCCCTCCACTGAATCAACGACTTCGAGGGGACCGCGACGCCACACAGCCTTCCGCGACACCCTCAATACCGGGCCCTCCTTCTCCGAGTTCGTCAGCGGCAAAGACGCCCCCCTCGCGCCCTCCGAAGCCTACGAGCTACGAACAGCGACGGTAGGCCCCGCCGGCAAGAAGAAAACCATAACGCGCCTCCCCGAATGGCTCAAGACGCCCATCCCCACAAACACAAACTACAAGAAGATCAAGCACGACCTGCGCGGGCTGGGCCTCCACACCGTCTGCGAAGAAGCCCGCTGCCCCAACATCTCCTCCTGCTGGGGCGGCAGCTCCAAGTCCGCGGCGACCGCGACAATCATGCTGATGGGCGACACCTGCACGCGGGGGTGCCGCTTCTGCAGCGTCAAGACGTCGCGCACGCCCCCGCCGCTGGACCCGCACGAGCCGGAGAACACGGCCGAGGCGCTGAGCCGCTGGGGGCTCGGGTACGTGGTGCTGACGAGCGTGGACCGGGACGATTTAGCGGACGGCGGGGCGAAGCATTTTGCGGAGACGATACGGCGCATCAAGGCGAAGCGGAGCGATATCCTGGTCGAGGCGCTGACGGGGGATTTCTGGGGGAACTTGGAGATGGTGGATGTGGTTGCGCAGAGCGGGTTGGATGTGTATGCGCATAATGTCGAGACGGTCGAGGCGTTGACGCCGGGGGTGCGGGATCGGAGGGCGACGTTCAGGCAGTCGTTGAGCGTCTTGCGGCGAGCTAAGGAGGCGAAGGAGGGCCTGATCACAAAGACGAGCATCATGCTTGGCTTGGGCGAGACGGAGGAACAGCTTTGGGAGACGCTGAGAGGTATGTGGACTTTTGCCTTTGTCACCTGCCCCCTATTCCGATCTCTCTCTCCAGCATCAAATACATCTTCTGACAATCAGACAGAACTGCGGAAACACGACGTAGACGTCGTGACCTTCGGTCAATACATGCGGCCAACCAAGCGCCACCTCCCTGTCCACGAGTACGTCACCCCCACGGTGTTCGAGCTGTGGCGCCAGCGGGCACTAGACATGGGTTTCCTGTACTGCGCTTCGGGTCCGCTAGTGAGGTCTTCATACAAAGCCGGCGAGGCATTCATCGAAAACGTGCTCAAGAAGCGCAACGCCGAGAAGCTTGGAGAGGCCGGACGGACTGAGTCGGGGCTACCGGCTGGCGTGATGGAGGAAGCTGGGGCTGCTTGAGCGTTGGCGAATGATTTGGGTGTGAAGGCGTTAGATCTGGGATAGTTGTGCGATTACGGCGCTGGGCAATGACAGGTTGAGGATGGCGCCGGAAATCGTACACATCCCTTTCCCAGTGTAAGCGCTCCAATTGAGCACGTACAACTCAACAGAATCAAAGTTGACAAGCCCGATGGTTCCTTCGCAGGTGGAGACTGAGATTTTGGTGTTCAAGGAACCTGTAGCTGTTCATCACACTATAACAACGATATTACAGCGTAGTAACTACTATGAGCACATGGGACATCCTCAACATTGTGCAAACCCCTCCTCAACTCCACAAGATTTGCCTTATATTACCACTCACCATGCAACTCCCCCGGGCACCGCTCGCCACACAGACAACTTTCCAACAACACCTGCAATCGCCTCCTCCCTGTGACCCACCTCCAGCGTCAACAGGACAAAAGTCTCGCCATCCACCCCACCCAGCCAGCTCCCCATACAAGCCCCCCACCCATCTCCCCTCAAAAGAACTTCCCCGGCTCCGCACGCCTCGAGCCCCTGACGACGCTGTCCCTCTCCTCGTCGCCAGTTCCCGTACTCAGTGCATCAGTACCGGCAAAGCGACCCGGGTCCGCAGGAATGGGCCGGTCAAAGGCATCGAATCGACGCCCCTGGACTTTCGCCTTGATGAAGAGGAAGGCGATGCGCAGGATGAAAGCGGCTAGGGCCCACAGGAGGGCGCCGACGGGGGCGGCGACGAAGGCACCTGGTGAGGTCAGCATAGTGGTCCCTAAACTGAAGCATGTATACACCGCTGGGGAGCGACGCCTCGCGGCCTCGTAACGGGACAGGCGTGCACGCCGCCAAAGAAGAGAACCCAAGGAACATAGGACCATACCAAAAGCGCCCCAATCCTCCGCATACAACCCCCCCTCCAGCAGAATCAACTTCGCTCCCCGTCCCGCATCCCCATAATACACCGTGCCAAACAGAAACACGGTGAAGATCCCCCCGAGCGCCCCGACAACAACCTCAAACCCGCGCCACCAGTAGCAGCGGTCCGACAGCCCGATGACGAGCACAGGCACCAACGACGCGCTGACAAGGTCGCTGATGAGGTAAATAGTCAAGATATCCGGGCTCTTGAGCGCGACAACCACGACGGGGACGATGATGAGCACGACCGAGAGCCGGATGAACCAGATGTTGAGGCGGTTGCGGAAGATGTCGTTGCTGCCGTTTGAGACCTGTCATCGCCGTTCTCTCAGCATAACTGACCATGTAGCCCCCCTCCCCCAACGAAACAAACAGCAACGGCTTGGCAGGGCGAGGAACTCCTGAGGGGAAAGGAAAGGGGAGAGGAGGCTCACCATGGCGCTCTGAAAGCTGTCGAAAGCCGCCGTGGACAGACTAACCACCATGACGAGCACGATGCCCACGACCCAGGCCGGGAGCTGCCCGAGCAGCAGGAAGAACGATATCGCGCCGTCCTGGGGTGGGTCGCCGGGCCAGGCGCCGGACCAGGCGGCCAGCAGACCGGTAGAGCCGACGAAGGCGAGGATGATGGCCACGGCGACGGTCGCGATGCCCGTGCCGATACGGAGGTCTTTGTCGGTGCGGGAGGCGAAGGTGCGGAGCCAGAAGCCCTGGATGTGCGGGTTGTTAGTGGGTGCTGGGAGGTGTGGGGAGGGTTCATGTGCGGACAGGGGAGCGATGAGAAGTGGTATCGACGGGTGAAATCTCTGCTAGAGAATGCGTATGAGACGTACCGAGATGAAGAAGACATTCGTGAAGATGGCTACCGGTAGGATGTACAGCAGCTGCCAGCCCAGAAGACTAGATTCCAAGAGCCCCGATGAGTCGACCAGGCTCTTGTCGATCTCAGTGTTTACGCCAACTGTGATGACCCCGATGATGATCAGGCCGACAACCATTGCTCCTTGAATGTTGTCTGTGATAAAGGAGACTTTGAATCCACCAAGTGCTGGGCCGGCGGTCAGCTAGAACCTAGTAAAGGGCTGGCGAGGACGTACATGTGTAGATGGTCGTCACGACGCACTGGACAATGACCGCCGGGAGCCCATCTAGTCCTGTCAAGGCACTCACAATCTGCTGCAGGGCTGACAGTTCGGCGACCATGTACAAGAACAGTGTGACGAGGCTATATTCCGGTCAGTGATCTATTCTCTTAACCAGAACCCGGAGACCCACGTCGCCAGACTCAGGAGCAAGGCCGTCACAGCGCCATATCGCTGCCTCGTCCACTCAGTCAAGACGAACCCCTCAGGGCATTTCCGTCGTATAATCGGCCCAAGGAGTCCGAAGAGCAGGAGCGGTAGCGATGAAGAGAGGGTATAGATGACCAAGCCCTGAACACCGCAGAGCGTAGCGATCTGAGGATAGGTGAAGAGGATACCAGAGCCGAGAGCTAGAGCCATTAGCAGTCCTCCGAGGAAATCGGAGGGGGAACAAGAAGGTAGAAGCGCGGCAGCACGTTCCTCACGCAAGCATTATCTTGATCGAGTAATCACGGTACATCTCAGCTTCGTCCGCGCCATCCGCAACGAACTGTTACGGATGGTGTGGATTCGGCGCCCGTAGTGAAGCCGCACAGAGCTACCATGTCACTCCTCTGCTCTCTGCCGACCCCAGGCGGTGGGAAGTGACAGAGAAGCTAGAGGAGCGGCAATGATAGCTCCGCGTGAAATCATCCGCATACGAACCTGATCATGGAACGGTATCTCGAACAGTACTCCGCCACAAAGCGTGATCAACCGCTGGGGCGCAGCACAATGCTGTCCCAGCGATATCCCGCGAGTCTTTCCCTCGTTGCTGCCGCGGCTTCGGACCAACAGGTTCCTCCTGTTCGCCCAGCCCACTCACCCGAAGCTATGAAGTTGAACGCGAGCGGAATGGCTGACTAGCTGTTAGCAGGTGGCCGAAGCAAGTCGGATACTGGCATCTCCTCAGAGGGAGTACCGCATGCGGAAGGGGGTGTCTCTGGAGGCCGAAGACACGGCAAGCTTGTGACTCGGACCTTTCTGTGTTCGATTGCTGGATAGAAATTCGGTCTTGCTTTGGTGACGGAGCTTCCATGCGATCAGGAGACCCACTACACTGGAAGCAGTATGTTAGCTAAAGGTGACTACGTTTCCTTCGCGCTGATAGGCATGAGACATACAGGAATGCTCCATAAGTCAGATAGATGATAGAGTTCGATGCTGCGAAGGATGGCACGCCCATAGTGGTAGATTCTCGATTGTCCAAGTTCTCTCGAGGGCCTGATGCGCTGCTGATACAGTAAATTCACAAGCTCAGTAATTGGGAGTTGTAGATACCCAAACAATGGGATGAATGGATGTCGTTTTAGACTTTCCTTACTTTTTGCTGGGCGTGAGCCTCGATCATGCCCCTCCTCCACTCAAGCCTGGCCAAGCATCGACGGCTCGCAGCTGCCCCCCCTGCCGCATCAACGCCCGCACGGAAGGTCCAAGCACAACACCATCACCACCCCTGCCGCTTCTAACTTCTTGTTCGACTCCGAGGAGGCCAGATTTGCTTCAGATCGTATGCTTCGCTGCTCCTCAAGTCCTCATAAAACTTTTCCACTGCTCCGTCCACAATGCTCGCTCGTGCCCCTACCGCAGCTCACAGCCGACGCGACTCGCGCTTCGCGACGAGAGCTTTCAGGTCACCCTCAATAGATCGTGTATCGAAAGAGGGATCTGAAGCTCCCTTACCAAGGGGGACCTCCTAGGAGAGTGTAATAGATACCACCGCTTCGACTTCTGGTTGCCGCATTTCACCAATCGCGACAAGACCGCATCGTTCAGATCCACGAACGCCGCGAGGAGATCTGGAAAACGCGAGGCGCCAGCAAGAAGGTGAAGAGCCATCTTCATCGGACAATCTAACCCTTTGGATGAGGCTTCTTTCGCGGCAAGCTCGGTGACCTTCAGCGCGATCAACCATCTGGATCTCTCTTCCAGATGAACCACCCCAGAACGAACAAGTGATGCTGACACGCGATCCAGCCTACCTGCAAGACATCGAGTACGGAAGCTCGATAGCGGAGAATCAGTCTTTACAGCTGCTGCTGCTGCTGCTGCTGCTGCTGCTGCCGCTCACCTCGATCCAAGAATACCTTACTCCGAAGGGCGACGCGCGTTCGCTATGGCCCAGAAGCGCGCGATGATACCCGCCGCACCCTCCCGAGAGTCCGCACGAGCCTGTCTCTTACGATCCGAACGTCCTTCCAGCCACGGTAGCAAAGACGTTGGTAGCTGAATCAATTCGGCAGACTGCATCAGCGCGTCCAGTAGTGCCCGCGTTGGAAGGCTGCGAAAACTACACCACCTCATCAAGGAGGTGAAGCGATCAAGCAACGCCTCCTCTTCAGGTATCGCGCCCTCGGTACTCGATGGCAGCGATGGGACGAGAGGTTGACCGCTTCTTCCGAAGACACTATCCCGAGAAGGGCAGCGACCTCCTTTTAGCGGTCAGGAAAGAAAAAGACACAGCACCCGCATGTCTCGGGCCAAGGCTTCCAAAGCGGGTTACTACCGGACGGCCGCATGTGTTCCGACGGGATAAAGCTCGCCATTCCGGGACAAGGGGCCGAGCGGGTGACAGTCGAGCAACGAGATTAACGGATGATAATCCAGAAGACTCCGGCGACGCGTCTTTTTTCGGGACAGGAGCTCAGTCGACCCTTCCTTCCTGACGCCATTGGAGCTTGGTACTTTCTGAGTGAGGAAGTCGGCTCGCGATATATATTGCACCGGCTGTTGAAGTGACTCAGGGGATTTGCTGAAAGAGGAGGGCCCATACTGTAAGACGCGACAGAGAAGTTCAAGTGGCATCACCTCATGGGAACAATCAAGAGAAAGCCACTTTTGATTGTTCATTATCAGCCTTGACGCCGCAGTCTGCTGCTACATAACCTGAGAGGCGAGAAGCCTCATGTGTACTCAGCATGAGACGAGGCTCAGCGTGAGATGTGAGAGCACTGACGCCTCAGTTCGCTGCTCAGAAGGCAACCCATGAAAGAGAAAAGCAATCATTAACCCATCCATCGCTAGCACTGGCGCACCAGTTCGCTGCTACATAACGTAATTCGCAATAAGTCCACTGTGTGCTCGGCATGAGATGAACTCAGCAAGAGACGGAACAGCGTGGCGACTTTGCAAACAGAGAAATGAAAAGAGATCCGACACTATGTCAAGGCAGATGAAGGCAAGAGGACCGACAACAAGGCCTAGACAGAACCCGCGCGAATCTGGAGAATCGAGTACAGCGAAGAAGCGAGCCGAATGATCAGATCCGAAAGGCCATGTGCAGAGGCAGACGCGACAGAACTCCGGCGGTGTGTTCAAGAGCAATGCACTACTTGTCCCAGTTCTACTGGGCTTGGTGGTGAGTAGCGAAGGAGCCGTTGATCCACTGGTTGCCGTTGCTGCCATTGGGTGCCAGATGACCTGGGTTCGGAACGTGGGCAACGTTCGTGAGAGCTGGCATGTTCTGGGCCGTCATGCCTTGGGTGGGCAGCGACATTGACATCCCGGACGCTGGCTGGGGCAAAGCCGGTAGATGGTAAAGCGCAGCTGAGGTGGCGGGGAATATGCTAGAGCCTGGGTACGGCGCAACGCCTGCTCCCGGAACATACATGTTCGAAGCACCCATCGGGTAGCCCGGAGGAGGAATGCCCATTTCGCGACTGGCGGACATCCATTGTGCGAACAAGGCTGAGTACGACGGAGCATCCTGGCGATCGCGGCGCTTGAACTCAACTCGCACCCTTCTGTTGTTGCCGATCAGCAGCGTGCTGCGCTTCTCAGGGTCAGCGAAGTCTCTCACTTGAGGGAAATTATCTTACCAGGCTGCGTACAGCACGCGTAGCGTTTTGCGGGCGAAAGTACGTGATGTACGCGTAAGACGTGAATCCTACGAATACTTGTCAGCGTGGCTTGTGCAACAGACGGCGAAAGACTCACCATTCCCCGGCCTCAGCCTGAGTTTGATGGTCTCAACCGGTCCGAAGGCCTCGAAAGAGCGTAGAATCTCATGCTCCTTGATTGTATGGGGCAAGTCGCCAACAAACACCCCGCGTGGGTCATGGATCGTCGGATCGAAATACACCGGTGCGTGAAATGGAACCGGACCAGAGTAATGATGGAAGGTGTCTCCCTTCCTTGGCGCCTTCCTCTCCTCAACGCGGTACACCGCATGGTCGCGCAAGCCCTGGGACACTGTCAGTACGTGAGCCGGACGGCAAAGCAGGGCCGCAACGAACTCTACAAGCGTCGCTGTAGTCTTGCCAGAACGTGAACTTCGCCCAGATACCCCTTGGGAGACCCCACAACTCCCTCTCGGTGTCTGTAGGGTACCAGAGCTTGCAGACCTCACCGTACGATCTCAACAACCTCAGAACATCACCCTCGAGAGGCCGGGTCCCGTCACGACGTGTCAGATAGATTGACCCTGCTCGATGTGAGTTGGAAGACTCGGACAGGGTATTGGATTGGGCACTTACGGTGCGCATTGCTGCTCTCGACCCGACAGGGGCGATCGAAGATCAGGCTTCCGTTGCCATGCTCAATGGCAGCATCGGCATTGGCCTTGAGCTAGTCCAATCAGTCCTGAACCATTCGATGACTGGTTGATGCTTACCGTGTACTGCACAAACGCGTGAGGCATGTTCCGTAAATCGCGCTTGATCTTTACGTAGCAGTGTCCGAACTGCTTGAAGACACGAGTGACTTCATCTCCCAATTCTTCATCCGACATCCTGGTTGGAAGACTGTTGGGACTCACGTAAGCCGCGAGTTTTCATGGGGGTGAACACGACCGTACTTCGCTACGAAAACACATGAGTCCGGCAAGAATACAGCCTGAGCATTCTCCGGTGAGAGGGGTTCTGTCAGAAGACGGGCGTTGGGGGTAATCGGAGCCTCTTGCGCGGGCAATGCCGCTCCGCCCGGCTGATCGACAGCATCATCGTCATCATTGGAGTCTGAAGTAGCACTCTGGGCATCTAACGTCGAAGTGGGTGCGGACGTCGCGCTTCCAGCGGTGAAAGGGTCGTCAGCTTCGCCGCTTGCTGTGCTCTGAAGGACGAAAGGCCTCGATGGTCCGGGGTCTGATCAACCGGGGTCAGCTTGGATCTTTCTTCAGGGGCAACGCCATACCACTCGACATGCCACCTGCCAGCTCACCGACCATGTGTCCAAGCTGGGCCGGGCTGGAGCCGGATAGATGGTTCGTAGAGAGACCCAATCCGTAAATCGGATGCCTCGCCTGGACTTCGCCAACTGAATCGACTGCATCGTTCATTGTCATCTTGTTCAAGCCATCGTTCAAGCCGCTTGTGATGTCTGACATTGCCAGAGCTGTTAGCCGACACGCTATCGAAGACGCGAAGGTGCTGAACCAAGAAAGGGTTTGACACGCGACGCGATGCTGAGTGCCGAGCTTGAACAGACACGAGCAGCAGCTGAGAAGAGGAAGAGTCTCACAAGACTCCCGAACGCGTGAGGACGCGAGCAGACACAGACAAGATGACAGAAGTGGAAGACAGGGGGGCAGGTTGAGGTGTGTGAATGGTGCGACGCCCCACGAGAGGATTGCCATGAGTACTTTCAACGCGTAATCACTCACCGGTTCCGTTCGCACTCAGCGGCGTCGCCGGGACGCTGTCACCTCCGACGACCGTCTCACCGTACGTGCTCGCCGGCGAGGGCTCACCCATCATCGTCATGAGGTGAGCTGCAGTGTGTGGAGTTGGTCTGGCCCCGCTACCCTCCGCAACGCTCTCGGCACCGCCGCCGGAGCTGGCTGGCGTCTTTGGAGTGAAGGACATGTCGGTTGATACAACTGTCCTTGGCTTGAGAAGCAAGTCTGTGTGAGCTGTGCCTTCAGGGGTGTCAGTGGTGCGGCTTGACGCGTGGTCGAGGGTGGACGCGTGCTTACAAAGTGTGTGAGCTGTGACCGCGTGGCAGTGCAATGCAGACGAGGTGTTTATCCTGACAAGGACGCGCGCTGTGAGCACAAGTGAGCGCAAGGCTGCTTTGATAGTCTGTCTCAGAGCGCGTGCAAGAGGTGTTGTTGGACGGAGGAAGCTGGCAAAGCGAAGCCTTGAAATACCAGGGGGCGAAGTTCGCAATCTCGCAGTGCGCCTGGACGCGACAGTCGGGCCGCAGGGTGTCAGATCAGACGATTGCGACGCGCCTGGAGAAGCACTGCAAAAGCTTGCGGGAGTTCTCGCGTGGGCATGAACGTTGGGCTCCAGGAATACCATCCGACCTCGCCCATCCCTGTCACTTCACTCCGAACAGGGATGGCGCCCCACCCCCAAGCTTTTTGGCATCAGCCCATACCGCAGATGACGTGCAGAACGAACGCCCCGTTCCGCCGCACTAAACTGCTCATGCTGAAGCTGCCATTGCTCGGGGACTGGTCTCAAGGGGGCAGAGCACGCTTTACGGGGCATGCAGCGCTTCTTGAAGCTGCTGAGGTCTTCTGCTTGAGTAATCCTGCATTGCATCTGCTTGCGCTCTACCACGGCTCGATGCGCTGCTGTCTTGTAACGACGCGGCCCTTGTTTCCACTGCATTCGTTCCTGAAAGCCTCCAGGGTTCCTGCAGCTTCTAGTGTGTGCTTGGCTGGTCACCGCTCAGCGCAGGGGTTCGTTGACGCACAGAAGGCGTCGAGCCACGTTTTCTGCCTCCGGAAATCGGCAAGATTATCAGGGCAGCTGCCAATGAACTGGTAGATTGGTGCCCGGCGGTGACTGGGCAGCGGCACCTCTATCCGGTACCCCGGGGAGCAACTCCACCGAGGCATCGCGAGGAGATGTATCAGTTTGCACGCATGACAACGCTTTGCCCCTGATTGTCACCAAGCAGAGTCTTCACGGAACACGATCCTTGAGTGCCGCAGGCTCTCTTGATGGGGGCCAGAGCAGGTATCCATCAGCGGACTCAATCAGAGTTTCCTTCATGGAAGCTGCGGCTAGTGCTTTGTTCATCACGTACTGAAAGATAGAACGGTCAGCAGAAGTGTTTTGCTCTTCGGCTTTGTTGCACGTCATACGAGACGAAGCCCACGCGTGCCAGCAGAATCTTGTGCACCGTGGAAGAGTTATCTGCTTTGTAAAGACTCCTCTGAGTGCAGTGTGTCTACAGTAAAGAGCTTCAAACCAGCAACGAGTGCTGCATTAAGAGCTACTCGTGAACATCAAGGTGGGTGATCCAACACGCACTGCCTAGATCGAAGACGTCCTGGGTGAGCGATGCACTGAAGTATTGCACTGCTGAGCAACTCTTCCTTTCCATCACGTGGAAACCGGTCTATTTCCCTAACCCTTAAAATGATCATGAATCCAGCTCAGACGTGGCTCTGCTCGTCAAACAACACAGCTGTCTCAAAGTCACACATAAAAGGAGACAGCTGCAAACTTTGTGAGCTTGTTACGGCACAATAAAGGTCTTGGTAAATGTGGCCAAAGGCGAGACCTTTAATCATTTCGGAAGCTTTGGTCCACTTAACGCACGCCTGACTAGAGGTAGAAGGGTCACAATAAGGATCTTAGTAAACATAGTAAATCTAGCAACTTTCAGTGATGCTGAAGTCTGCGAATTTCTGTCTCAAGGGCGACTGAGGCGCAGATCAGCAGCTCCGCCGGATATACAATTCCCCGAGCCTGACCAGAGATGTGTACAACGATTGATATAGCATTACCTAGGTAATCTGCCGCGAAAGCTGACCTTGGCGAATCCGACTCGGTCATTCAGCATCGCCGCTTCAGTGATGCCACAAGTTCGATTGAATAAAGAGTTGAATCACTCGATCTAGCTCAGATGGAGTGGATTGATTATGGATATAATCTTCCACTCTACCAGTCACAGCCATATTATCAATCTCACCAACACCAACACCGCCAGCACAGCCCAACAGCGTGCGAGTGCGCGTATGACTCATGCCTCCGTAACTCCTCCCCGACGCGCGGAGTACCAACTTGGCCGTGCACTCTCTCGAGTGGTACGGGTAGTGATCCAACAGTTCCTTCGCGAAGGTGAGCTTGTAGTTTTGGAGGAGCGTGCGCTTGATAGAGGATTCAGGGGTCATGAAGTAGGGCGTGTCGACTGCTTCTTCATCGTTGACTTCCTTGTACGTCTGGCTGTGCGGTTCGATCTTCAGGCGCTCGTTCAGGGTGGACCCTTTCTTTAGCCCTACTTTAGTCTGGAGTACCGTATACCGCGACTCACCGCCGCAGATTGAAGTAGTATGGTCCGGACGTCTGTACTCCAAGCAGACCTCATCGACGACCACGTAAGTTGCCATTAGATACGAGTCCTTCAGCAGCCCCGCCCACTCGTTGTTATCGATTTCGAGATCCACGCCAAGCTCGCGATTCTGATGCACAAATGCCGCGCGGAAGCCAATTTCGGTTCTGCTCGTGCTGTCGAGCACGTCCAGGACAGAACGGACCAGCTGCCCGATGAGCGGCCGCTCGGCCGTGTGCTTGTTCCAGAACTGGAATATCGCGTCCTTGGACGTGGTCTGCAGCGCTCTTTGGAAGGCTGTACCCCATTGTGTGGACGCCCATTTCGGTATCTGACGTTCCAGCAACTCCTGAATTGGCTTCATCAGGAAGATCTGCTTCATGGGTATCCTCATCGCGTTGCCGGTGCAGTTGCTGATCATCACACCGAAGTAGTTGTTCAACATCCCCGGGTTCGCGCGCTCGGGTTCGAAGCTCCACTTCTCCCATATGAACTGCTTGACCGTAGTCTCGGGGACCTTCTTGACACTTCCTTGGATCTGAAAGGCGATCACCTTTGGCGCACCTATCTGCACGGTCACGGCGGCGCTATCCAGTTTCCACGTGGAAGGCTTTGAACCCAGATTGCTTATCAGGTCGCCATAGTCCGTCTCGTACTCCTGAAGGGTGTAAGTACATCCAGGGTTAACTCGTATGTCGCCCCCAATAAGCAGTTTGTCATGCAGCGCCATAGACAGATCTTTGGTTTTCGTTAACAGCGTTGAGAACCGCCGCCGGTAGTCTTGCGTCCAGCTATACCAGTGGCACTTGACTGCCCCCGGAATGGTAGACTCGGGGCCTTCCCGGACACGTCGAATGACCCCTTTCGAAACGTGATATTTCTTGATGCGTGTAAGTCCCTCGCCGACGATGCCCTGGTCCGCAACTTCGGCCCACACGGGCCCCCAGATATCGGCGAGGGCGTCGATGGTGATCAGGATGGAGAGCTTCTTCTGGTTCTTGTCTTGTGGCAAGTTTGGTGGGAGGTTGACCCCAGCTCGGAATACCCAGACTGATTTCGCATCGAGGAAGCTGTTGAGGCAGGCTAGATCCCGCAAGCCACAATCGAATGAGAAATTGTTTTCCAGGTCAAACCTCAAGGGATCCATATTCCTCTGGAAGTGCTCTTTATCGAACCGCGCTCCGTGTGATCCAACATAGCACACCAAGCCTAAATCCAGAATACAAGCCACCATTCGGCAGAGATTGAGCATCTCAGACGTAGTATTGATGACAAGCGCATCTGTTCCAAGCTGCGGATAGTCAAGTAGGTCAAGGAACTTTTGAAAAGCCGGCCCAACGCAGTCCGTGAGCGCCTCATGGGCGCTCTTGGGATCCGCCATTCCTTCGCGGGTAACGGTAATCGCTACCTCGAGCGCCTCATTGAGCATGACAAGGACCGCCCTGTGGATTTTGACAATTTCGGCAACTGTACCATCGGATCGCTCCACGAGAATACTGAAGAATGAGGTACAAAATTGCCTCGATTCCAGAAGATCGAAGCTTGCAAGGACGGAGAGGATGATGAAGTAGGTCTCGCAGAGGCTGGCAATGGTACCACTCGCTTCAGAATCGCCGTCTTCCTGCAGGTCGAGCACGAGGTCGTGGATCCATTCAGGTACCGTAGATGTCCGCGTCAAATGCCGTACGTCTGCAGCTTTCCCGGAACTGCTTAGGCGGTACACGCCCGATTGACGATACAACTCCGACGACGTCACAACTGTATGCTCGAGTAAATCAAGAGCCGCATAATGCGCCTGCGGGTCCACGATATGGATATCTGCGTCAAAGCCCCCGGATCCGCTAGAGCCTTCCACTCCCTCGTTCTCGTGTACGCTTCCTTACCCGTCTGAAACGAACTCTCCCTTGGGACATTGCTAGTCAGCGTCAGCGCCGGCGCCGGCGCCGGTGCTGCCTCAGGGGCGGGCGGATGGCGCACAACGAGGTGCAGCGTGTGCTTGTGGTGGATGTTGTACGAGTCCAGAGTGCGGGATTCGTCCAGCTGCTTGCCGTCGAAGATCAAGCGCTGCTGGTCTAGGGGTATGCCGTCTTCCTCTTGGATTTTGGCTGCGATGCATTCGATTGTGTCGCTGGGCTCTACTTCGAACTCGCGAAGGCGGCCGCCCACTGAACATGGCTAGATTAGCGCAACCAACATCGAGGGGTTACAATGTGGTCGCATGGTTAAGGGGATAGAGACCTACACTCCGCGACGTAGATAATCATCTCCGCAAACTAAACTGCACCACTTGATGGATGTAAAAAATAGTGCTGAGAACAACTTTGCTAGACTCCATATCTATATAATCCCTTCGCGACGCCAGCGCGTCAATAGGGGCTGTGTCCGGTCTAGCAGGTGAGGTGCAAGCCCGTTGTTGTACTCAGCCCTCCCCGCACGTTCGAGGATCCAACCACTGGCGCGAATGCGCTGCGCAAGAAGCAATTACATTACGATGGTACATCATACTGGCTCATACTATTCGAAGTTGCTACAGCAGATTCCCTCGATAACCAGTCATGCAATTTTCAAAGAGTAGCAGATCGAGGAGAACATACAGCAACTGAATGCTGATAATCGCGCTCCAGCAATGCATATGCATACTTACCTCCCGATATGCTCTGTTTGGATCCCAAAAGACGGCACATGCTGTGCAGAAGGCTGAGGCGCAGTGGGGTGGCTCAGACGCATTACTCTCCCCGCCGGAAACTATTTGAATCACGTGCCGTCTGTTTATAGTCGCGTTAATCTTATTCAAGAGGCTATAATCGTTAAGAAGCGGTTATAGGAAAGCTTTATATCAACATAGTGAGTCAGTATAAGAGTATATATATAGTATAACCTAGAAGTCTTTAATATCGACTACACCATCTGCTTCGTGAGATAACACGTGATTCTAATAGTTTCCGGCGGGGAGAGTAGGCTTGCGAGCAGAATACATACAGTCAACCTGGCCTGCCGCTATTGTTGATTCCGAAATGTGCGAGAAAAACGCACGGTTCAAGAAACATCTTCATTTCAGGGGAATACTACCTTTCCACCCAGTCAACCAGCGGAGCCCTGCGTTGCGACCAATTAAAATCATTATTTGAAGCCGTGCTTGTCCGTATTCTAATGGGAGCCCTATGCACGAAGAAGGCGGACAGGAGGTCTCCAATCAGCTCTCTAGAACTAGCGTTTTTCTGTCACATTTCGGAACTGACAGTAAGGATGGGCTGACCTACCGCTGAACATCTAGCTCACTAACCTAAGCAGATAATCTACTTGGTAGTAGAAGCACGAGCTCGGACGATTGTCGAATGCGTCTCGGATATCGCTGGGGCCACTGTGCAGCTTGATAGGACCTGGAGAGGCATGACAGTGAGACGTGAAAATACCCCTGGGGCAGTGCTCAGTTTAAATGCAGCATTAAAACAGCCGTGATGCAATATCAGACATACTATGAAGCCGATTATGCCGACAATCGTGGCAAGAGATCTCCCGAGCGCCAGCGACTCGTGGTGCTCCATACCGCATTCAGACAGCCCCTGTACGCCGCAAGATGCTTTCGTCCTTACCAGGAGAGCCAATTTCCATAACCAAACCCGTGGAGCCTCAATCTCCCATAGACCAGCCTCTTCCCATCAAACTTACAACCTGCCCCTAAGCATCTCCCATCACGTCCCATTAACCATCCCCGCATCCTCCTCCTCCCCACCCACAAGACACCAATCCCGCACCCCACCCTTCCAATCCGCCACCCTCCCATCCCTAATCCTGACCACCACGACCCTGACCTCCTGTCCTTCAATATATGTCCCCCTCCCCCCGTCTCCATCCTCATCCTCCAGCTGCCTCTGCCCCTGCCGATGCTGCCCCAACCACAGGCCCCCCGCCTGCTCCGGACTGCTGCTAAACGCCGAGTCGCAAAACGTGTTGTTCTCGAGATGCTGCTTCTTGAGCCACGTCTCCTCGTCCGAGCCGGCGTCGACCAGCCGCGCGGTCCCGTTGATGGTCGCGCTGATGCGGCTCAGCGCCGCGGTGTTGATGCCCATGAGCAGCGAGGCCAGACTGCTGCGCTCGCCGGTGCCACCGCGCGTGGGGCTCGGTGCGCGGCCTTCTTGCGAGAGCGTCGGCGGGCGGTGCGATACCCAGTCGTGCACTAGCAGGCTGACGCGCGGGTTGCTGAGTAGGTTGGCGGTTTTCTGCGAGGAAGTGGGCGGCGGTGTCGTCATGATTATGATGGGGTGAGGGTGGTAGGGCGTCTGAGGGAGGTAGGTGTAGTTCATGAGGGATATGTGGGGCACGTTGTGGTGCGAGGTTGCGAGGTGGAGCTGGGGCATGGAGGTTAGCAGGAGGACTATGAGGCCTGGGGGTCTCGTGTGGGGGAGCTTACGAAGCGGGCGTTTTGGAGGCAGGCAACTACTTCGTCGGGGAGAGTGATTGACGGTGGGGGGTGGAAGCTTGCGTTCGACATGGTTGCGATTGAGGACGTGGTGGGGGACTGAGGCTACAAAAGCTTGCTGCGGTGGGTGCAATGTCGAGCATCGGTTCAGACAGTTGATGATGCGCAGTGGAGGGGAGTCCGATTGAGTGGCCCGTGCCCGAGCTCCAACCGGTGTTGCTCGAACAGGTTCGGAGACTACCAACGTCACGCTCTAGCCATACAGAATCTCCATCACGCTCTTTACTGCTTCCCTTTGCTACTCTATGCAACACTCCTCAACTATGGACCCCGAATACAACGGTAATGGCACGTACGGAGGCGGAAATGGCATCCAAGACGGCGGCGCGATGCGACCCAGCTCGGAAGGCGTTCAGCACTATGCGCCGGCACCCCCAACCATGGGAGCAGACCCCGCGACGACTAAAGCGGTTGACGAAGTCTTGTACTCAGATGTCAGCCGAAGTCTTACGGTGTTGGCGTGACAGCCGAGCTAACATACTCCCAGATTGGCGTCAGCACGCTCCTCAACCGCCTAAAACAGTCCATCGCATCCGCCAGAGTACGCTCCCGCCTGCTCTACGCCTGATATACAACCCACTAACACAGGCTGCGTACTAGGACTTCGCCGGCTTCCTTAAAAAGCGCTCCTCCCTCGAAGAAGACCACGCCGCCGGGCTCAAGAAGCTCAGCCGCGCGACGCAAGAAACCATCCGCCGCGCCGACGCCCGTCACGGCAGCTATGCCGACCAATTCGGCCTCATCACTAGCGTGCACGAGCGCATGGCCGACAACGGGATGCAGTTCGCGCTGTCGCTGCACCAGATGCACGAGGACCTCACCGAGCTCACCAACAACATGGAGCGCGGCCGCAAGCACTGGAAGCACACGGGCCTGGACGCCGAGGGGAAGGTCAACGATGCCGAGAGATTGGTTGAGAGGGCGAAGGCAAAGTACGACAGCTTGGCTGAGGAGTACGATAGGGTGCGCACGGGGGATCAGGGGTCGGGGAAGAAGTTTGGGCTCAAGGGCCCCAAGAGCCAGGCGCAGCAGGAGGGCGAGCTGAACAGAAAGTTGCAGGCTGCTGATGCGGACTATGCGGCTAAGGTGCAGACCGCGCAGGTGCAGAGGAAGGAGCTGCTGGAGACTGGGAGGCCAGAGGCGGTTAGGGCGATCATGATGCTGATCGAAGAGTGCGACTCCGCGTTGACGCTGCAGCTGCAGAAATTCGGTGAGTATAGTGTTGGAGGCATGAAGAAATGGCGGTCTGACGTGGTGTTGCAGCTGCCTTCAATGAGAAGCTCTTGCTGGGCAACGGCATATGCGTCTCTCCGCTCAGGAACCCGAATGAGCCGGCGCAACTCAGCTTGCGAGACATGGTCGCCAAGATCGACAACCAGCATGACTTCAATAGCTTCATAGTAACCCACACACCCAAGATTCCGACGCGGTCAGAAGCGAAGTATGAGCAGCACCCAGTAAGTCTTCTGTTACCTTCCGAATGAACGGCGACTCACATACATGCAGACTCTAGCGTCAAAGCAAGGAACCACGCCGCAAGCAAACCGGCAGTCCATGCACCTCAACCTTTCTCAGCCGCCACCAAGCTTCAACGCACAGGTACCGCAGCAAGCTCCACCTCCAATGCAACCAGACTATACATCTTATCAACCCGCATTCCCCCAACAGCCCCCGCAGCAAACTGACTACCACTCTTCTCTTTCCCAACAGCAGCAACAGCAGGCGCAGGCGCAGGGTTACTCTCCTCAAAGCCTAAACTTTGGCGGCGGTCCGCTCCAGCAGATGCAGCAGCAACAAACGTATCTACCGGAGAAGGCCACCTACGACAGCCCGCCGACAAAGCCTGTCTTTGGCTTGCGGCTGGATGATCTGTTCAAACGAGATGGTTCGCCGGTGCCGATGGTGGTGTATCAGTGCATACAGGCGGTGGACCTGTATGGTTTAGATGTTGAGGGGATTTACAGGGTCGGTGGGAGTCAGCAGCACATACAGCAGATGAAAGCCATGTTCGACAGCGGTAAGTACTCATTGTTTCCTCATCCCCTCCAGTAGCCCTTGTCTCCGTCTTCTGCGCCCCCACCCTGTCCACACACCGGTGTCTTCCACTTCCCAAGTCCAGCCACCCCCCCCAAACAAACGCGCCGCGGCACAAAACCAGCCCTCAAACACAGCACCACTAACCCCTGCCCCCCGCAGCCGACGGCCACGCAATCGACTTCCGCGACCCCTCCTCCTTCCACCACGACGTCAACTCTGTCGCCGGCCTACTCAAGCAATTCTTCCGCGACCTTCCCGACCCGCTGCTCACCTCCGAGCACTACGCCGCCTTCATCGACGCCGCGCGCATCGACGACGACATTGTGCGCCGCGACTCCCTGCACGCCATCGTCAACGGGCTCCCCGATAGCAACTATGCGACGCTCAGGGCCGTCGTGCTGCATCTGAACCGCGTGCAGGAGCATGCGGAGAGGAATAGGATGAGTGCGAGTAATTTGGCCATTTGTTTCGCGTGAGTCACCTTTTTGTTTCTGGGGCGCTGAAGGGGGTGGTAAGGGGGTTGCTTCATGGAGTCAGGGGGCTAACGTGGTGTGAACGTAGGCCGACGCTTATGGGACCACATCGCGGCGCCATGGCGGATGCGGGATTGCAGGCGAGGGTCGTGGATACGATTCTGGTCAATACGCATCAGATCTTTGATGAGGATTAGGATGGGGGCTGTTCAGAGCGGTCAAGATCTGGGAGACGAGAAGTCGCGTCGACGACGGCGGCGGGGGAGTTGTGTAGATGGTGGAGAAGCGCGTGGTGAGTTGTTGTCCGTCTCGATGCGGGTTGGGACGCTGCTCCTCGATACAAGAGATGCCCGATCTGTGACCTTTAATGTATGCATGTTAGATATGACAAGCTAGAATTAAACTGCGATTTAAAAGGCAGCTGTTGCCCGTGCTCTTTCCTAGCTGAAACTGAACGGCCTTTTCAACACTTTACTCACAATAGGGTCTTCTACATCTATCCACGTGTCGGTCTCCTGTATGACAAGTTCTATCCGGCTTCATCTCCGGAACGCGTACAATTCACGCGCTCCTCACGAACTATCAATACCCTTCAGCCCTCCACCTCTGCCGCCCTCCCCTGCCCCTGAACGTACCCAGCCACCCCCATCAATCCACACCACACCGCCTCCTCCGCCCTAATCGTCCTGCTGCCCTGCCCCGGCACGAGATTAACCCAGTAATCAAACGCCTCACCCGCGCTCTCCTTCCCGATCCCGCGTTCTCGGAGCGCCGCATCCGCCTCCACCGCCGCCTCAAGGCCTGCCAGCCCGCCGAAGAATAGGATCAGGTGATTGAACGTGCGTGGCAGTTTCGCGGTCCCAGCCTCTGCATCGGTGTCGGCGTCGGCGTCGGCGTCAACGACATCTCTGCCGGGTGCGGGCAGGATGGAAGAGAGCGGGACGCCTCGCTCGGACGTCCCGATGCTGACGTCGTAGCCGCCGGAGAAGGGGCAGTCGGTGTACACGGCCGAGAGAGAGGCCGCCTGCCGCACGCTGTAGCCCCAGTAGTAGCCGCCCTGGGTGCGCGGCGCGGCTGGGTCGACGGGCGTGGCTGTCAGCGGCTCTGAGGGCGAGGCGGGAGGGTCGGAGCGGTCGAAGCGGAGGGTTAGACGCGTGGTGGGCGGGATGGAGATGGGGACGGTGACGGGGTTAGGGAGGCCGGTGTGGACTGCTGTTGCAGATGCGGCCGCTGCTGCGCCGTCGGCCGTCCGCTTTCTTTTTTGCTTTTTGGTCGCGATGCTGGCTGTCGCGTCGTCTTCGCCGCCACCGCCACCGCCGCCGTCGTAGGAGTGCGGGGAGGCAGGCCCAATAGTCACGCCCTCGCGATACGGGCACCACTCATGCGCCTTGAGATGATGCGGCAGGTCCAGGCTATGCAGCATCCCCGCCTTCTCGAGGTTCTTGTGGAACCCGAACAGCTCTTTCCGCAGGTACGGCGGACACTCCATGTAGCTGAGCACATGGAACAGATAGTGGTCCGGATCCGTGTAGCCCTCGTAGCCCTCCTCCTCGTCCTTTTGGCGGAGGTACGCGCGGCGCGGATCCTCGTAGGAGGAGGGAGCGGTGTTGGCATGAGACTGGCCATCGTCGAACACCACGATCTCGTCGACGCAGAAAACGGAGGCGGCGCGCGCGATTTGGCTGGCGAGCCGCGCTTTGAGGTCCGGTGTCGAGACGCTGAAGGGAAGTGTGTTGGCCATAGGCGCGCGGCGCTGGAGATGGGGAGGACATACCTAGCGACAATCGAGCCGGGCACCGCAATGCTGAGGGTCCATTGCCGTCCGCCCGCGGACGGCTTAAAGACGGCGGTGGGCTTGGAGGTGTCGAGGCCATTGCTGGTAGCGGGTGGGTTTTGGTGGAGGACTACGCCGCGCTTGCGTTTCTGGGGGTGTTGTTAGACAGGAATATTAGAGAAGCACTGAAAAAGGATGGCGCTCTGCACCTTGCTGTTCTGATGCGTCGCCATGTTGGTGGTTTGTGTGGGCACAAAACGGCGGTGGTTAAGAGCTTTGCGATACTCGTCTCAGCCCTGCAGCCCTACCAGAAACAGGGGCCCGCTCAAGACCTCAGTGCCCCTGACCCAGGAGTCACTGCTGAACAAAGCACAAACGTATCCAAGCCTGCAGTAACATAGTTGGTTCTCTAACAGTATGTTGGGGAAACCACATATTGCAGTCCACGTTCATCATAAGTTGAACAACACGAGAAGCTGGTAACGAACAATCCCAATACGACCGCAACAGGGTATCCATGACGCCTCTTTGATCCAGCTTGAATCTCCTTCCACTCCGGAACAAAGGCCTCATCTATCCCAATCCGTTCCCACCAATCCTCGTCGCCCCCTCCACCGCTTCTCTCACCGCCCCAGCTTCGAACACAGGTCCCCCCGTGCCGTCACACGTCGCGCGCCTCTGCAGCCGCGCCGCCACTTCCGTGATATCCACACCCCCGTCGCGGACTAGTGGGTGCGATTGGATCATATCCCAGGCCGCGGATGGCGAGAGGTAGGTGCCTTGGGTCCCTTGGGACAGATATGCGGGGGTGGGGAACACAGGGGGCGCGGCGGGGGCGCGGGTGTAATGTGCTTCTTCTTGTCCTTGTATTTCGGGCGGCTCTTTGAGTTCCGGCCCATCACCGCCAGTATGCAGGTCGGTGGGACTGGGCGGGCGGATAAGGTGCGGATCCGAGGAGGAAGACGCGCGTAGAATATCGTTCTCAACGCGTGCGCACTCGAGCTCAGCGAGGAGGCGCGAATTTGTGGACGCGAGAGTCGCGTGCTGGGACGAGAGGGCCTCGAGCTTGTCTTCAAGGTCCCTGAGATGGCGTTCTTTGCGCTCGCGGAAGGCGCGTTGGCTGTGCCGTTGCGGTCATCGTTAGTACTATCTTCCTACCGCGATTGTTGGGGTTGGAAGCTCAGCCGCGGGGAAAGAACGGAAACGGACGATGAAGAGCAGCACTCACGCAGCTCGATTCTGTTCTTTTCGCCGCCACTGCGCCGGCGTCAGGCCCTTGTCCTGCTCCCGGTCCTCCTCGCTGCTACTCCTTGTTCTGCCTCCACTGCGTCTTCGTCCGCTATCCTCGGCGTCGACCCTTGCGAGGCCGTCCGCGACGTATGAAACCTGTGGTATTGGCGGCGAGCCGGAGGCAGTGAGGATGAAGTCAGAGGACTCAAAGGCGTACGTGAGGGCATCATAATCGGGCTCGGGGAGGAAGGGGCCAAGACTTTGGCCCTGATGGAGAGGCGGTCAGTAAAGGTTGCGGTTATGATGGGAGGGGTAGAGCGGATGATCTGATGTGCTTACGGGAGCTTGAAAGCTGTCTATAGCCGTGGCTGAGGCGTTGTCGTAGCTTGGTGTCGGAGGGAGGCCGTTGAAGAGATACGGCTGGGACGGCGGCGAGTTGAAGTAGTTGTAGTCCATAGTGAAGTCAACTGAGAGATGTTGTGGTTGTGGCTGCAATAGAGGCTCACTGACTAGCTGATAGTAAATCTACAGAGCTATGCTCGTGCTAAAGTAGTTGGAGCGCTGGTTGTCGGGCCAGCTACACGTGCGGCAGAGGATAGATTGGCTGATTAATGTCCTCAAGGCCAAGTCTTATGTAGCTCTTGCAGAGCTCCCCTCCGATCTGCAGGGCAGTTGGTGCATATCCACACTCAATCGACTAGGTAGGCTGAGCATCTCAGGGCGGAGCAGCAGCCGCTGCATCATGGGAAGAGTGGCTGGTATTGGCGGGAGCAGGGGACGGAGATGTGAACAACGCGATGGAGCTTGCCAGGCTCAGGGTTGCATAAGGTTCGCAGGATGCTGCCGCTCTGGGACCGAGTGGCTTTCCGATACATGCGCTCCCCGCAGTTCACCGCTTTCCAGGCCCCCCGTCTGCGAGTGCCAGAGCTCTCCTGAAGGCTGGACTCGAAACATGGCTACAGAAACGTGGTCGGAAGGAAAGTGATATTGGAGCAGGTTGGAGCTTGAGAAGGGGTCCGAGGGGAACATGTTCGCCTGCAGGAGCGGGAGCCAGAACCATTGCTGTGGGCTAAGCCGTTAGACACGGCGTGCGTATCTCTCCGGCTGCCTGGAGAAGTGTCTAGCTGCTCTTCGGATCGCGACCGGTCAGGGTGCAGCCGAAGGCAGTCGGTGGCAAGTCAACGTGGAGGCAGTTGGTGCCGGTGTAAGCAAGGTAGCGAGCGGGTAGGTGACGACTGGAGGCAATATCACGTGCTAGTGTTTTCCCTCTCCCCGTCCCGCCAAGTCCGTCTCACCGGAGCGGAAACTAAACATATCCCTGCTTCCGCCTTCAAGCCAATTCGAACATCACCAGTCTGTCCTCTAAGCACCAGCAGCACAACGACTTCAGTATGGCAGAGCCCAAGAAGACCTACGTTAGCAACGGCCAGGTGCTCTCCAGGCAAGCTTCTTTCTGCCGAAGACTCAACACGCACTAGCCCCTAACAGCCGCAACAGCCCACCCCTCACCGTGCGCGTCCGCAGCTTCCTCGACGATGCCATGGTCTTTGTGATGCTGTATCTTACCACGCTGTTCTCCGTATGCCAGGCACCGTCCGAGCTTTTCTCACACCTGACTTACTTACCGTTGTTGCAGTTGGATGCATACACCGCCGCGGCGAACAGCCCCTACTCGCGGCGGAACCGGCCCAGCAACAATCCGAGGTCCTCCTGGGGGAGGAGCGTGGGACGTGGCGGTGGAAGTGGTGGAGGAGGTTATGGAGGAGGTGGTGGGGGTGGTGGGCCAGGTGGACCGGGCGGGTCAGGTGGCAGCAACTATCCGAGGAAACTAGGACAGGTTGATGATGTCAGGGGGCCGGAGTGCGGTAGCTGCGGGTGATGGAGCGGGAAGATTAGAGTAAGATTACCGGACGAACTATCTCGGATTATGTGAAGGGAATCTTGCTTTGAGTGGAGTGCAAGGGGGTCCTGTGTAGGCGTCAATGAGGAGTGTCATACTCACCCTCCATTTTGCGACTTACCGAGTTGTCTTTCCGTACGAACATGCTTACTTCTCCACGAGCACGATTTCCCCTTTAATGATTATCATCGAGATTGCATAATCAAGGATGGCTCTGTGAGTGCGATGTGCCAAGAACGTGGTCGAGAGGGCGCTTACAAACGGCAAGTCTAGAGCGGAAAGTGAGCAGCGCGGTATTCACCTCCTGAACGTGCTGCCAGGTACTTACGGAAAGGGGGAAAGTGAGTTATCGACCTTGGACTTTCCCGTCCAGGCTGTTCTTCCATCAAGCTCCGTTTCCATCAAACTCTCTGACAGCATCTCCTAGTACTCATTGAGCTGTCATACACTCTGTTTATCCTGCAATCACACTATGCTCGGCAATATCGGTCACCGGCTCACCCATCCGTTTGACGCACAAAACATCGCCACATGCACGCTGTCACGGGTCTGGATCGATGCGCTGTGGACGCACGATCCGGTCGACTCGCGGCTGCATCGGCAGGCGCCTATCGGAGCGAGTATTTTGAGCCTCGATCCGAGCTAGATACCTTCTACCACTTAATCAAGATCTCGTGCACCTTGCAGTGACTCCTTGACACACGCTCTGGGCCAGACCGGCCCATCGTCACAATCAACAACCGTCATCAATTTATCCAAGCCCACAAAACACCCACCTAATCGAAACAGCAGCGGTGGGAAATGCTGTCTTTTCCCTCTACCCTTGTTGAACGGTATAGGCCTTGCACGGTTCGGCGCTTCTTTACGAAAGACAACCTGCGTTCCATAACTTGCCAAACCCTTATAGGATGGACTAGCACGTGAGGAACTTTATCCTAAAGCTCTTATAACCTTTAAAATATCGCTTTTTTACAGTCGCATATTATAATATTCTATATTAACACGATGCCTTAGCAACCTCAGCTTACTTATAGCTTATTATAGTGGTGGTATGATAGATAAACGCGTATAAAAGAGCTTTATAATGAAGTTCCTTATATGTTTCGCCTATCCTAGCATAAGGTTGGAGTTGCAGCCGAGTTGTAGCTAAATAAAACTAAAGGTTTAGTAATTTAGGAGCAAGTTAAGGAACGTGGAACTCGGCTGCGAAGAAGCGCCGAACCGTGCAAGACCTGTATCTGCGGTGTGTCCTATATCTATGGTCTCTCCAGCTAAACTATACTCCTTCTCAGATTTGAACGTTGGATAAGCCACGTTGACTACATACGTCCCGTGGAGATCAAATTCACCACGCGCGAACACATGATCTCGTGCAATAGCCCTTTTCATTACTTCCTCTAGATGAGCCGAAAAGGCTCGCATAAGACCACATATCTGTGACAACTTTCTCAATCAGGTACTCTGTGCTCGCACGGATAGTATAACGACACAATGACCTAAGCATAAGATGGACACCTAATAGTAGAGATACCTAGTAGCTGAATAAACTTCAATACTATCTTGCTGTTGTAGTATCCAGATAGATAGCCGTCGAAATCCTCTTACAGCGGCTACTTAGATTAGACAAGAATAGATGCTAGGCCTTGTAATTATACGCGCTTTTATCCCAGCTGTTAAACTACAGCGTAGAAGTTCGCCGGTATTAGTGTGGCGAGGCTGAGGCACTAACCCACTTCGGTCGAACCCACCTGGGCCCCCTCAGCTGAAGCCTTGGTCCACTTTGAGTCCTTCACCTTCGCGTGTCACCAGTCAATCCGAGGAAGACCTTC